CTGGGAACGGCAGCTCTCGGAAGGTACACACACGTGATTGGTCGTGATGGCAACGTCGGTATGCTGTCTGTCTGCCTGTCTGTCAGCTGCCCGTCTAACAAGCCTATTTGTGCGCGGACCAGCGACTCGCGCTTCTGCTACTGCATCGAAGACACCAGAGGTCTGTTCGGTGAGGCGGCCGAGGTGGCACAAGGCGATGTCAGGCTCACCAAGGGTGTCGTCAGCGGCAAGCCATCGTCGCTGTGTTTCCCGGCGGAGCTGGATCCGTGCTTCAATGCCGTCAACCGCTTCGCTGTGCCCTTCGACTGTGCGGACAGCCTGCCTGTCGTCGAGAGAAGGGAAGACATGGGGCCCGACCCAAGAAACCAGAGTTGGCTGCCGAACGAGCGGTTTCCAGTGCCGCAAGAGTCGACGTTCGCCCAGCTGGTGCCCGGCACTTATCTGTTTGAAGACGTGCACTCGAATGCCTACCTCGATACCATCAAGAACGTGGGCACCGGTGTGTCGAGCTGCATGAGGATCCAGGGCAAGAAGAATGATGATAGTGGGTTCGATGACTTCTTCTTGGACCTCTCGTGCGACACGACAGAGGGCGTCAGCGTGACCCTCCAATTCGACTGCCCCGACACCGGCCTCTGCTCCAACCGAACCGAAAACGAGCTCCTGCCCGCCCTCGCAGTTGTCCAAGGAGTCATGGTGGTGAAGAATGCCAGCACTCCGGCGTGCGAGGGCATTGAGGCGCAGATCGAAGTCGCCTTGACGGGCTACGTGGACGAGTCGGAGTCTCTTATTGCTCAGCAATTCGAGTACGATCGGACTCAGCGGATTCTCATCATCGGCAACGAGAGACAGGACGACCTAGTCACCGCACGGACTCTTGTCATTCTATCACCTGCGGCGCACACGGGCCTTGGTGTTATGACGTTTCCGGATGATGTGCCTGAGCAGTGCGATGTCCTACTCAACGAGCGGATTTTTACGGTGACTTCAGGGGGGACGAATGCTGGGGGCATCCTTGCGCTGGCCGCATCGGGCTATACGACAGGCCCGAGGGGCGAAATCATCCGAAAAGTACGTGCATCAATTGAGAATACCAAGGCATCATCTCTGTCTCTCTCTCTGTCTCTCTCTCTGTCTCTCTCTCTGTCTCTCTCTCTGTCCGTCTCTTTCTTCCTTTCTTTCTTCCTTTCTTTCTTCCTTTCTTTCTTTCTTTCTTTCTTTCTTCCTTTCTTTATATCCTCAGAATCCGTTGGAGGTCAGTCACTTTGCTCTTGACAATCAAGAGGCGTTTCGGGAGTGCAGTAAGATCTGCAAAAGGACTGCGATCGACTACTGGGAAGCGAGTGCGCGTGGTGTCGCTCCCAGTGAAGTGGAGTCGGGATTCAGTCTGGGCAAAGACCTCAAACAAGCGCTCCTCGGCGAGGCCCTTCCATCGATTTCCTATCCCATCTACGGACCCGGACAATCGCCAGACCTGCCATTCGGCAGCGTGTTGACCGGGGACTTTCCCTTCATCCAGGTCAACGAGGAGCAGCAGCGGCTCAACGACACTTTAGCCAATTGCGCGCCCTTGTTGGAGGCAAAGGGCAAGCCCTTGTTGGAGAACTTGGAGAACCTTGCCATTCCCGTGTCGGTCCTTTGCACCCCCGGCACTGATCCCACTGCCCCATTTCGATCGTTCGAGCTCTTCAATACCGAGACGGGTACGTCGCTTGACTTGGTGGTGAAGGGGAAGCTCGGCGAACTGATTGACAGAAGAAAAGGTGCATGCAGCAGCAAAGCCAGACAGCACTAAGCATTCAATATGTTCACTGACTCCCGTTTGTCTGCTTGTCTGCTCGTGTCGAGCAGTCTTGGCTAACTGTCGCGGACCAATGCTGCAGACGTTTCCGTCCGGCTTTGCGGAGATTGACTTCGACTTTTTCAAGCAGCTTGGCCTCTTGAACTCAAATGTCGTTGGCGACATCACGTCCATCGCTCTCGCGCCAACGCCCGACACGGGGTCTCTTGGAAAGGACACGTGCGTTATCGCCAATCTCACGCAATTAACCGACTTCTCGTGTCGACATGATGGGAAGGCCTTGACAGGCAATCAGAACATCGTGGCAACCGTTCAAGTGGTGAGAAGGGAAGGTGATGAGACGCAAGTGTTGTGTAACGAAACGATAGCGAAACTCGACAACAAAACGGTCGCGAAAGACGACGTCACAGTCATTTGGGAACAAAAATGCATGATGGGATTTGAGTGCTGTAAGCTGCAAGAAGACGCGTCACTCATCCTTCCGCTTGTGTACATCCCTGTGGTTTTCTGTCTCAGTTGAGGCATGCCCTGCTGCTAATCTCTCCGCCCCGCCCACAGCCCAGCCGTCGACATACCGCATGACGGATATCCAGTCCAACAGCCCGGCTCTCGAAGACGGCACCGACCCACCACCTGTCGACCAATGGTGTCTCAATATGGAAGTGGACCGATTTACTGACACTTCCGATCGTGCACCTAAGAACCAGTCGACGTATTACTTCAGCTGCGAGGGAGAGTGGGCTGATGTGCAAGTGAGGATTCGCTATGATGTGGACAACTTGGATGGTCGCATAGCACCGGTCAATTATTCGGGCAACGATCAGCCGCAGGTGGGCTTCGTGAATGTGCACATCAAAGGCACGGTGGAGCAAGTCTGGCCCGAGAAATGCAATGGCACGTTGGTGTTCGTCGAAGGTGGGTGCGCATACAAGGCAAGGACGCGAAACAGCTTCTCATGGATTCCTGTGCTGATGCGTATGTGTATGCCGTGCATGCAGGCACACTCGTCGGCGGCTTGAGCTTCGACCCAGTAGAAGACGAGGCCCTCCAACGAGGCAAAGAGAAGACCACGACGTTTGCCCCCGTGATTGAGGATTTGGGGCCAGGCGTGAACCGCACAGGAGTCCTTCTTCTGGAAACGCTGATCACCTCAAGCGCATTGATAGGGGAGATGGAGTACACGGTCATCAACGCCAGCGATGCCTGTGACCTGAATGTGACCCAGACCTTCAAGTACAAGAAAAACGCGACTTACAACTCAAGCGAGATTGATCCAGAGACGAAGAATAAGACCTTCCGTCTACAACCTGTCTTCTCCATCCCAGCGCTGCAGGTGCGCATGAGTGGAATACCAGCAAAGACCAGCTTCTCTGGTGCATTTGATGTTCAGGTCGGTGACTTTGATAATGACAACGTGACAGATCTCTGGAGCCGCTTCAGGATGTCGTGGGTCGGCAGCAATCAAACGGAGGTGGCTCAATGGGTGTCGACGGTCAAAGGACTCTTGAAAGAAGTGTGCGGCATTGGGACTAAAGAAAGTGAGTCGAAGAGGTCGTATTCACGTGGTCTGCTTTTCTGGATGCGTGTGTCTGTCTCTTTCCTTCAGCCCCGCCAGTTCAGATTCAGTGCCTTCCCCATGAGCCCATCGTCGTTGATACCGTCGATCTCTCCGCCACACTCCCACCCACATCCTCACCTGAAGTCAAGACTAACGACAGCATGGACCCGCCAAAGATCGGAGGCATCAACCTCACGTAAAATGCAGAAATACCAAACAGCACTCCGTTGGCCTTCCTGTTCATCATTGTGTTGCTGTTTGGTATCTTTGCCCTTCAGTACTATCGCCCGCATGACGCCCACCGAAAGCGAACTGAAGGAGAGCTTCAATGTGACAGACGTTTCCCCTCTCCAGGTCCCCCGCGCCTGGGCGGGGGAGGGAAGTCTGGACTGCCGCCCCCACCATATAGAGCGCCTGAACGAGACCCAAGGGGGCGGCGGCTTCATTGTCCGAAGCGTTCCGTTGACTGTCAGTGTCGATTTCATTCGACCAGACGGCAAGAATGATAGTATGACTGTGCGTCAGCTCTGCCCCGTGCTCACAATATGCGGTACGCAGAACGGTAGACACATGACGCGAGGAAGTCAATGGCTTGCTGACGTCTGTGTGTTCTGATTGTCTCGTGGCGCAGAAGAGGCTTACCCATTCAATGCGACAGAACACACAAACAAACGGCCATGAGCGACCGAGGGGCATCGTCGTGATGGAGGCACTCAATTGGTGGATCCGTCTTCATTTAGCCACGCGTCCCGTGCGCTGCAGGTCAGGACACCGTGTTATCCCTATGATGGCGCTTCGTTGCATATATGTCTCCCTGTCCGCTCCCTTTCCAGCTGTCTTCGTCCGTTGCTGGTGTGCCGCTTGCACGTGCGAGGTGCAATGGCGGATACTATTTGTCCATTCGTGCTTTTTTGCGCGTGTGCGGGGACGGGTGCATGAGCGTTGACACAGAGGAAAAAGCAATCGTCCCCGCCCGCCGATCTCTGGCTGTTACTTAATGAGAGGTCCGCATAACGTAGGTGTACCGGTCAGGCAGGCACCATGCGTGTCCGTGAATGTGTTTGTACGGTGACATGTGTACAGGCTGCATTGCATTGCATCGCTTGGTGCTGCTGTGCTGTGGTTTCGCTGCTGGTTTTGTTGTGAGTTATGTCAGCAATCAATTCAATTGACATGACGATGTACACGTTTTCGACTTTCCCGTCCGTGCAGAAGACACGCCACACTTCCCTGTCCCATCAAGCAGCACGAATTAGTCCCAGCAAGCAGGACGAATAAATACGACTACATGCATCACGCATCCATCCAAAGCCACCACCTAAGGCCCACAAGCAGATGCAGTCAAATGCAATCGATGAGATGGAGCATTCAATTGTAGCTATGCATTCGCATCGCCTCTTTGCCCTTTCCTCGCACACATCCGTCCACATGTACGTCTGCCTGCCTGCCTGTCCATCTCCCACTAGTCATTCATTCAATGGGGAATGGCATGGCTGCCCGCCAGTGAGAGAGCACATGCAAGGGAGAAGTCAGATCCAATCCAAGACAGTTACGATATCCAATTGATGAGAGAGATGGAGCATTCGATTGAAGCCATAGATGCGCATCGTGTCATCGTGTGTGGCCTCTGCAGCATGAGAGAGAAAGAGGGGAAGGGATGTCACTGGATGCAGCCGGCTGTACAGTTGGCAAAGCAGCTGGAGGTGGTGCATTGGCTGCAGCAGACAAGGCGGCGCAGAGGGGCGTCGTCGCCTGCACGAAGGAACGGCGAGGGAACGCACAGCATGGCATCGTGTGAACAGATGGACGGAAGAGTGCTCGTGCGTCGTCGTGCGCGTGTGGCTGACCTTGGTGGACGTCGTTTGTCTGCTGGCCACTCACTCCCCCCCGCAGCGCAGTCCCGCCAGACACCTCCTGAGCCAATGTGCACAACACACAGCTCACGCCTGTGCCGCACGTGTGATTGCGTCCCTCCCTCACCTGTCCGAGTGCAGCACTCGTCAACACGACAGCCACAAAGAAGCAGGCACACCACAGGAATCTCATCTTCGGCCTCAGTTTCACTCGGCAATATCCACACACACAGAGTACAGCCAGGCGCTAACGCAAACCGACGATCATCCAGTGAAGCCAGAGGTGGCGGCGGCCTTACTTACGCTCGCAACTCTTCCCGTACAGATGTAAATTTTTCGGGCCCGATGGACGATGAGATTGAAGAACACAGGTACACGCAAGGATCAGGAGACAGACAAGAACAGATTGCTAAGATTGGTTTGTGTTTGCTTCAAGACAGGAGGCCAGATGAATGAGCGAATCGTATGCTGGCAGGGTGGCTTCTCGTGTGCCTGTTCCTCATCGTGCTTACCCACTGGGAGAGGAGAGGTGCTGTGGGTCAGTTCACGACTGCCTGCCTCTCGGGAAATACCTTCGGACCTGTGGCTGTAGCCAACAAGAACTGCCTGCCACGTGAGCACTCGAGGACACACGTTGTGAGGCCACGCTTCTTCCGTTGACTTCCCGGTTTGTTTTCAGCCGTCAACTCGTTGCCAGAATTCCTTCAAACTGAGCCCCTTTCGAGATGCGAGCCCAATGCTCTGCTGCCCATCGTCGACCACCCCGAGCGGGGCAACTTCGGGCAGTGCCTGTACAATGAGAACGTCGAAGTCTATCTACAAATCCAACAGGAAATCGCCCTCAATGACGGCTTGAATAATAGCAGGAGCTCAGATACGGCGGGTGACGTGACTGCGTCGGGCGAGAATCAGTCCATTTTGTGCGGGGAGCCTAGCGGCGTCAATCGCACAAACATCACTGACCTGGGAACGGCAGCTCTCGGAAGGTACACACACGTGATTGGTCGTGATGGCAACGTCGGTATGCTGTCTGTCTGCCTGTCTGTCAGCTGCCCGTCTAACAAGCCTATTTGTGCGCGGACCAGCGACTCGCGCTTCTGCTACTGCATCGAAGACACCAGAGGTCTGTTCGGTGAGGCGGCCGAGGTGGCACAAGGCGATGTCAGGCTCACCAAGGGTGTCGTCAGCGGCAAGCCATCGTCGCTGTGTTTCCCGGCGGAGCTGGATCCGTGCTTCAATGCCGTCAACCGCTTCGCTGTGCCCTTCGACTGTGCGGACAGCCTGCCTGTCGTCGAGAGAAGGGAAGACATGGGGCCCGACCCAAGAAACCAGAGTTGGCTGCCGAACGAGCGGTTTCCAGTGCCGCAAGAGTCGACGTTCGCCCAGCTGGTGCCCGGCACTTATCTGTTTGAAGACGTGCACTCGAATGCCTACCTCGATACCATCAAGAACGTGGGCACCGGTGTGTCGAGCTGCATGAGGATCCAGGGCAAGAAGAATGATGATAGTGGGCTCGATGACTTCTTCTTGGACCTCTCGTGCGACACGACAGAGGGCGTCAGCGTGACCCTCCAATTCGACTGCCCCGAGACCGGGCTGTGTTCTAATCGCACCGGCAACGTACTAATACCGGCCGTTGCAACGATCCAAGGAGTCATGGTTGTGGAGAAGTCCAGCAATCCGGCGTGCGAGGGCATTGAGGCGCAGATCGAGGTCACTTTGACGGGCTATGTGGACGAGTCGGAGTCTCTCATCGCCCAGCAATTTGACTACCAGGAGCCGCAGCGGATTCTCATCGTCGGCAACGAGGAGCAGGACGACCTCGTCATTGCAAGGACCGTGGCCATACTATCACCTGCCGCCCACACCAGCCTCGGCGTTATGACGTTCCCCGATGACGTGCCTGATGAATGCGATGCTCTGCTCAACGAGCGTGTCTTCACCGTGACGTCGGGGGGGACGAACGCAGGCGGCAGGCTCGCGATGGCCACGTCAGGCTACGCGAGAGGCCCGATGAGCGAAACCACTCGGAGGGTACGTGCACCAGCCGAGGGTACAAGCACATGTGTGGGTGTCTGTGTGTCTGTCTCAGAACCCGTTGGAGGCCAGCGAGTTTGCCATAGACAATCGAAAGGCGTTTCGGGAGTGCAGTGAGATCTGCATCGAGCTTGCGAACAAGTATCGGGAAGAGCGCCCGCCTGCTAACGTAGCGTCGAGCGAGCTTGAGTCGGGATTCCGTCTAGGTCAAGACCTCCAAGAAGCGCTCCTCGGCGAGGCCCTTCCAACGATTCACTTTCCCGTCTTTCAGCCAGGAGACAAGTCGCCAGACCTGTCCTTCGCCAGCGTGTTGACCGGGGACTTTTTGCTTGCTACGCCGGAGCTACTCAATGACACTTTATCCAATTGCAATGTGTCAGATCCCATGTTTGAGAACATCTCTCTTGCTGTGTCGGTCCTTTGTACCTTCGGCACTGATCCCAGTGCGCCGTTTCGGTCTTTTGAGCTCTTGAACACGGAGACGGGCACGTCGCTTGACTTGATACTGAAGGGTTCGCTCGGTAGGTACCCTTCAGTATCAGGAGATCTGTCAGGCCGTTTGATCAATCTGGTTGTCTGTCGTTTTCTCAGGCCCTTTGATCGATGATAGAGAAGGTAGATGGAGCAAAAGCACTAACATGCGACATATTTTCCTCTTCCATCTGTCTGTCTGTCTGTCTGTCTGTCTCTGAGTGTTGGCCAATTGTCGAGGACCAAGACTGCAGACATTCCCCTCCGGCTTTGACCAGGTTGGCCGCGTGGAATTCCTTAAGGAGCTTCTGCACCCGGAGTTCGTCGGCGAGATCACGGCCGTCGCTCTTGCGCCCAATGGGGGGGTTCTCGGAGAGGATACGTGCGTTGCCGTACAAATAGAGCAACTGAGTAACTTCTCATGTCGACATGACGGAAAAGCCAAGGAAGGCGACCACAACATCGTGGCAAGCGTAAAATTTGTGAATAAAAAAGACACGGATATGCGGTGCAATGACACGATAGCGGCATTTGATGAGGATGAAGAGGGGTTCAAAGTCATTTGGGAAGAAGAATGCATGATGGGATTTGAGTGCTGTAAGCTGCAAGAGAAAGCAGAGAGAGCTCGCCTGTCTGCTGTGTACATTCCTGTCGTTTGTGTCTCAGTTGAGGCATGCCCCGCTGCTAATCTGTCTGCCCCGCCTACAGCCCAGCCGTCGACATACCGCATGACGGATTTCAAGTACAACAGCTCAGCTCTCGAAGACGGCATCGACCCACCACCTGTCGACCAATGGTGTCTCCAACTAATAGTCGACCGAGAGACTAACACTTCTCCTACTGATAAATTCGCGCCCACAGACGAGTCGACGTATTATTTCAGCTGCGAGGGAGAGTGGGCTGATGTCCAAGTGAGGATTCGCTATGATGTGGGGAGCCTGGATCGTCGAATAGCAGCAGTCAATTATTCGGGCAACGATCAGCCGCAGGTGGGCTTTGCAAATGTGGAGATCAAAGGGACGGTGGAGCAGGTGTGGCCTGAAGACTGCCAAGGCACACTGATGTTCGTCGAAGGTGGGTGCATACATAAGCCAGGGACGGAGAAAACAGCCTGTCATGGATTCCCCTCCTGATACGTGTGTGCTTGCTGTATGTGCAGGCACACTTGTCGGTGGCGTCTCCTTCGACCCAGCAGAAAACCAGGCCCTCAGCCGAGGAAAAGAGAAGACCACGACGTTTGCCCCCGTGATTGAGAGTGTGGGGCCTGGTGTAAGTCGCAAAAGAGTCCTTTTTCCGGAGGTGCTGATCACCTCAAGCGCGCCGATTGGAGAGATGCAGTACACGGTTCTCAATGCCAGCGACGAGTGTTACCTGAATGTGACCCAAACGTTCACGCACGAGACCAATGGGACTTTCAACTCAAGTGAGTATGATCCGAAGACGAATTCGAGCCGTCAACAAACCGTATTCTCCGTCCCTGCGCTGCAGGTGGGCATAGGTAGACATACCAACAAAGACCAGCTTTCATGCTCATGTCCGTCCTCTGATGCATTTGATGTTCAGGTCCGGGACTCAGATAATGACAACGTGACAGATCTCTGGAGCTTCTTCAGAATGTCCTGGTTCAGTGAGGGACAGGACTTATCGCAATGGGTATCTGTAATAACGGGGCCCTTGAGAGAGGTGTGCGGCATCGGGACTGAACAATGTGAGTTGAACCGGAGACATCTACGGGGTCTGACTTTTGATATACGCGTGTCTGTCTCGTCTCTTTCTCCCAGCCCCGCCAGTTCAGATTCAGTGCCTTTCCCATGAGCCCATCGTCGTTGATACCGTCGATCTGTCCGCCACCCCCCCACCACCACCTGACGGCGAGACCCAAAACATCATGGCCCTGACAACGATCGACGGCATCGACCTCAGGTGACATGCAAATCAACCAAGCAGCACTCCGTTGGCATTCCTGTTCGTCACTGTCTTGCTGTTTGGTCTCTTTGCCCTTCAGTACTATCGCCCGCATTGCGCCCACCGAAAGCGAACTGAAGGAAAGCTTCAATGTGACAGAGGTTTCCCCCCTCCAGGTCTCCGGCGAATTCAAGGAGGGAGCCCTAGACTGCTTCCCTGACCAGATCGAGCGCCTTAGAAACGAGACCCAAGGGCGCGGCGGCTTCGTTGTTCGAAGTGTTCCGTTAACTATCAGTGTCAATTTCACTCGAGACGGCGTGGAAAATCGTATTCGTCTGTTTCAAGACTGCCCCGTGCTCGTAATTTGCGGTACGCAGGACGGAAGACAGAGGATGCAAGGACACCAATGGCTTGTTGCTGTCTGTGTGTTCTGATTGTGTTTTCGTGCAGAAGAGGCCTATCCCTTCCGTGGTTAGCCGCTCTTTGCAGCCAAACATTCATGGGGCAACCGACGGACATCGTCCGTGAGCTCGGCATTGTTTGCGGGCCTCCGATCGCGGCACTCAACTTGTCGGCATTTCTACATTCAGCCGCGCGTCCCGTGTGCTGCAGGTCAGAAGAGATCGGCTGCCAGCTCCAGTGTTATTCTGTGTGTGGTCATTTCTGCCTGCCTGCTTCATTTCCAGGTCTCTTCGTCCGTTGTCGGTGTGACGCTTGCACGTATGACGTGCAATGACGGCCGGCCTATTTGTCTATTCGTGCATTCTTTCGTGACTTTTTGCGCCTGTAAGGGGACGGAAGCGTCGTGCTGACGCTGATGAGAGGGCAATCGTCCCTGCCCGCCGTTCATGCTGTTGCTCCACTATGAGGCGCGTGGGCAGGCTGTATCCAATTGGCAGACAGATCGCGTCAATTGATAGACAGCATTGCATCGCTTCATGTTGTTGGGTCCGTCGATGGTTTTGTTGTGAGTGTCCACATGCAATTCAAGTCACATGACTCGCCATCCATCGTGCATGGTAACGTACGCGTTTTCGATTTGGCGCCAATGAACACGCGCACATTCACACACATGTCCGTGACTTAATTCATTCATTCATCGCGTCTCCATGAACACGGAAACGGTTAGCAGCCCTGCGAAAACCAGGCAGGGACGTTCGATGGTGTCGTGTCATGCGACCCCTTGGGGCCGCCTGGCTTGTGTACTTCCCCTGGGCCGGGGGAGTGGCTTGCCAGGTATGTCTTGCATGCTTGGTGTCCATGTTGTATGTGCACAGGTATGTGCCTGTCTCTCACTTTCTCGGCTTTCACAGGGCGCTCGACAATCCGGCCTGGTTATTTGTGAACTGAGAAATTTATCTGATTCGATCACATTGCCTGCAGTGTTCTGTCCTGTTCATGAGGCAGTGTGGCACGTGCAGTTTGTTTGACGAGTGAGATATGGCTGACTGGACATAATAGTACTTCAGTCACAGGCCATTCATGAACGCATCCGAGTCTGCAATACGATGACGACATCGGATGCCTCATATCTATCTATCTTTGTCTGTACTCACTCTTCAGTCATGCACACATGCACTCGCAGACTGAAGAGAGAGAGAGAGAGAGTCAACATCAAATGCACGCCTCATCCATGGGCGTGTACGTGAGTGTGTTCAGCACCTGTGCGACTGAAGGCGTCGCCAGCTGTACGAATGAATGAGAGCTTCTGCATCAGTCATCTCCCCTCTGTACCAGTGCAGTTGGCAAAGCAGCTCAGGCGGCGCAGAGGGGTGTCATCGCCTGCACGAATCAATGGCGAAGAAAGACACAGCTATATGATTTGCACAGATGGAAGCGTGGGTGTTGTGTCTTTGTTGACTCACCATCGTGGTCGTCGAGCGTCTGCTTGCCACCCAGCAGCGCAGTCCCTCTGGACACGCTACGGTCACCCTAACCGAAGGAGCCTCTCCAAGCAGACGGGGTCTGCGAACGCACCGCCAGACAGACCCTCAGTGCACACCACGCCACCGACAATGCCTCCTCCATCCCCACCACACCCACTCGACGCATCCGACACCCTGCAGCCCTTGTCCGCCCGGCCTCCTCACCGCCCACCACACCACCGATAACGCCTCGTCCATTGTCACCACACCCACGTGAGCCACCCGATCCCTCTGCTTCCTTGCCGTGGTCTTTGTGTCCTCCGATGCTGTCGGCAGCGTCGTGGCCGGCCGCCTGCTGGGGGCGAAGGGGGGAGGGCAGCGGACGGCAACACGTTAGCAGATGATGACTCAGGCACAGCGCTCTCAGCGGGCAGCTCACGGACAACACACAACTGTTGACCGTCCCTCCACTGTTGTTGCAGAAGGGCGTCATCGCCTGCATGAATCAATGGCGTGGAAACGCACAGCATACGTAGATGGAGGGGTGGGCACCCCCCACACAGCCATCCTGATGCGCCAGCACCAACACACCAGTGACAGCCGCACAATGTTCTCAATTTATTGAATGTTCTCATCCGTTTGTGTGTTATTTGTGTGTTCCTCGCCTCTGCGAGCAAGGAGCCTCTGAGCTTCATTTTCCCTCTGCGTGCGTACGCGACCAGCGATCGGTCTGCGAGCTTAGCTGTTTCCGAGGACCGTCGTTTTGCCGATCTCACGACTCAGTTTGTGTCAGATCAGACCCTTGCTGTCATGTGGTCGAATCTGGCAGCTTTCTTGCTCCCGCTTGCGCTGCTTGCTGACGACACCTTTGCACTCAGCAGACCGCCAACAGCATTCCTGTTGCCCCTGAGAAGCGAGGAGGGGCCAACACGAAAGAGAACTGGTCGCGTTCGCAGCGGTTTTGCGTCGCTGAGGATGTCTGGTGCGCCGACGGCCATCAGTGAGCCACCACCGACAGCCATTGAGCCAAGGCGGGAGTCCAGGCATGACCCGTAAGCGCACAGCAACGTGCCATGAAGGGAATGGCTTCTTCGTGGGTTCTCTTCGTGTTCAGGTCGCTGTGTGACGTAGATGCGTTCAAGCGGAACTTCATGGAGCCACCAGAAGGCTACTATTACCTTGAGGGGGACATACCGAGCGACCTGGAGGTGAGGAAACGGCATTGCTGGGTCAAGCATGATGGTAGTTTCTCATTTGTGTGGCCGTGCCCGTGTGATGTGCTCATGTGGTCGCGCAGGGAACGTTCTTCAAGAACATCCCTGCGAAGTTTGAGATCGGCGGCGAGAAGATCACACACCCATTCGACGCACATGGAATGGTAGGCCCGCACGAGGGACGAAGAGGCCGACACACTGATCTGCGCACACATGATTTTGTCCCTCTCGGCCTCTCAGATAGCGGCGGTGACCTTTCAGGACAGCACGGCGTTCTTCAGGAACAAGTTCATCCGAAGCCCCTACTACCTGCGGGAGCTGAGGGCCAACCGCATCCTCTACAGGGGCGTCGGCACACAGAAGAAAGGCGGATGGATACGTAACGTTTTCGACACGTTCCTTCGCAACGTCGCCAACACCCATGTGGTCTATTGGTCGGGATTCCTGCTCGCCTTGTGGGAGGGGGCGGCGCCCTGGAACATGGACCCAATTGCTCTGGGCTGCTGGGGGGCCACCGACCTCCGCAAGTCGCTGGAGAACACGAGGGACCCGTTCAGCGCCCACTACAAGATCGACCCCATTCGCAATCGGCTAGTCAACTTCGGCACCAAAATCGGACTTAACTCGGGCAAGGTGGGAACCGAGACGAAAAGGGATGATGGGCAGGAAGCGGCGTCGATGTGTGTGGTGTGTGTTTGTGTCCGCGCAGGTGACCGCATGGGAGTACGACGACCAGTTTGACTGTGTGTCGCGGAAGTCGTTCAACGTCCAGGGGACGCCATTCATGCACGACTGGGCGCTGACAGACAAGTAAGCACGCCAGACGGAGCCTCTCAGTCACCGTCTAAAGCAATGTCGGTGAATTCTCCCTGGTCTGTGTGTGTGCAGCTATTATGTGTGGTTCCAGAACCCGACCAGCTTCAACCCTTTCGCTTTCCTTTTGGGCACGAAGACGGCCTTCGAGTGCATCGACTTCGACAAAACCAAACCTGCAGTCGTCCACCTGCTGCCCAGAGACAGCAACATGAAGGTACACGCGTAGCTAACACACGTGTCTGTGAGGAGATGTGGTTGCATCTTGGTTGCGTGTGCCGGTGGTGTGTGTCAGGATGGCGAGGGATTGATCAGTGTGCCGATCGACAGCTTCTTCAACTTTCACTTCGTCAATTCGTATGAGGACAAGGGTGAGCCACACATGAACACGGCAAACATGGCCGACGGACGTATCGGATCGTTTCCCTCCTGTCTGTCTGCCTGTCCTCTCTCTCTGTCTCTGTGTGTGTGTGTGTGTGTGTGTCTCCAGCCACGGGTGAGGTGGTGGTTGATGTGGTGACGATAGACAACTACGATAAGTTCGACATCGACGATGACATTCCGCTCTACGAAGCAGAGGACCTCTTCGCCAACGTGTCAAAGGTATACACACATCCAGATACAACGCATTCATCACTCTTCTGGAATCATCTCCCTTTATTGTGTGTGTGTCAGTCTCTGATGTATCGGTATCGACTGAACACCCGTGACGGCACCTTCAGGAAGGAGCCGCTCGTCACAGACCGCTCGCTGGACTTCCCCACAGTCAACCCACGAGTCGTCACACAAAAACACAGGCAAGCACCGGGGGAAGCCATCCTTGCAAGACTTGCGCAATGAGATAAATGTGCTGTGGCTCGTGTGTATGGTGCGCACAGGTATGTGTGGTTCTGTGCCCAGAGTGAGGTGGGTCCGAGCGGCCCTGTACAGGCGCCCGTCAAGCTGGACGTGGAGACAAATGAGAGACAGGTACGCATTTTAAGGGCGCCATCCATCACTCAAGCATGGACTGGAATCCCCTTCTCTGCGTGCGTCCTTATCCCTTCATTGTCAGATATGGTTGCCCGAGCCCCACGAGTTCGTTGGCGAGATGGTGTTCGCCCCCAAGAAGGCCAAGCCGCCATATCCCGACACGCCGGAGGACGAGGGATACCTACTGGCATACCTCTTTAACGGGCGAGATATGAAATCTGAGGTACGCGACATCACCGAAACACTTGCTACCAAAAGGCCAGTCAGTGACGCAATCTCCCGTCGCGTGTGGCTGTGATGTTGGTGCAGCTGTTGATCTTTGAGGCGCGTGACATCAGTCAGGGGCCGATCAGGAGGCTGCCCCTGCAGTATGCCCTCCCATTGGGGCTTCACGGGCAGTTCGCACCGGACGCCGTCTTTGACAAGAAAAGGTGCGCAGATTCTGGGCGTCATCGTCTCTGTCACGTTTCCATCCTATCTCTGGATTTGTGTGTGTAGGCTTGAGAAGCAGGTGGATGTGGCGATGCTGTGGCTCGACAAGGGCTGGGGGCGCAAGAGTGAGGCGGGATTCTCGATCATCGATCCCGCAATACTATGATGATGATAGATATCATCAGAGGGCCGCTGTCCATCCACCGCCTTGTCTGTTGAATGGAGTTTTTCCGCTGCTCTGTGTACATAACGAGTCGGGGTACTGGCTGCCTACCAACCCATCTGCCTGTCTCCTGCCTCCCTCTTCGTCTTGTTCTGCCCCCGTTTTGTTCCTTCCCTCATTCTATATGTTGGCCGCTCGTTTTGCCACATTCATGGTGCTGCCGTCCCGAAGGGACCTTTGCAGTGATAATGATAAGTGAGAGTACTCATCGTGCATGCGTGTCACACGCGCATTCCATTACAGGTGTACAGGGAGTGGGTGGGGATCACGGGTAGCAATCGTCTTTATGGTCACATGTGCATCATGGGACGCAGTGACGCGCAGACACTCATTCATGCTGTGATCAAAACGCGTAGCTTTATGCAGACATCGCATCAGGACGTCTTGTAGAAAAGGACCAATGGAACAGATCAATGACAGCAAGCGTGTGCGCTGCTGACTCAGCAGTGGTGTTCATCTCTCTCACTTACAAAACGATTCCGCATCTAACGGTCAATGGATACGTACATAGCTCGCCGGTCACATCTTCTCTCCTTCCCGCCAAATGAAGGCAACGACAGCCCAAACACGTCCTACGTGGCTAAAGAGAAGGCGACCAAACACGACAACGCAACTAAATCGTGTCTCTCGCTGCATGATACACACAGTACGAAGGTCTCTCTGTCGTGTGTGTGAATGACAGATGCAGGACGTCTTTTCGACATCCGTGCAACCGTCTGTCTCTCTGCCCATGTATCAGTCAAGTCGTACACACATCACCCCAGCGCCCCACCAGCCGAATCTCTGAATGTCGAGAGGTCCCCACCCTACCCGCTCGCTTCGACGAGCTTTCTTCACGCAATGGTGGCGCCAGCAGCAAATTCTGTGCCCACGTCGTCGACAGTAATGCCACTTCCAAGGTCAAGGGCGCAGCATCCAGTGTGCTCGAATATAATCAAGGTGTAATTGCAGTCCGCAGTGAACGAGACGCAGCCGAGCTGCCATTCAATGCATCGACACACAACGCACACGGGGGAATGAATAAATGAATGAGATGCGTGTATACAGTAAGCACCTTCACACACATTCACGTACGTACCTCGAGTTTGACCGTCCCTCTTCTAACACCATCGACGGCGGCCCGGACGACAATCACGTTCTCATAGTTGTCGACAGCGTCAGTCGCCACCCTCGACTGAATGTCTTCTTCGTCGTCTGTGCCTGGGAAGAGAACCACTTGAAAGTCTGTGTCGGCCACGTTACTGTCGACAGCAAAGACGACATTCGAACCGTCTGGAACGGTCGAAGGAATCTCCACTGTGTACTCGTCGATGAAGAAGTCGAGGCCATCCATGTCGGCATCATCCGTCACCTCAACAGCCATGGGAAGGCCTGTCCTTGTGACCTCACAGTTGATGCCGCTGATGGTGCCGCTTTTTGAGCCGTCCGCGTTAGTGACCTCATTGCTGATAGTGCACGCGGGGAGGCCATTGGCTGCGCTGCCTGCACCACCAGGGATCCATTGAGCATGACGTCACATGAGCCTCTCTCTGCACTGTGTCTGACCAGGGCATGCCGTTGTACTTTCCGGGGCCTCACAATCCTGCTCTGCGCCTAACGAAAGCCCACAGAATAGGCAGCTTGAGGTGCACTGTGGCCTCGCAAACCATCACACGTACCTCGTCGTTGGAAGAGCTCATCAAGTGCCTCTGGCGGACCGTCCACCATGACCACCCTGCCGCCTCTCTTGACGATGTTGACGTCCTCCACGTCGTATCGACGAGAGAGCAGCGCGTCAATTACCAAAGAGCTCTCCAGTTGAGCAGCCGCCTTCCCTGTGGCACGAGGCGCCCCGTACACTCCGACAAGCACGACGAAACAAAGGGCCAATACCAGCTTCATCTCGTTTATCATCACAGGGGTGCACGAGGCCGAAGAGCAACCCTCGAATGCCGCGAGACCAGGAAAGAAATCGTAGTCCGCCACCACGCTGTAGCGTAAACTCAGGTGTCGAGACTGGGGGCTGCGGGGAGGAGTCTCAACTTTCCCTCCCTTCAGCCGGGAAGTTCTTCCCTATCCCGATGACGGAAATATACACGAGCCTCGAGGTCGTAAACAAGTCCAACCGTAGAGGTAAGATGACGGTGGGTTTCCAGCGCGGAGTCTGTATGCACAGGTTCTCTTTGCTGTTGACAGCGCACATTCGACTGTGTCCAGGTGGAGAGGTGGAAAAGGTCAGGGAGGACATCGAGCAGGCCAAACGACAGCGCAGAGCGAGGACTTGGAAGGTCGGGGTGGGCGTTGAAGTCGGTGGGTTTGGAGGCCGTGCTGAAGTGGAAAATGAGACTGAAGATGAAGACGAAGAGGACGACAAGAAGCGGCTTGAGATCAACTACAGATATTTCGAGCGAGCAAACAACTGGCACATGCTGGGTGCCGGCAAGGACCTCACCCTCTACAGCATCGCGTCCTCCTACCTGTCCATCATCATCGAGGACATGTACACTCCCTACATTCTGCAGCCGATGGTAAGCAAGGGATGCGCGTGGGTGTGCAAATCAATGCGTTGGTGTTATTTCTGTGGTGTGGGTGCCTTTTGCGGGAAGCTAATTCACCCTTGGAAGCTGCCCGACGGTATTGTCCTCTGCAGAGGCAACCCCCCCTTCAAAAAACAGCTGCAGAACCGCATTGATGACGAGAACCAGGGAGAGCCCCCTTTCTCCCTTGAAAACGTGGGCACCATTCCTCCTCTTGTCCTCACGGCCTTCAAGGGCCCCGACAGCTTTGATCTGGGGCTGAGAGAGAAGACGACGCCGCAGATTGGCAAGCCCATCGCCAAGAAAGAGCTGTGGAGGAAGGCCCATGACGATCTGACCATGAAGAAAACCGAGACATTCCGGCTGATTTCTCTAGCATTCCCCAACAAGACGCTTGCGGTTAAGCCAGCAAGTATCGACCAGCGTCGGCGGCCCAAGCTTATCCTTGAGACACCTGCGCTTGAAAAGGACAGCGTCGACCGGGCGGAGTACCAGCAGTGGACACAAGTCGATCGACAAGAGCTCGTCATCTCGCCCGCGAAGAAAGCCGGATTATGCAGTATTTGCACTTTTTGCTGCTGTGCTTGCTGCAAGCACTGCATCGAAGCCGCTGGGGCGAAGGATGATGATCTAGTTTTCAGCCCCAAAGGCCAGAGCGAGAATAATTTCGTCTACGGCAATCCCAAGATGTATGAGTGCGTGGGTCTGCCTGGGCATTTTTTGGCAGCCAACGGCAAGAGTGTGGAGATCCAACAATTTGATCAAGGGAGTGCCCCCCGTCGGACATTGATTTGGAGGGCCATGGGGGAGGAGAGGAGAACTTCCATAACTTCTCCAGTGCAAAGTGAGGAGAGACAGCACTTTGATGCATGAAGCTGTCTCTCGTCTCGGTGCATTACTTGCAGATCTGCTGCCTCTGCGGGGTGCCCCACCAAGCCTTCCTGGAATAGTGGATGTCGATGAGGCCCTGCCTCCGTCTGTGCTTGCTCCAGCGGCACCCAGCAGTGGACAGACGGCACAGACAGCCACCGAAGAGGTAGACCACAGCTTGTCTTTCGTACGGATCGTGTCTCGCTTCGTCTTTTCTAGATTACCATATTCGACGCAAGCGCTGAGCAAAACATGGAAGTGCTAGCACGGTTGATCGAGCAGAAAGGGGCAAAATGCCTGGAGGAAGTTGACAGTGTAAGCCACACTTAAGTGCAGGAGCGATGGCCACTTGAGCTTTGATCGATTCCATTTCCAGGACGGGTGCACAGCCTTGCATTGTGCCACCTTGAATGGCAAAGCGGAAGCGGCGAAGAAGATAATCGAGGGTGGGAGGACGGCCCTCATAAAAATGGCAACCAAGGTACGCTTATTCATTGTGAAATCCTTTTCCACTATATTTTCCCCTGCTTTTGCTCTCAGTCGTATCCCCCGCCTATACATGTGGCGGCGTCCAAAGGTGATGTGGAGTTGGTCGGCACTTTCCTTGATGCCGGACTCGCAGCCGGAGGAAATGACCTCTTCACACTTCCTGACAAAGTGGGCAGCCTCGCAATGCACAAGAGCCTCCACATCGTTCTACTTTCCTGCTGCGTGTGCCACGTAGTTCGGCAACACCATCGCCAGTGAGGCTGCTGAGGAGGGGCATTTGGAGGTCCTCAAGGAGATAGTCGCGCGCCAGAAGGACCCCAAGGTTTTCATCTTGTCACTCAAAGACAAGGTAAGCCTGTGGCTGGCGAAGAAACGTTTCAATTGGGTATTGCTGATTGCTGTCTCATAGAGGGGCCGGACGCCTCTTCACTTGGCTGTGCGAGAGGGCCACAATGAAGTGTCGAAGCATTTGCTGGAATTGGGAGGACCGGCCTTCCTCGATAAAGCCACCAATGTGCGTCTCAACACCAACAGAGACAGGAAGTCCAGTGCGTGTCTCTGCTCGTGTGATTCAGAACGGCGACACGCCATTCATCGTAGCTGCGGACAGCGGCAACCTGCCAATGGTACGCCTGATGTACTCCACGATGCCGAAAGAGCGGCGCAAAGAGCTTTTGGACCAAACGAACAATGTAAGCAAACAAGGCACAAGACGCCGACTACGCAGTCTGTTTGGGTGGGGTGTGACTGCAGGGTGGATGGAAGGCGGTGCATCGTGCCTCACGGAAGGGCCACACGGTCGTCATAAACGAGCTGTTGAAAGCGGGAGGCGCCGCCATCCTCAGGGACCGCACAAAGAACGATGAGACGCCATTCATTCTAGCTGCGGCAGGCGGCAGTGTAGCCGTCATGGAGCTCATCTACAAATACGATGGGAAACCGCTCCTGGAAGAGCGCACCAAAGTGAGCCCTCTTCGGACAGCAGAGGCGCATTGCGCGTCTATTGCTCTCTCCGTGCATGCTGATCGTCAGAGCCAGTGGACCGCTTTGCACTGCGCCGCAAACAACGGCCATGCGACTGCAGTTCGCAAGCTGCTGAACTGGGGTGGCGTGTCTTTGCTCGAGCAGCGCACCGACGGACAATTCACGCCCTTCCTGTCTGCAGGTGATGAAGGATGCCATTGACATTCTAGCCCCTATCTGCATGAACCAATTCTTGACGCAGCAATGCCAAGGTGATGCAGGTCATGTATGATGCTCTCCCAGACCAAGCTGGTCGCAAAAGCTTGTTGGAAGAGCACAATAAGGTGAGGAAGCCCTCAGTCAAGTAAAGGCTCATGGATGAAGAACAATCGATGTAGGGCAAGTGGACGGCGATTCACTGCGCGGCGAACAAGTGACACAGTGTCGCTGTGGGTCAGCTGCTCGACTGGGGCGGCTTGCCGCTTCTGGAATCGTTTACCGATGGAGGATACACCGCATTCCTGACGGCTGCTGGCGGAGGACACGTCAAGGTGATGCGTACGATATATGAGAGAGTGCCGGAGGACAGGCGTCAGGGGCTGCTGGAGCAGCAGGGCAAGGTGAAGGCGAGGCGATCCCATGTCTCCGTTGCATCACTGTGTGTGTGTCTCGTCAGGGTGGACGGACCGCGTTGCACTGCGCCAGCGCAAATGGACACTTGGAGGCAGTCAGGCAGCTCTTACAGTGGGACAAAGCAGCCCTCGCTCGCAAAAACGATAAGGTGGCAGGACATACATACGCTGGCATGGCCATCGGCGATTGGATGTATGTCATATGTGCAGGGCGAGACACCATATGAAGTGGCCAAAAATAAGGACATACGGGAGGCCATGGACAGATATAGAACATGAGGGCTATGCAAGTGTATCGAGTCTTCTAGCTGTGTGTCTTGATCTCGCCATCTATCATTAGGATCCCCTGTCTGAGGAGACTCGCATTGGCATGAAGACAAAGGTCTGGTGTCCATGAATTCCCTCAATAGCTAGTGTGCGAGAGACGCAACAGTCCACCTACATGACAATGAAGGCCTACGATAAAAGGGTTGAAATCGCTCACATCACTCCACGGATCGGTCATGCCTTCCTATTGACAGTGACAGAAGGCAGCTTCAAGATGCCCTTTGGCGAGCCTCCACTGCTGCGTCGCATGCTCGTTGAAGACAGTGATCCCTCTTCCGATAGATATGCATCGTCCTTGAAGCTGACTGCCCGTTGGGGTCGATGTGCTTGCATTGGGACATGGTGAGACGTCACTGGCTCATCACTGTCGTCTTCCACATCGTCATCTCCGAAACGAATGTCTTCGAATCTCCTTGCAGACGCAGATGTGGGCTGCTCCTCGTCTTGGTCCTCCCGTGGTAATGAGAACGACGGCCGCGTGCGTCTGTGAGCATCCCGTGGTGTGACGGGCTGGAGATCAGTGACTGATGGGGCTGCTGACGCAGGTCTGTCTTCCTCCTGCTCGTCATCGGCATCATCGCTCGTGTCTTCGGGCTGGCCAGGTGGGCCCATGTCTTGGTGCTCCAGAGGGTCGGCCCCGCCCTGTGCGATGACTGAGAAGCGGTGGAAGGCTTGTTGCCACGCCTCTTCCCGCCGCTTCCGGTCCACAACATGTGGCTCGTCCTCACTATCCCAATGCCACCTCTGATCTGGCATCATGGCGCTTTCACGCCTCGTGCTCGCAATAATCTCTGTCAAAAGAGACAGAGGGATTGCGACATGACGTGAATGCAGGCGTCCTTCGTGCTCGGACCGTGCATGTCATCGCCTGTCTTCTTGGCCACATTGATGAACATGAGCATTGACTGGCGAAAGGCGGGGCGATCGATCGCGACGTTCTCATCCTGTGGAGGGGGAGGAGGCCTCAGACGAGTACTGCCGATGGTCGACCTTCTGTGGTCGTCGTCCACTTGATCTCTTTCCCGCGATCTCCTCCGTTTTGTCTTGTATTCTGTCGTCACTCCCGTTGTGATGGCAAGCTCGTCGTCCTCTTGCTTCTGCCAATCTGTAGCAGCGGCGATGTCAGCTCGAGGAGCCCGGTGTGTAGGCGGTTCTTCCCTCGTGATTTCGTGGTCGCCGTGCCCCTCTTGTTCTTCCCCAGCGTAGCTTGCTTCCTCGTCTCCAGCATTCTCATCTTCTCCCCCTGCTTCAATCGGCTCACCTTCTTCTTGAATCCCATCGCCCCCTTTTTCCTCCTCCTCGCTCTCGATCTGCCCGTTAGCGATAGCCGCGGGTGTCTCTGACTCGGACACAGACTCTTTCTCAGTCTCGGCAGCCTTTTGCTCCAGCATGCGTGTCTGTGTCTCCTCCATCTTCTGTCTCCGCCGCTGCTCCTCTTCTTGCTGACACACAGACAGTTGCAAACACATACATAGGCGCAGCTCTCCAGCATCCAAACTCGGCCAGCAGTCACCTCTCTTTTCTCCAGCAGCTCCCGATCTCGCTCTTCCTGGGTGACGGGGCTCACACAGGCGACCACCACAAAAACGGATGACATGCCTTCCGGCAGGCTCGTCTTCAAAACGCCAATAGCGAATCGAGCACCGCGATCCCTCACTGTGGCCAGAAAAGGCGTCTGCTCGGTGACGCGCTGGGCGATGGTCGTGGACTTGACCGTGTTGAAGTGGAAGAAGCTCATCAGCAGCCGATGATTCTCGGGCGTCTTGGTATGCATGACCGACTTCCAGTCGTTAAGCTGAGCCCTGGCATACTGCAAGTCCTGATAGCTCTCACGAATCTCCAGCTGCTCGTAGATCATCAGACCTCTGATAGAAGAAAAGACGCGCATAAGACATTTGTCGCTGTCTCCTACAGGCTCACTCACTTGTGGAGGAACGCCTCGAGCTTGTCGTCTCGGTGGAATTTGGTGCTGAGGCTGAGTGAGGTGCGGTGTGTGGCAATTTCATACTGCAGCCTGTCGTGAATGTCCTCCATCTGCCGCAGACGTCGCTCGTCCTTGTTGGGGTCCTTGGCCGCGGTGAGCGACTTCGGAGAGTAGAACGGCCTCAGCGGCTCCTTCGTCCTGTGGAACGGATACCAAAGCTCCTGCACAGTTGCACGGACCCGTGAAGTCGAGACAGAAGGCTACAGTGGATCTTTCTCAGCGTACATCGTTCCACAGGTCATAGTAGATCTTGGCGGGGCTGTGGTGCTGCAGGTTAGCCCAGACGTTGGTGGTATCAAAGACCACATCGATACTGCGGTAGGGCAGAGGGTCATGCTCCTCAAATGACCTCTGCGTACTGTCGCCGTCCGTCTCCCCATCGCCACTGGTGCTGATCGACAGCGAACAGGGAGATGGGACATGTGATCGTCTTGTCTGGAGTTTTCAGTGTGGCTTACACGGGGAATAAGGATGACTCCTCGTCGAGTTTGACGGCCTTGTCTCTCCGTCGCTCTGCAGCCACAAACAAAAACAGAGATCATAAACGTATGTTGTGCCGATGTCTCTTCACGTGCATACGCCTTTTTTTTCTTCTCGATGCCTTCTCTTTTCCCGAGTCTTCATGTCCTGTACGAGGAAAAGCACCAGCAGGGATGCAAGCCCAAACAGATTCACGTTTTGTGTGTCTACGTGGACAAATTTGTCGAGAGCAGAAGGCTGCCTTGCCTCTATCTGCTCAATCAGCCTGCAGCAAGTGACAAGGAAGAAGAATGTGCGCCATTGCAGGCCTTGACTGCAGGGTTACTTCTTCGCCCGTTCCGTATCGTAGAATCGGTGAGGCTGGTTGTAAGTCGTGAAAGGTGTCGTCTCCCAAAATCTGACGACACAAACGTATTCATCAATCAAGCAAAATGGACACAGAAAGGCTTACTTGACAGTGAGCCTCTCCGAATGCCATGTCATGACCCACGCATGCGGCCGCCTGTTCCACAGCGTCCCAATACAGACGTATGCAGGCGTGGGATAGCCCAAGAGGATGCTACAGTGGAGGATGCAGTGGTCGATTGGCGGTCCGACTTTGGTCATGAGGAAGAAATCTGGGCTGGTGATCACAAGCCGCTTCCGTTTCCTCCGTCTGCCAGTCGCGTCACCGTCTGTCTCCACTGTGTCGAGGGGTCTGGCGGCTGAGAAAGGGATGTTTTGTATGAAGTATGCGATGACGTTCTCGTTGTCGAGGTCCTTTGGTGGGGTGACGGCCGTGAGATAGGTCGGCAGGAAGTGTTCCCGCTGCCGCTGATCGATGGCCATGGACGGAAAGAAGCGATCATTGATACGATGGGCACTCGTCTTGGCGTCAAAGTTGGCCTTGTGTTTGGTGAAGTTCTTTGCAATGGCTTTCGGAAGACCGTCCGTCGAGCTGTGAGCCGCTTCGGTGCGAGGTCTGCACCAAATGGAAAGATAAAAATGTAATTTCTGAGAATCCAGACATCTTACAATGGTGCATCGAGTAGGTCAATCAGGCTTGGCTTTGTCCAAATCTGCCAACGCAAACAAGGCAGAGTCTCATCTGACCATGTGAGAGACACGCGTCTTCATGTCTCACTTGCAGTTTAAGTCTGGGCTGTTTCTCCCGTGTCCACGTGAGCGTGAGGTCCTTGCGGCCCGACCACACATACGCCTTGTACGCCTCCTCCTTGCCACTCACTCTGCACACAAGCAACCAATCAATCAATGACTGACGATCGCATCCCGGGCCTGTAATTGTCTACTTGCTTACACATTGAGGCATTTCTTCTCCTTGGCCGGAAATGGCTTGCCGTCCTTGTCGCTCAGTATTTCCCACAGAGGCACCTCAACACCACCCAAATGATCGCTGCCTGACGCAGACACAGCAATTCACATACACAGGCCTTTGCTTTGCTTATTGGTTGGTTGACCCTCGATATCGTTTGCGAATCCCCAGACATCGAATGCGATTGGCCCCTTTGCCTTGACATCCGACATGGCCACTCGCTCCTCGCCCTTGCTCTCGCCCTCGCGAATCTTGTATGGAGACAGACGGATCGCAAACGCAAGCTCGTCCTGGACAACAGCCGCAGGTATAAAACGGGTCTCCTCCCATCTATGTCGGTCTCACTTGGTACTCCGGCTTCAGCGAGCCCCTGATGGGCCGGGTGTGGCGCGAGGTACCATCGAATGTCACTTGTACACACGAGTCGATCTGGTCCCTGTCGTCTCGCGTATACAAGTGGTCGATCTCGATAACACGGACGATCAGATAAAACGCGCCCGGAATGATCTCCAACACGTCCCCAACCTGACGGTACCGAGGCTGGTGCAGGATCTGTACCTGCACGAGAGATCGACATGCACAAGCCTTATTGTTGCAGTGTGTCCCATGGTGCTTTCCCACCTTGCCGTGTACGAGACCAAAGAACCACTAAGAGACGTCGATCCCTTCGGAGTCTGCCCTGTTGGCCAGGGCAAGGGGCGCATTTAGCTGGCGACGGACATAGCCCGACTCCAGCACACCTTTCAACGGCATGAAGGCACTGCCGATCAGCCGCTTGGTCCGCTCATCCACTGCACGGACCTGATACAAACAAAAACAACCGCAGGCACAAGGAAACTGTGTGTCTCACTGCTTGTGCAGTGTCTTTACTTGCGCACATTGAGTGCAGAGTTCTCCAGATCGGCAGCCGTGCCGCGGAAGTACAGAACACCAATGGAGTCCCAGGAAGGGTTGTTGGTGCGCTTCTGCATGGGGCTTGTACAAGCCAGTTTGTTCATGGGGCTCCTGTACATGACGCCTTCCCGCGAGGGGATCTCCAGGTACAGCCGCGGGTTGCACAGCTCCTCCGCCTCCAGTGTGTTGGTCGTCGGGATGAAATGGGGCAGCTCTCTCTCGCCCACATCGGAGGAATTGACCTCAGACGACGCCTTCGATGAAGACTTCTCCTGCTGCTCGTCCTCCCCCATTTCCAGATCTTGTGAGCCACGCTCGTACGGCCTCACTCGCTCTTCAACGACGCTGGCCCTCCGGAGATTGCCGAATGGGAGCATCTCCATGTCTGCCAAATTGTCCAGCTGGCGGTTGATCTCTGACACGATCCATCTCACGCCGATGTGTCCTCCGCCGCCTGTTTTCTCGTCAATAGTTCTTTGCAGCATCCACTGTGCCTTGTTGGGGTGCATGATCTTCTCGATGCTCCAGTTGTTGAACAGCAGCTCGAAGTCATAGATCTCTTGGAAATACAGCTGGAAGCTCACCCGACAGACGTCGACCATTCCCACCCTCTTGACCTTCTGCTTGATTGTCTCATCGAAATACACCGTTCCCTGCGCGAAATTCACCAGCGACTTCTCCAGTGTCCCAACCAGCTTGTTGAGCGCTCGCCGATACCACTGCCAAACCTGACACGCACGAGACAGACACAAAAGGGCGCTGACAAATGCAAAGAGACGCGTGATAGTCCTCACTCGTTCCAAGCCGCACCTGCACGACGACCTTCTCAAGTTCGAGGTCAAGGTAGGAAGCCCGATACTCAAAGATCTCCTGCAGGTCGAAGTCTCGTGTCTCCTCGGGAGCAATGCCCTCCTGCACACTGGTGCGCACGAAGCACTGCTTCCTGAGGCTCTCTGGGTTAGCGGCCACGTACACACGCTCCTTCTTGTTGTCAGCCACTATTAGTCCTTCACTGTAGCCGCCGAATGTGAAGTCGCAGAAGAGGTCTCTGTTTCCATAGAGCTCAAATCAAGGCAAGGTCATGAATAAGTCAAGGCTTCGTTATGATTGCTTACTGGGGCCCCTGAGTGAGGTTCTCTATCCGCATGTCCCATATCTTCACCTTCACAAAAGAAACAGGGACCATGCAGATGTGGGCATTGCAGTGATACATGAATGTCCGCACCTGCCATCTCCGTGGGTAGCTCCAGTGCTGCGCTTCCTGGTCGCTGGCGCCCCGTCTCTTCCAGCCCTCCTGGATCTTTTCCACACGCGCAAAGAACTGGTCCAGCGGTATTACCTTCTCGGGCGGAGGCGTTAGCTCATCCTCAGCCTCCTCATCCCCCTCGTCGCCGCCCTTCTTGCCCTCTGCCTTGGCCTCCTCCTCATCGGCTGCATCTTCGTCATCTTTCTTCTTCTTGCTGTCCTTCTTGTCGTCGCTCTTGCTGCCTCCAAGCAGCCGCCCTCCCACGCTTGCAAGGAACATCATTTTCGGTAGGGCGATCTGCTGCTAAGCTTGCAGATCTCGAAGCCAGATCTGACCGCAATCATGGTTAAGTTTGGCAACACGATAGAGCAGGAGAGTCTGCCGCAGTGGCGGGGCTACTACATTGACTATAAGAGGTGATCATCAAGTGGCAGCAGCTGTGCATACCCGTGAATGGATGGCCGTTCTGTGTGCTCAGGCTCAAGAAAGAGATCAAAGAAGTTGTTGCCAAGATCACAGCCCAGGAGCCAAATGCCGACATCAAGGAATCTATCGACAGGTGAGCCGAAAGGCGGCGTATGATGGATGGTGGATGGGTCTGCGGCGCCTCTGCCTGTGTGCAGATTCGGGAACCTGCTGGACCACGAGATCAACAAGAGCGCCGTAAGTACTCGCAGAGATGCAGCGTGGAATGATTGATCTATGATGATCTACGACGTTGCGCCTGCCTGTTGCGTTGGCCTGCCTGCCGCGCGTGTGCAGATCTTCTATGAGGACGTGTTGAAGCGCGGCGTCAACAGCCTCGCCTCACTCAAGAAGCGATGGCCATACATATCGCCCACCACACTCCCACTCATGTGTAAGGACGAGCAAACGGCATACGATATGCGGATACATCGAAGTATTGCGTCGTGCGTCAGATGGCGAGTTGCGCCAGACGACCGAGGAGATGGCCGACGTCATCAAGTTCGCCGAGCTGAACGCCGAGGTCTTCTTTCGCAACGCACACTCACATTCCCGTGTGATATCTCTGCTTGTGTGTGTGTGATAGGGAGTCAGAAAGATCCTCAAGAAATGCGAAAAGAAGACCAAAATGGTCAGCCTCTTTCGTGTGCAAACGACATCATCGCATCCGTGCTGCTCTCTTCCACTATCAGGCTGGCTTCATATACCGTGGCACGACTGGCGAGGGGCTCCTGAGAGACTTCGTGCGCCAGCGTCTGAGACCCGACAACACCGCCTCTCGTCTGGACGACCTGCGGCTGTCGCCCAACATCCCCCGCCTGTGGGGTGAGCTCCAGGCCATGTTCAGCTCAATGCGTGAGAAGGAGGACCAGTGGCTGCGGGAGGGCAAGATCACCAGGCACCAGGTCAACGAGCTGCACGGCCGCACGACAGAGCCCATTGTGGACGGCGAGGGCCACCTCATCGAGCGCAAGCACACCGAGGAGCTGTTGCTGACCTTCCAGCGCCGAGCCATGCGCACCGCCAGGAAGGCCAAGTTCTACAGCACACTGGCGGGCCAGGCGCAGATCGACTATGAGGCCGAGCCCGTCGGCGCGGCTGATGCATTCGGGTGAGCCAGGGAGGGAGAGGACACAGATCGGAAGACCGACGACGCTTGTGCATACGTGTGTGTGTGGTGGTCAGTTTGTTTCTGAATCACTACAACACGTTTCTATACATGGCCAACTACTACGTGGTGATTCCCACGGCCAACGAGTACGCCAGCGCTCTCGGCATGTGGGCCACACTGTCGGGTCTGCTGCTCGCCATGACGCCCCTCTCGTCCCTGCTGTCGTCCGTCATTTACTCACTCTGGTCCAACCGCAGCTTCAAGCAGCCGCTCGTCTTCTGCACAATCATCCTAGTGCTCGGCAACCTCCTCTACGCTCTGGCCTTGCCGTTCGGCAGCCCTGCACTGCTTTTCCTGGGTAAGCCACGTCAGCCAGCCACCTGTGCTCATCTACATCTCCTGTCTGCATATGTCTATGTCTATGTCTATGTGTATGTGTCTTGTGGCTGTGTGCAGCCCGTCTGATTGTGGGTCTTGGCGGGAATCGGGCGGTGAACCGTCGGTACATAGCGGATTTCGTGACGATCGACCAGAAGACCTTCCAGTCGGCGATATTTGTCGCCGTGGGGTCACTGGGGATGACCGTCGGGCCCGGCAGCCAGACGTTGCTCAACATGATCAACTTCTCGGTCAGCTAACGGCGTGTGCGCACATCCCCGTTCCGTGCGTCTATGCGTATTGCAGGTGTTTGGTCTGCCTGTGAATCCCCTGACGGCCCCCGGCTGGATCATGGCCATCCTTTGGTTCATATTCTTCTTCATGACGTGGCTGGCATTCACTGAGCCCATCAGGAAATACGCAAAAAGGTATATATGACGACCAACCAAGTGCACACAGCAACCGGCTGGCTGTCTCTCTCTCTCTCTCGGTGTGTGTGTGTGTGTGTGTGTGACCTGTGGTTCTGCAGCCGTGATAATGACCTGTTGGAGCCGCTGCTTGCGATTGAGGAGGGCGACGAGACCATTGAGGACGGCATGCCAGCAGCATCATCTTCATTTAGATCTCTCAAAGATGTACGCATAGATGGATGCATGGATGGATGGACAGCCAGGAGCCGCAAAAGATCGCCTTCCTCTTCTTTCTCTTCCTTCTCGTGTGTGTCATGCCAGCCGACCAAGTCCGTTATGGACCCGTCGGGCACGGTGGTGTGCCTGTGGGTTTATTTCGTGCTCAAGCTGGTGCAGGAGGCCTTCCAGACGGCAGCGCCCCTCGTGACCGCGCACTTCTTCGGCTGGGGCGACGCAGCTGTGGGCAATATGCTGGCCATCATCGGCCTGCTCGTCCTGCCCACCAACCTGGCCGTCGGTGAGCGCCGCGTTCACAAAGACACAGACAGACATGTGAGAACCACGGTGCATTGTTCTCCCTCGTCATGCAGGCAAGTTGTCTCAGATGATCCCCGACCGTGTTGGCCAGAGCATCTCGCTCTTCCTTCTTGGACTGGGTAAGGAAGCTCGTGAGCAAAAATGAACCGATCACCGAGAAGGAAGGCACATACGTGGACGAAACACGGCACCCATGTATGTGTGCCGTCTTTTCGTGTGCACAGGCAGCGCGTTGACCTTTGAGCTGAACAGCAGCTCCTTCACCGTGGTGCAGTATCTGATAGGCGGATTCACACTCTTCATATCGGCGCAGGTGGGCGGAATGGACGGGCCAGCCAGAGGCGCAATCGACTGATCTGTATGTGTGTGTCTGCATTTGTGTAGGTGTTGGAGGGTGTCAACATGGGTCTGCTGTCCAAGGTGATGCCCAAGGTCATGAGCAAGGGCCTATTCAACAGCGGATTTCTTTCAACCGAAGCTGGTATCTGAGTGAAGCTGGGGCATCAAATGGATGGATGGATGGATGGCGGTCTCTTGTGTTTTCGCGTGGTGGCACCAGGCACATTTGGTCGTGTGGTTGGCAATGTCATGATCTCGATCGCCGGTGCCGTTGGTAATATAAAGCGGCGCACAAGCACAACACAAGGACGTCACACCGTTGTGTGCCTGCGTGTGTTGATATGATGCAGCCGGTGAGGCGTCGGTCAACAACCTGGTGGCGATTCCCTCTGTGGTGCTGGTTGGTTTCTCGCTGGTGTGCTCCTACGTGTTTTGGGACCGGCTGGTGCCCGTGGCCGAACGGATGAAGGCAGACGACGTCATGGCACCTCCTTCAGGTAGATGGGACATGACAGGAGACGCACACAGCCACAAATTCTGGGTATGTGTGTGTGTGTGTGTGTGTGTATGTGTCAGGGCTGAGTCAGATGGACGGCTGGGGTGACCTGCGCATCCATCCCATACCACAACAAAGTGAGAGGAGCCACGTTGGACAGGAGCAGGAACTCGCCCCTGCCACCATTCGGCCCTCATCTGTTACATGTTTGGGTGCAGGGTCCATCGTTCGGCGTGACAGCGCGGGGTCGTCTCTGTACCGGCCCCATACCCGCAACAGCGTCGCCTCCAGCTACGGCAACCCGCAGCAAGGCGAGAAACCATCGCAGGAATCCGTCGAATGAATGAACGAATGATTCAATCAACACAACACAGACATACATACATACATGCATCCATGCATACATACATACATGTGTGCCGCCTTCTAGTAGGTGTGGTGATTGGGTGTTTGGGGCGTCGCGTCGTGTGTGTATGGGTGTGCCCAACTTGGCGGGGCGTGCATGGGCATTTTTTCGAGTCTTGTGCGCGCAACCCAAGTGTTTGGTGGCTGAATGGCTGGCTGACTGACTGCAGACCTGCACTGCAGACGGGGGGCGGGGTGGTGGACGATGAAGTGCTGACTGTCTGCCTTTCATAGTAGGTAGGACCTCAGTTCCACATGTAGAGCGTTAGATGCACGAACGCACCTAGCCTGAATATGCATGGTGAGACACGCTATGAGACACACTTATTGATCGATCAGTGACGCCCTACCCTCACCCACGACACAGGGGCAACCACACAACAGGGGCCAAACAACCAACAACACAATACCAACAACACGCCCCCCCTCCCCAACTCCAGTATGCATTCAACTAATCACGAGCACGTTGTTTTCCTGGCCGCTTTTGTCCCTCTCGATTGGCATGGTGCGGGCGCACAACCAGTCCTTGCCGTTCACGAGGAATTTGTATATATACTTGCCGCGGGGGAGTATCAGGGGAAGGACAAAGGCGCGGTCAGCTTCAGAGAACTCCATCCCCTCTGTGGTCTCCCAGTTATCCCACGAGCCCGCAAGGCACACCTTAGAGGATCCGAGCACACCCGCACTTGGCAGAGGGAAGCGAAATCGGTGAATGACGTACCCTTTCCGGACTGAAGGCAGCACAAATGTGACTGCATGTGCTAGCGCCCAAACATGTTGGTGTCTCGTACAGACCTCTGTCCATGAGGTCTCTGACTTGTTTCTGTGAAAAGGAGGCGGCTTCCGCATCTTCCGCAGCGAAGTCCCAAGGCGTCTTCCCTGATAAACAGCAGAAGCACTAGTCAACTATCGATGGAGCCCAGACGTGGCTGCACTTACATCGTTGTTTTTGACGTCGAGGAGAGCAGAGCCGCCCCATTCCATTCTGAGAAAAGCAGAAAGAGCCACAGAGAGGGAGAGAGAGAGAGAGAGTGGATGATGTGTTCATGGTTCATTCTCTTACAGCTGAAGGACAGCTGCAGGACTGCGAATCATTTCACCGACAGTCATCACAGCATGATGCAGGGCCGCGTTTCCTTCCTGACAAGTCAAGCATATAAAGCGCACTCCCTTCGTCATGAAATATGTGCCTCACGTTGTCCGTCTGTGTCAGCAGGTCCTCTCCTTTGATCGCATGCATGGCCTTCATCATATCGGGACTCCCGCCCGCGGCGGCCCATATGAATGGCGTCATGCCTTCCTGCAATCAACACACACAGGCACACAATAGAGGATCGAAAAAATGTGTGTTCTCTCTCACCTTGCCTTGCGCATCGAGCGACTTGCAATCCCATTTCAGCAGCTCATTTACGACCTCAACATGGTGACCCTCGGCAGCTGCGATGAGTGGCGTGGTTCCATCCTCAATCGACATGGATACAGTCGACACGAAAAGACTTCAAATACACTACAAGTGTCTTCGGAAACTCGCACCTTGTCGCGCGCATGAAGCAATGGAGCCCCGCCCCACTTGAGCAGCTGACTGACCATCTCAAGCTTGCCATCAGAAGCAGCTGCGTGCAAAGCAGTTATTCCGAGCTGCATCCCAACACAGCCGTACAAATTGAAAACCTCCTCGCTCACATGGCTGTGATTGTACCCAAGTGATGGCCTGTAGCAGAAGCGACGGGCCGTAGCTCTCATACATGACCGACATGAGCCCAAGACGACTTTCTTCCTGCCCTTTAAGCATCGCCCAAAGGAACGGCGTGAACTGCAGAAATGAGATACACGCGATTGAAGCCTTGTTGTTAAACGAGTGGGTAATCAGGCTGCATACCCCCATGCCGTTTCGTTTCTCGAGTATCGACTTCCCCTGGTGAGTGATCATCTCAGTTACAGACCTTACGTCGCCGGCCTTGATGGCGATGAAGATGTCAGGCTGGTCAGTCAACACAACAGCACGTTGACGAAGGGCGGCATCTCAGCGTCATACGGCTCTGACCTGCGGCGCGGTTTTCGCTGGTCTCCTATACTTCTTCATCAGCTCACGAATCTCAGGCTTTCCCTCGCTGAGATCCCACGGACAGTGGCCCTGTTCCAAGATAGACCAGACAATTGATCCCTTTTGATGTGTCCACGTAGTCACCGCTTCGTTTTCGATTTCGAGCTCCGCACCCCATTGCAGCCTGGAAACGGGGACAGAAAGTAAATGAACGAGATAATATTTGAGTCATTCGTCTGTGTCTCTCACAGCTGAGCCACAGCTTCAGAGCGACCATGGGATACAGCATAATGGAGCGCCGTCGACCCACCCTGTGTGTCATGCACAAGAAAAGCCAGTCAAACAGTGTTCTGTATCCCGCGTGTGTCTCTCACATAGTTCTGCTGCAAAAGAAGGTCTTCTCCTTTTAACGGCATACATAGCTTTCATCACATCAACATGACCCTCGGTGGCAGCCTCGATGAATGGTGTGCCACCATCCTGAAATTCGCACACACACGCACACACACGCACACACACACAGTCGCCACAAAGCGGCGTTCCAGACATATTTGCTCCGTCACGTTGCAGCGTGCGTCGAGCAGCTCAGGACCCCACTCCAATCTGAGTGCAGAGAAAGGGAGGCAATATTTAGACGAAAATTCGCACCATTAGTTTGTTCTCTCACAGCTGCTTTACAGCTCCAACATGGCCCTCAAATGAAGCCCAGTGTAGTGCCGTGTATCCAGCCTGTGTGCCTCATCCACATCGGACAAGTCGGACACATCTCTCTCTCTCTGAGATTTCTCACCGTCATGCCAGTGGCCTGACCAAAGGAAGAAAGAAGGAAAGAAAGAAAGAAAAGGCAATGAAACAGATGAGAGGCGTGAGGAGAGACGTTTTGCGTGACTTCCAGTCACCTTACTCTGCTGCGTGAGAATGTCTATCTTCCCTTTGGCATACAGGGAGTTCATCGCAGCAACATGACCGTTGAATGCAGCCCAGATGAACGGCGTCCTTCCGAACTATCAATCGATACAGACACAGTTGACACAATAGAGCATCAAAGAAATGTGTGTTCTGTCACCTTGTCGTGCGCATCGAGCAATCTGGAATGATTGACAGTGGAATCCCACTTCAGCAACTCATTTACGACTTCAGCATTGCCATTCCTGGCAGCCACGTGCAGGGCACTTCTATCCCACTGCATGCACTCACCACCAGCAGGCCATACAAAGAGGCGCCACAGACACATTTGCTCCATTACTGTGTTGCGCACAGCAAGGAGCTCAGGGCGCCACTCCAACCTAAGTGCAGACCGAGAGAGAGATGAGGTAATGTTCACCTCATTCATCGGTGTCTGTCCGCCCTCACAGTTGAGCCACAGCTGCGATATCCCCTTTGCGTGCTGCATGGTGAAGCGCTGTGTCCCCATCCTTGTGTGTGTCATGCAAGACACACGGAAAGGTAATCAAACAGATGAGAGGCAGTCTGTTTGTCTCCAGCTTTTGCCTCTCACATTGTCCTTCTGTTTGATAATGTCCCTTCCTGTCTTGGAAACCATGGCGATCAGCTCGTCAACACGACATCCCTGGGACGCGAGGATAAGCGGCGTGTTACCTTCCTGCAATCGACACAGAAAATCGACACAATAGAGCATCGAAGACATGTGTGCTCTGACCTTGTCCTGCTCATCGATCAGCTTGGGATCCCACTCCAGCAGCTGATTGACCGCCGCAACATGGCCCATCTTGACAGCCACGTGCAAGGCATTCCAACCATCCTATTGCATTCCATCACAGTCACCAAAGCCGACACACATCTCCTCATCATCACCACTAGCAGCACAGAGGTGGTTTGGTTGTGGAAGTACCTTGTCTGTTTGCTGCAGTATGTCACGTTTGCTCTCATACAGAACTGTCATAACGCCCACGTGACCAAACGCGGCAGCCACGATGAATGGACTCGGAACTGTCTGGTCACCCTTTAACCAACGATGGAATCAACGCAGTGATACGTGCCCTCTCACCTTTCTTACGCATCATTATGCATCTCTCACCTCTGCTGGGGTGTCGATCAGCTTCGGATCCCACTCCAGCAGCTTTTCCGTCACCGCAATACGGCCATCTTTGGCAGCCAGGAGCAGAGCAGTCACACCGTGTGGCTCGACTCTTTGACTCACAATGTCTCGCTTCTTCTCATACATCAGCGACATGACATCCAAATGACCGTTCTCAGCCGCCGCAAGGAAAGGTGTCCTCTGCGCAGATATGAGAAGACACGGACCACTGAGTGCATTTCTGTCGTCTCCACGATCGCATACCTCGCCGAAGAAGCCGAAGCCAGATTTGTAGTCTGTCAAAGCCAGAACGTCCTTGCCATCTCGATTCAGTATTGCCCTGACCGACTGCAAATCGCCGGCCTGGACGGCCTCGAAGATGTCACCCTGATATCAGTAAGGAGGCCTATATCCGACGGCCTCTGTTTATGTGTGTACATGTTCGATCTCTGGCTCTGGTGGAGCTGGTGGGGTGTCGGGTGCTGAGGGCGAGACGGGCACGGGGTCTGGCGAGGGTGTGACTGCATGAACAGATACTCATAGGTGGCTGCGTGCAAGCCGTCGATCGTCCCCTTTGTTGGAGGCGCCACCCACCGAGTGCGTGGCTTGATCGCGGGTCGGGTGTCACTGCCATGGTACACATACACACCAGACACGAATTGATCATGTCCCTCTCTTAGTGTCGGTTTCAGGCGTCACCTGCGCGACCTCGCTTGTTGAGTTTGTCCAAAAGCTGATTGTATCATGTGTATCGCGTCATATTCACAAAGGCAAAGACACACGCAGGGTACGTCACCTCTTTTGCAGTCGGGCGATCTCGTGGACTGAAGGCGAAGCAACTCTGAGGAGCGGGCCATGCGAGCATACGAATTGCACTCACACCATAAAGCTCTGTCTTACTTGGATGGCCTGTTTGACATTGACGGGGGCACTCTCGGGGACGGGAGGTATCTGTCCGACACAGAGACACGTGCCTGCCTATACATTCGCCGATCTATCCATGGTGGTGCGTACTTCTTTGTTCTCGTATATCATTTCTCTAAATTCCCACTTGTTGAGGTTGAGAAAAGGCGCAGAACCTAAAGGCCAGACACAGCCTTGATGGATTCGATGCTAGACTGAAGGCGTGTCTTGCTCACCGCCGAATATCTCTGCCAGGATGCACCCGACAGGCCAGATATCTGACTTGAGCTCCAACTTGGGCCCTGCAAAAACGAGGAGACACAAACGAAGACGCCTGTCCGTCCTGTGCTGTGCTGTGCTGACTCTTTGCATAGGCCTCGGGAGGTGCATAGATGGGAGTGCCCGCTGCATTCACTCATGCAAACATGCTGCGATCTGATTGAAGGACGGGCATTGAAACGTCCTCTTACCAAACTCCAGAACGCTTTTGTGCGTGGCTTCGTCTGGCATCTCCCAAGCAAGGCCGAAGTCGGACAGCTTCACGTTGCCATCATCATCGAGCTGCAGACAGGAATAAGACATGGATACACATACAAGTTTATGCGGGGCCTTCTTTGTCGCTCACAAGTATGTTTTCGGGCTTGAGGTCGCGATGGCCGATGCCGAGACTGTGAGCATGAATCAAACCCTCACAGATCTGACGCACACACACACACACACACACACACAGACACAAACAGCAAAGTGGCCGAGCCATGGGTGTGCAGCCTCGCCTCACCTGCTTAGCGTATTTATCCTGCAAGTGCTCGGGGAGTCCTCCTGCTCGTTGGCGTAGCTTTCTGAGGCAGTCGCGAAGTGAATCGACATAAAACTCTGCATTGAAACCGCACCACAGCATCAAACTGTGCTCGGGCTTGCTTAACTCACCCAGCACGATGAAGGGGATCTTCTTGTCGAAACACACTCCCAGCAGCTTTGCGACGTGTGGATGCTGTAAGCGGGCCAGCATGTCCGCCTCCATCATCACTTTGTCGGTTAGACCCTGCACGACAAAAGATCCACACGTGCAGTGATTGGGATGCCAACGATGCCAATGGCATGTGCGATGCGGACAGTACATCTTTTCCGAGCTGCGCTATCAACTCCCGTTTCGCCTTCTTGACGGCGACTATCCGATCTTCCCATTTGGCCTTGAAAACCTGGGCGAATGATCCTCCCCCTGGCAGTCCAACACGGACTCATCTACCGAGCCATTCATCGTGGTCGAGCCTTTCGTTACCGATACAGTCCTCGTCTTCGTCCCAGTCCAGGTCGTGAATGCTTATGGAATTGTGCTTCATCGCGAAGGGGAGAAGGGGGAGGGGGGGAGGGAAGAGGGGATCGCGGAGGATCGCGAGCTTAGACGGGGGGCGTCTCATTCCGGCGGATGGAGGGGCAGTGGGATAAGAAGACATGGCAAAAGAAGTGCGCACGGAGGCCCAAAATACAATGATTCGGGATTTCACTTACGAGGTGCTTCCTCCTCCCTCAACGACCATCAATGATCGTGATGCGCCTACAAATGGGGCCTCGTCGGACAGCAAGTCTGGCCATGCGCATGGTTCGCATCAAGATGATCAAGCACAAACAGACGGCCATGCGTCGATCAATGGGCGGAACATCCTCAGATACCTCGAGCAGTGCGCACACGAGGGAAGGATGAGCTTCACGACCCCGGCAACAATCGTGGAACTCGGGTGGATGGGAGTCGCCGGATAGGTGTGCATGCATTGCCGGATGTCAGCCTCATGTGTCTGCTTGTAGGGCCGGCTGTGGCCTGTGTGGCCTGACTGCCGCCCGTCTCGGAGCCAGAGTAGTCCTCACCGACCAGGGTAAGTCGTTCATCTCGTGGGGGCTATTGTGAGTGGTGCTGTATGTGCCCTTCAGAGTCTGTGCTTCCTTTCTTGTCCTCCAATGTCGAGCGCAACCGCTCTCTCTTTGTCAAGCGCCCAGCAGCCGAAGACAGCCGGCTGCCCGCCGTCATGCCGCAAGAGGAGCGCCTCCACTGGGGGACGGCCGACTCGGGAAATGTTCTTCGGCAGTCCGGTGCCAAGAGCATCGACGTTTTGTTGTGCTGTGACGTGCTCGCCTTTTCTGATGCTCACGGCCCCCTCAAAGAGACATTGCTGGAGCTATTATCGCCCCAGACTGTGTGTCTCCTCGCCCACATGTGGCGAGACAGCGAGAAGGAGAGAGAGTTCTTCGCCTCCCTCCCCTCTGATGTGTTGGTGAAGCGAGTGGCGACAGAGGCCACCATACGCACTTTCTTTGATGCGAACTTGCATGGCTTGTCGGAGGCCGGCACGGTGCGTGACTGTGAGTTTCTGAAGTCGCTTGTGCTGGATGAGAATGAGATTGAGATATTCGAGCTGAAGAGGAGTGAGTGATGCGTGGACGATGGACGGTCTTCATTAATACATGCAAGTCTCAACACAAGGCGAGACACACTGATCACAAGCTATTGGTGACTTTGGTCATCCATTTGTCAGCATGTAGAGATCCATGTGTCTGTCTGTCTGTCTGTCTGTGTTTGTCTGTGTAACGCGTTGGTCAGTCGAACTGTTCTGTGTCGCTGGGCGGGCCGACATGAAATTTTTTGAACTCGACGTCACCCCGCTCGATGAACAATCCCACACCACCTGCACGCAACATGCACACACACTCACACCTTAGCTGTCTGTCCACACGTCCGTGTGTCAGTGTGTCTGGTTGCCTGGTGTGTTGTCTTTGGGGGTCTCCTTGTGCAGTTTTGTGTGGCCGTCGATGCTGATCGACACGCGTGAGTTGGTCGGCGTGATGGACTTGTCAGTCACTTGCACGTCATACACCAAACTATCACATGGACACACACATCATATCACACACATGACGCTGGCGCTGGGCACTCTCACCCTGCGCTGAGTGGGACGGCCTGGGATGCGATGACGACTGGGGCGGCGCCATTTTGCTGCTTGAGCAACAGACGACCTCTGCACACAAAACATACACACTTGCCATGTCGCTGTGTGTTTGTGTCTCATGTGCCGTGTCGGACTGACGTGGGCGCGTCGAGTGTGACGATGTATCGAGCGTCTGGCCCATGAGATCTGAAGGTCAGTCCGCCCGCACAGTCGTCGCCTCTCAGCTCGAGGGAGACGCCCATCGTCATCGGGCCACACACAATGTCCTTCAGCAGCAACGCGCTACGTGCACTCTGATGACACAGACACAGAGGGAGTGCGTGAGTGTGTGTGTGTGTTAGTGAAATGCTCACCGACGCTGCCGAGGCGGTGACTTCTCCTCTTTCGCGCAGCACCACCCACCCCGACTGGCCGTCCTCCCAATCCCTGCACACACGACAGACACAACAATACTGCCTGCTGCGTGTTGCTTCCTTTGCTTGCCCACTCACTCGATCGTGGGCGTGTCGGGCATGGTGTACAGACACTGACGAGGCACGGCCGCTGCGGGCAGTGAGGGTGAGGGAGTGCCGGGCGTCGACACTGAATCGAACGGCATACATATGGGTGTCTTGTGCGGTCTGGTGAGGAGACTCACCTTGCTGTGTTCTGGGTTTTCCCTCCCTCTGTTTGGCTGCGGTGAGCTGCGGCATTGGCTGTGTGTGGGGAAATGCACCGCCGACCAAACTTTCATCGCCTCGGAAGCCGCACGCAAACGAGTCGAACAAGGCGCGACCGGAGGCGAACACACCCATGACGCCCCGATAATCTGCACATAGACACCGACAGTGCAGACGGAGAGAGAGAGGTGTGTGTTACTAATGGTTGGTGAGAGCTTGGCCTGGGCGACTGGATTGGCGTTGACAAAGACAGCAATTTTCTCGGGCGAGAACTGCACGCCCAGATTGACAAAGCCGGCCAACTCGCCGACAGACGGACCAAACTCCACCTCTGCTCACGTCACACCACACCCTCGTCAATGTGTGTGTGTGTGTGTGTGTGTGATGACTGGCGTACCGTTGAGTGTGTGTGATTGGCCGTCGATGACTCTGCCGATGGTGAGTTTGCCCTTCCCGGGGTGAGCATTGCCCATGCCGGCCCGAGCGACGGCGGCAAAGCAGAAGTTGTCCTCGTCTCTGAACTGAAAGACGACTCCTGCGGATGGCGTCTCCTTGTCCATGTAGAGTGACGCCGCTGCGAAGCCCTCCGAGACGAGTGTGCCGTGGTGCATGAGCAGTGCACCAGGCAACACAGACGAGGACACGGACAGACCAGCCTCATCCTAAGACACACACAGAGCGGGAGAGGGATTGCTGTGTGTCTCATGGCCATAACGTGTGCGTGAATGAGTGTACCTGTGCAATGACGATTGGGTGGCCGGCCGAATGCTTGGCGAAGTGCCACCTGCCCGACGGGCCGCTCGGCGGATCAATCACCTCCCAATTGCTGAACAATAAAGCAGACAGACAGAGAGACAGACAGAAACATTGATCTGTATGTCCATTGCCATGTGTGCAGCTCAGGGTCAGTGACTCACCGGGTGAGTTCATCGGTGTAGTCCTCCTTGTAGCTTTGCTCTCTGCGGCGTCTGAGTTGGCGCCGTTTCGGCCATCTTCGTGTTGAAGTCAGCCGTCATACTCTGCAAATCGCTCAGCAACGAACGGTACGACGACTGACCCGACTGCACACACCACAGACACACACAGAAAACACGCACACTGGGTGACTGAGTGGATGCTTTTCATTGTGTTACCGATGCGAGTGACTTGAGCTGAGCGTTGAGTGTGGCGACCTCCTGCAGCTTCGAAGGCACATCTCGAAGCCGACCAGTGAGCGACACCGACCCGACACTCACAACCCAGACGCACACAAACACACTCGAAAGCATGATGCCGGCCATCGTCATCAGCTGTGTCAACGGCAACTCAAGGCAATGAAGGGAAACTGTCATTAACCGTAACACTCGTCTGTGTGTCCGTGATACTCATACAAATACAGTCCCATCAGCACGCAGACTCAAACAGGCTCAAGGGGAGGAGGGATCAATCCCCGCCCCATCAGCACACCCCAGTCCCGCAAACCCTCCCCTCCCTCCCCCACGCAGACAGAAGCTAGTCGCACGCGCGAGGGCGATAGACAAGCGAGAGCGAATCCATCCAGACACATGACTGAACCCCCGACCCTTCCACCCCTCCTTCTCCAACAGCGCATGAGCCATGTGGGCGATGAACACGTTGGCATCGTGTCCCCACACACCGTCACACGTCACCACCAGAGGGCAGAAGGTCACGCGGGAGTCGCAGACGGCCGAGCGGTATTTCTTCTTCTTGGCGGTCTCGTGCTGCTTCAGGATGGACTTGGTCGATCGGTTCTTGGAAGCGTAAGACGTTGCGTCAGGATCCGTAATACAGATGTCAAACGACGCAGCCGCCTGCAACTCAAGGCAATTGACTCAAGGCAATTGATTGCTTATTCCGTGTGCCTCTGCTTCGCTTGTGTACGTGCGTAACGTCGTCAGCCACATGCACGGAGTACAAACGTGTACGTATTCACATTGTTTGCCGGACGAGAGGAAGATCTGAGGCATGTCGGCCCGCGCGTGGTCCTCCGTCCAAGCAACTGGGTCCAGGGCAAGCGCGAGCGGCGAGGATTCACGACAATGGCGAGGGTGGCGAGGAAGTGCCAAGCTACCAGAAAGGTGAAGGGGATCAGCAAACGAAAAGAGGGACCAGTGTTGAATGACGGAGGAAGGAGGTTAAACTGTCGGTACATGAAACCGTGAAACTCTCGAAGACGAGAAGCGCGCACTTTTTTTCCAGCGCCGTGTTCTACTCTCACGAGGAGCCTGAGAAGTCGAATATATCCTCAACTGTGTGGTGATACGATCTCCGTTTCGAAAGATGTCGGGCACAAGCGATTCCTGCTCATGCGTCACTGTCTGGAGCTCTATCCTCCGCCTCCGCCATCGCCGATTCCGCCGACGTCATCGCACTCACCGAGGCTATGACGAGTTCGCAGACAATCGCGATGACGACTTCACCGGCACTGCTCGGGACGAGAGGGACCGGTTGATGCCGATGTTCCCCTTCGTGAGGCCTCCGGATGGTCGGGGGCGGTTCAGCTTCCGCCGTGGTGCCGCTAAGACGAAGAGCGATGCGACTCACACGGCTGATATGGTCGACAATGGGGTGATGTCTGTCAGCGAAGTCATGTCGACGAGTGAGCTCGAGCCACCCAGCTCACCCGTCCAGTCGCAGCCTTCACAGGCGCCTAGCCGGTCCAGCTCCAGAAGAACGCCATACCGCACTGGGACTGTGTCAAGGTATGAACGCTTCTGTGCGTGTGAGGCGATTTGATGACGTGTGTGCGTCACTGTGCAGGTTTGGTCGCCGTCGGTTGACGATATCGGGTGTGGAGGAGTCGATAGCCAAGGAGACTGCCGGGAGCGGCTCCCTCATATCGCCCCAGGGGCCGGACGACGAGAGGAGTGTCGGCAGCAGGAGAAGACGAGCGCCATCACTCACGCGGGGAGAGGTCGGTAGAGCAGCATCACAGCACACAACCACAAGCACAGCACCGCACGCCATCTTGCTGTTTGTGTGTCTTTCCTTCCCCTTGTTCATTCAGACAAGCAGCTCTCTCCACAGCTTCCTGTCCCACCTGCCCAGCTCCATCATCTTTCACGAGGGTGCGTGGGAGCAGGATTCGCGAGCCAGGCTGAGGGCCGACTCGCGGGACTCGTCGGCCATCTACTCCCGCATATCCACACGGCAGTCGAGCATATCGTCCGTCGACACACACACTGACTCCCCGCTCTCGTCGCGGGCAAGGGCGCCGAGAGAAATCGTCTTCCCTCCATGCTGGCCGGTATACACAATTGAGTTAGCGCCGTGGCGTGTGTGTGCACCTGGTTATGTTGTTCCGTGTGAACAGGTGAAGGGCCGTGATTTGCGTCGTCCGGGCGAGGCCGCGTTCGGTGTTCGGATCGATGTCGAGCAGCTCAGAGGAGCGGTAGGCACAGAAAGGGAAGGGCGAAACACCACCTGCCGTCCGTCACTCCTGTCGTGCATTCAGTGTGAGGGCATGGCTGAGCGGATAGCTCAGTGCGCCAACGACGAGTCGCCCATGTGGAAGTCACTGGGCACCAAGGGAGGAGTCGAGGTACGTGGCCATAGACGCAACACGCAAAGCATGCATTCCTTTGGGTCTTGCTCATCCGTCAGTTGGAGGAGCTGCGCGAGACGCGCAACAGCGTGCCAATTGTTCGTGGCCGCTATTCGTTCAGCATCCCCGGCCTCACCATTGAGGAAGTCCGCGACGTGTTCGTCGATTACGACTGTGTCTTCAAGTCACGCATCGACACGTGGCTGTTCGAGGGAGGTATCAGTGATCCATAGACAGGCACATTTGCGCGCACACATGACGTGTCCTTTCTTTCCTCTTTCTTCGTCCGGTCAGCCCAGCACGTTGCCGAGGTGGCTCCGCATTTTTTGCTGACGTACCAGGTTTTTCGGTCGCCAGCGCCCGGCGACACGAGGCGCATCCTGTGCCACACCACATACGTCAAGACGGTGAGTGAGTAAATGAGTCAAAAGGGAAATTGGGGACGGGTGGGGGAAGATTGTGTGGTGTTTGGTTCCTGTCAGTTGAGCTGCGATTATGAGGTGGTTGCGCTGACCGATCTGGGTGACTACGTCAGTGAGGACAAGCTCTACACCAAGGAGAAAAGCGCCGTCAAGGCAGATATACTGGTACGATGCGACAGACTGAGCACAGGCAGGGAGATGTGCCGTGTATGTCATCGCTTATGTGTACCTGTATTGTATGGGTGTCCGCTTGGTCTGCAGATGATGGGCCTTGTTTTGCACAAGACGCCTCACGGCACCGTCGACGTCACCATGATCGCACAGGTGAGTGACCCATAACCTGCCTGCCTGACCCTCCCACACACGTCCCTTCCTGCCTCTTTATGCGTACAGGCTGACATGAAGCCTCCCCGCTTCGCGCCAGCCAAGTTGCTGACGTGGATGTGGACGGAGCAGGCCAAGCAGCTGCCCCGCATGGAGGCCATCCTCGAGGAGCTGCGGGACAACCAGTCGGAAAACGGCATGGACTCAGTCACCGACGACACCGAAGACGAAGACGAACATGCCAACGGACACATCAGCGGCGGATGACAAAGTAGACGGACGGCCATGTGTGTAGGGCAATTTTCGTCTGATAGTGTGGGGTCGATCGGTCGCCGTGCGCACGTGTTGGTGTGCGTGTCCGTCAAGACGGCTTGGCCAGAAGTGGGTGTGTAGTGGGTACGTGTGGTGTGTCGCTCCCCCTCTCTCCCGGCCATATCGTGTGAGGCGGCCTTTTTCAGGAGGGAGGGGGAGGGGACACTCACACTCGAGAGAGGGACGGGCAATTTTTTCGACTATTGCTTGGGTGCTTTGAAGCGTGTACGTGAATGTGTGTATATGCGCGAGGTGCGTTTTGCGCGATGTGGCGGGGGTGAGGGTGTCGAGTATGTGTGTGTATGTATGTGTATGTGTATGTGTGTGTCCATGTGTATGGCTGTGTTGGTACATGGTCTGCTCGCGGCCCCGGAGGGACCATACACGATGATGATTAGTTTTCTGTCCGTGTATGCGTGTATGTGAGATCCGTGCGGTGTCGACGGCAACAAATATGCCGTGGATCTTTTTCTTTGCGCGCGCACGGACCTGATGGATGCATGTGTGCACGGACGCGTGTGACGCCATTTCGCGCTTCTTGACGCTTCACTCAGCAACGATGCGTGCGATGCATGCAAGTATACAAATGTGTTCGGGAATGGCCGTCAATCGATGGCTCTCCCTCCCCTCCCACAGGCAACACATGCAATTCACATTCACACAAATATCCCGACGTCCGCATAGCCCCTTCCCATCACACAAGTTGACAACACACCATCCATCCATCAGTACCACACACAGCACATGCAGGTGTATAAACATGTAAAGCAAGTAGGCGCTTTGGGTGGTTTCAGACCTGGAGGGCCTGCCTTCCCTTGCCAGCGTGACCGACTGTACAAGAGTTTCTCTGGTCTGCACAATCCGCAACGTTTCGTTGCCTGGCGAACCAGCCAGCCACTTGGCCACCCGGGCGGCCAGCCGGTCACCAGTTATGCACACCCATGTCAGTCAGTCCAGGTCGCTATACACCACACCACACGACAGCAGATTATCCACACACACACACACACACACACACAAGATGCGATCGCCTGCCTTTACATACGGACGGAAAAAGGCTGCCTGCCCGCCTGGTGTCCCCTCTGTCTGCCGGTCAGTTGTGCGCACGAGAGTGTGCGAGTGTGTTGCTGGTGTCTGGCTCCATCCCTCACTCATTTGCTCACTGGCTCCTGGCTGTCAGGTTCGTGGCAGAGTGCGCCCGGCAAGACACCATGAACAACAGTAAGTGCTTCATCGGGCCGTCTCTTGTTCACGCATCTGCATCAGCCACGCGCACACGCCAGCAAGCTGGCTGCATCTCAGCTCGAATTCACACCCCACCCCACCCCACCCCACCACACCACACACAGCCACCATCCATCCCACCGTCCATTCGTTGCACCCACACATGCAGACAGACAGCCAGGCAGAGGCATTCTCTTCACAGGGCATCCATGAATCCATCCATCAATCCACACATCCAGTCAGTCGGCCGGCCGTACGATCGTGGTACATACATACGTACATAGGTACAACATAGACATATGTACATGCGAGCGGGCCAGAATGGCAGTAGCCAGCAGCAGTCAGCCAGGTAGAAAAGAGAGAGAGAGAGGGCCATACACAAATGGTGGCACACAGAAAAAGGGCACGCCAAGTGAGTGTCGTCATCAGGCAGCCAGTCGGTCAATCAATCAATCAATCAGCGTCGCTTCTTCTCTCCTCTTCTCTTGCCTTGTCTGTGTCATCTGTGAGCCCAACAAAAGCAAAGTGGGCTTGGGGGGCGGAGGGGATTAGTCTTTGGCTGGGGTGTGTTAGAGTCGGTAGACGAGCGCCCCGCCGTTCCGCAGTTTGCGGATCCACATGATGAAGTAGTCAGCTGAACAAAAGAGCAGGAAGCACCTTGTGCTGTGTGTGTGCCTGCCGGTTGGTCCTGCGGGAGTGCACTCCCGCGTGCACTCCCGCAGACGGACGTGTGACGCACCTGAGAATAGTGAGTGGAGGACGTCTGCAAGGATGAGGCTGACGAAGTGCTCACCTGGTCACAGCACCAATCAACCAACAGACAAACACACCATGCTCTGTCTGTTTTCCGTGTGTCCCGCTCTCGCGTGTGGCGTTATTTCCCACCCTGTATGTATAGTTGTATCCAGAATGCGATCCTGACGGCCCTCGATATCACCAGCAGACCCACATAATGGGACGTTAACGGCTCTATCTGCAGCCACCCATAACACACGACACACACACAACACACAACACACAATCTGGCCATCCAGCCTCCCCCACTCGTGGTCCATTCACCCCCTCCCTCTCGCTGACCTCGATCATGTTCCTCATGAGGAAGAGTTGAGGCAGCAGCGCCACCGCCTCGACGTACATGGTAAACGCCACGAGGCTCTGGATCGTGAACCACTGCCGACCGGGGTGGAAGAAAAACGCCAGCAGAGCCGCAAGGGGCACGGCGAAGAGCAGCCTAAGGTAGGGGGGGGCCTGCTTGGTGGTCGTGTGCCAGTACCGCCACACCGAATACGACAGCAGACACGCTACAACCGTCGAGCACAGCAGCTCAAAGTGAGCCAGCCATGTCTGAACAAGCCAAGACAAGACAACAAACACAAGCCACACAGATGGCAGGCAAAAGTGGTCTCTGGATTGCCCACAGACGGCTGCCTGGCTGCCTGCATGCATCCCTACGTACCTCTACAAGTCGTGTGTCGAAAGACCAGAAGCACCGTGCGAGTGTGGCGAAGAGGAAGCAGTACTGGGTGTCGCCGCTGAGGCCGTAGATGGACTTGTGACGCCATATCTTGTACAGCAGCAGGCAGCTCGCCGCGAAGTTGATGAGGTACCCGATGATGAACAGCCAAACCTCCATTCCTCACTGACGGCTACCGAACCCGGGACTGACTGCAGACTGACTGGCGGGCCGCCGGACTGCTCGTCGGCTAAGGCTGCGAGACTGCAATGAGCTGGTTGCCTTCCTTCTGCAGGGGCCTCCTTAGGCACCAGCACCGCCTTCAGGCAGCGCCGTCGTCCAAGCGCCGCAGTTGAGAGGGTGTAAGAGCGTCGCGTTTTCTTGGTCGCTGGATATCGCTGGAACGTTGCCGCGCTGACCTGCTCTCCTTTACCAGGCTGGCAGCGGTCAGGCACGTGGTCAGGTTGCGGAGCTCTTCCTTTCACTGCAGAGCTGTCGACCGTTTTGCAGCTTGCAAAACCTCCTTGGCTTGACAAAACAAGGAGGAGGACGCCTGAACTAGAGCTGCAGCGGCGCAAGCGGTGACCGGCACTGCGAGCTTGAAAGCTCGCGTGAAAGCCAAGCTCGCTCACGAGAAGTGCTTTCTCACGCACCATGGCGGCCACAGCCCACGCAACGCTTGATCAGGTGCGAACCAACACAGATCTCACAAAAAACGAAATGCAGCACCGCTCCTTGTGCGCACATCACTCTGGTGTGTGTGGTCTGTCGTGCTGCGTGTGGTGTGTGTGTGTGTGTGCCCACCGACCAGACTGAGCGTGCGTTCCAGAAGCAGGATGCGATCTTCCTTGGGAACAAGCGTATGCTCGCCAAGAAGGGCGCCAAGGGTCTGCGGTACTGGAAGGACATCGGGTTGGGCTTCCAGGTCCCAAAGGAGGCCAAGGAGGGCACCTACATCGACAAGAAGTGCCCCTTCACCTCAAACGTCAGCATCAGGGGGCGAATACTCAAGTACGCAACGATGGCCACGCTCACTCTCAGCTGACGGGGAGGGACGAGGGCAAAGTGTGTACTTACTGTGTGTGTGGTGTGTTGTGTTGTGTGTTCAGGGGCATGTGCATATCGACCAAGATGCAGCGTACGATAGTTGTCCGCACGCACTACCTGCACTACATCCCCAAGTACAACCGGTTCGAGAAGCGCCACGCCAACTTCTCCGTCCACTGCAGCCCCGCATTCGACGTCAAGGAGGGAGACCTCATCACTTTCGGACAGTGCCGGTACCACGACGCATCCTCTCCCCTCCCCCCGGCAACACACGGCGTACAGCGCTCATCTGATCTGTGTGTGCTGTGTGTGCAGTCCTCTGGCCAAGACGGTCCGTTTCAACGTGCTCAAGGTCGAGAAGAACCAGATCTTCGGGACAGCCAGGAAGCAATTCAGGCTCTTCTGAGGGCACGATCGACCTTTGTAATGCTTGGACGATCGGGGGATCTGTGTGCGGGGCTGAATGGCTGCCTGCCTCTGTCCGTGAGTGTGGGGTGACCTCCTCCACCCACTTACCGATGGGGAGCAGTCCATGCGTGTTGATCGATTGATGGACATGTGACTCAATATTCGTAAAGTGAATGAAGCCTTCCTGTTTCTTTGCTGTCCTTGGTGCTGATTCATTGCTCCGTGAGGGTCCTTAGCTACCACCATGCATCCAAAGTGCCACCCAGGCATTGAGGAACTCGAGCAAGGCGATGGCGAGCGGTATGGTGCGTGTGGTGATCAGTCGTGCGTGTTGGGTGTGCGCATCCTTGTGTGTGTCGGTTGGCGCAGCACAAGTGCACCACCCGCAACGACGGCCAGCCACAGCGCCCGTCATGCCTCTCTCTGTTCGCCATTCAGCCAGTCACCCCATTCCCACCGCACTGACACGCCGCCAAAGCACACCGATGCACGGACACACGCACCAAGGGGCGAGAAACCGAGCGAGAGTCCCACACGTGGGGGAGAAGAGAAAGCAGAGGGGAGGGGGTGTGTTTCCAGTCAGACTCACGGAAAGCGGGAAAAGAAGACACCACACCACGCAGCCAGACATTCAAAAAGGCCATGCCATGCCATGCCGCCAACCAACACAGAAGAACATTAAACGATCATGTGCCCTTCATTGGCCCCACCAACCGCGCGCAAACACACACGTACGTGTCCTCTCCCTCGCTCCCTCCCTCCCTCCCTCCCTCTGGTGGCTACCGAAGCTACTTGTCTGTCTGTGCAGATATCTACAGTAAGCCCGAGCCGATGGGGTCCAAGCCGGTGGCCGGACCATACTCCAGATCTGCAAAGTCCCACGACCTGATGCCGTCCGACACACGCGCAGACATACAGGCACACACACACAGTTGACCAACACAGCAGAAATACACTAACAGTTCGCTTGGTTACGTTGTCATTGATCCGCAGACTCCCCCCTGGCAGAAGCAGTGATGACCGGAGCTGTCGATGCCACAAGGCGTGCCGTCAGGAGCAGCCGACCCGCACACTACACCCCTGTACGGGGTGCACTGGGCCTCTGCACCCACGACACAACACACAACACAACACAACACATGTGTTGTGTCATCAATGGAATTCAATGGATGGCGTACCAGCTTTTCTGCCGGATGCTTCCTGAAACATCGTTACGTGGTGCTGGGCATTGTTTATGGCCTCGAGGGCCGCGGCGGTCATCGAGCTGGCGGCCGTTATCATGGTCTTTGCGCGGCTGATGTCGCTCATGAGCGACAGACGCGTAGACCCACTACTTTCGGACGCATCTGTCCACACACACCAACACACACACAGATCTGCGTCTTCCTCCCTCTTGCGTCCATACGTTTGTCCTCGGTGCGTTTGGCAGCCATGGCCACAAGAAAACCATTCACCGCCACGGCGGCGATCGCGAAGAGAACCACAACGCGATGCATGACGAAGCGAGATGCCGAGAGGTCAACGAATAAGAACCCAAATGCAAAATCACTATGTGAACTCACCGATTTGGCCAGCTTGAAGCATATATTGACCTTCTCGTGGGTAGTGATAGCGTCGCTCGTGTATAGCATTAAATTTTATGGAACCACTTCGCCTGACGAAGTGGACCACAGCGAACCGGCGAAGTCCACTTCGCCTGAAGAGAACTAGCGCATGTGTGGTGGTGATCGACGTGCATCTGTCGTGTATTCTCGACTGAGTATATATTGACGACCCAATTCAACTGACACGTTCAAAAGTGCATCGCTTGCTCGTCTGGTGATCGATCAATCGACTGACCGACAGCATAAACAATGTCGCTGCCCAAGTGTGTGTTGGTCGCTGCGGTTCTGCTGGCAGTCATCGCCCACTCACCAGCCACAGCTGACACGGCTGCAGTAAAGCAGAGAGACACATTCGTGCGCATCCATGTGTGTCTCTGACATGTGTGTGTAGTCGTCTGATGGAGGGAAGGAGAGCGACACGGCGTACTCGTCAGCTCTGCCGATCGGCATGCCAACTGAGGGACTGACCGGCTTCGAAGGCACAGACACACAGACAGCCAGACAGACAGACCGACACACAGCCATCTGTCTCCTTGGCTTGCCTGCCTGCCTGTCTGTCTGTCTGTCTGTTTGTGCATGCGCAGGCACCGGTTACATTCAGCCCTTCCCTGCACCGACAAAGAGGCGCGCCACCCCACTCTCGTACATCAACCTCGACAGAACCATACCGTACGGACACACATGGAGACAGACAGACAGACAGACAACAAGAGAGGTTCTTTCTTGTGATGCAGTGAGAGGTTTTATCGGCGAACGAAGCGCGAAGAGCTGACTGACAAAATCAGAGATCTCCTCTGGATGCGGCACTACTACGTATGTTGTGTATGGGGGACGGAGCAGACACGCCTCATCAAATGCACATTCTTTCCTTTTCGTGTCTCTGTGTGGGCACACGCAGGAGAAGAATTACACCGACTGAGCAGCAGAGGCAGCGGCACACTCATACGTGTGATTGGTTGATCGATTGATGGCTCAATAACACAATGACTGACTGAGAGCAAACACTGTCTGAGAGACACACAAGCAGCGTCAATATGTTCCAAAGCACACAGCTGACACCACATTAATTATTCACACATCTGGCTGCAGCTGCAGCAGCGAAAGTACAGCTTGCCGCCCATACTTAGCGCACCTCTCGATGAACCGCTCCTCGATCTTCTGGCTCGTTGACCGTCTCAGGGGAATATTCTCGGCTCTGATCCACTCAAGCCACAGGCAGCAGTCCATCCATGACACGCACCCATCTCCTTCTCTCTTCATGTCCGACCTTTCCTGTGCGCCCGTATCGCCCAGTTTGGCGAGGACGCCCTCCAGAGTGGTGTTGCCCTTGTGTTCCAGCTCAAAGAGAGGATGGGCCTCGAGCGAGTTTCGCGAGAACGTCCGATCGAAGTGTTTCAGCTTGGCCGCCGGCGAGGAGGCCGCCGAGTCCGTTATTGTTGCTGCCCTCCTCGCCACCAGCATGGCCACCAAAGACGCGTAGTGCCTCTGCCGCAGCCGGTTGCTGTACTTGAAGGAGCCGTCACTTAGCAGCCCCTGCAGTGGGGTCTTCTCCTGCACAGAACGCACGAGCAGCTCCTTGGGAACGGTGGCCCCGATTGACGCCCTTCTCGCGCGGGTTTGGGGGCTGTACGTAACGCTCCGTTGCCGCCAGCGGATGTCTGAGGCTCCGCTGGATGGGGACAGGACTGTCGGCGTTAACGAGGGGAGATGGGGGGTGGCGTGGTGAAGGCCGTCAGCGAATGTCGAGTGGCGGCGGCGTCGTGCCACTTCCTGGTCAGCACTGGTGGGCGACATGTCTGCCATCACAAAGCCGACAGGCCCTGTAGGCACAGACTGCCTCTTCAGGCTCGCGATCGCCGGCAGCTGCCGCGGACCCTCGTGCGTGTGCTTGACGGCTGCAGGCAGACGGAGGCCGCCCTTCTTGTCACTAGGGGGCGTGCCGTCGCCCTTGGCTGTGCTGTCTTGCGTCTTGGATGGCCCTGCCGATTTGGCCGATTCCTGCTGTTTGGCTGCTTCGTGCTGTGACGCGCGCCGCGTGCCCCTGCCCCTGGCCTCTCTTGCTGGGGAGCGGCCGGGGGTCGGGGGCTTCTTCTCGGTGGCCTCTGTCCCTGCACATGATGCACACAAGGCCCCCATATATATCATGTCTCTTCTTCCCGCTTACTTAGTCGTTTGACTGGCTTGCGTCTGGGAAAGAGAGGCCGCAGTACTTCCTGCTCGAAGGCCACACACTCCTTCTTTGTCTTGGCCGACACGTTGGGCTTGACGGACGTGAGTCCCATGACGACCAGAGTCGCTTTTGACCACATACTGCCATCAAATTTCGGCCTTTGACCACTAGAGTCACCATCTGCCTTATTGCTGGCGCTGCTGCCGTGCTCGTCTGAAAGCTTGCTTCCCAGCTTGGTCAGGCACCCTGTGGCTGTGGTGAAAGCCCGACGCTCTGCGATTAAGGGAGTAGACACAGGTTTCCACCTGGGCAAATGCGGCTAACATACCTAAGACAGCGATCCTCTTGCCCTGGGCCTGGGCGAGGGCGAATATGCTGAAGGTGAACTCGAAGTTAGAGCGTAGTGGTCTGGGCGTCCCCTCCAGTATCACATTCAGAGCTCGCCGCCTCGCCTTCCCATCCCAAATACAGGCAAATACACATATGCACATCGAGGGATGCGATGTATTCATGGGTGCCGGCTGTTGGTTACCTCTTGAAGTGACCGTTGGTAGAGTGAGCCGAGGATGAGAATGGTCTTGCCAGCATCGACAGGCGCCTTCTTGGCATCAGCGTATATGCGCCAGTTCCTCTGTATCCGGAACGCTGCCTGTATGTGATCACGAGGGGAGACAAGACACCGTGATGCGCGGGGTGCAACGGCATTTACACCGCCTTACCAGCGACTCTCTTGTTTTCTTGATCCAGTGGAAGGTCTGCAGCAGCATCCTGATCTTGATGAGAGATGTAAGCCCAGCCCTGCCCGAACGGAATATCCACCCGCGACAAGCCTGCACATTGCACGTGGACCTTACGCATGCCCTTGTGTCTCTTTGGTGTGCCCTCAGCCCTGACTGACTGACAGCTTGGATGGTGATGACGGCAGCAAGGCGCCTCTCCCGAAGACGGATCAGCCTAACCACTCCACGCTGGTATCTCGCCCAACGGCGCCACTTCCGCTGAATGATACAGGACTTCGTTTCCTGCAGCAGCTGCGCCTGCATGGTCATGAGACATGCACAAAGAATGGGTGCCCTGGTCCCTGGCAGTGTGGGCTCTTCTGGTTCCCAAGCTCACCCGTTTGATCTCCCTGCGGACCTTCCAGGCACGACATGCGGCCTGAATGCGGACGGCGGCCACCACCTGCACTGTGCGTAGTTTCTTCTCGGCCCTCATAAAGATCTGCAAAGCCGACGAGTCCTGCACCTTGTCCCACTCACTGTCCTTCAGACCTAAAGCCTATCACCCACATAATGTGCAATCAGCTCAAGATGTGTAAGAGCGAATTCCATGTATGTACCTCTGCCAGCTCCATACGCTGCCTGATGTTGGTCTTGACTGGGTGCTGCTTGAGAAGCGAAATCATGTCCGAGGCCTTCTTCTGCCGATACAGATCTATCAGCTCGCTGTAGCCCATCGCCTTTAATTGAACCTGGAAGGACATTTAACATCCCTCCAAGAGCACCGACGAGTGCATGAATGTCAGTGATCGAATCCATACCACTTCGCGAGGCTGCCGCGGGAATCTGCGCTTGCGAGGGACGATTGGGGCTGATTCCTCGTCAGGTCTGCTCTCATCCTCGTGCTCGTGGCGCTTTTCGCCGTTTCTCAACGGGGGGAGGGCCACCCTGGCTTTGGTTGGCGCGGCCTTGGTGTGTTCCTCCGCCTTTGGCCGGGGGGAAGCCTGGTCAGCGATGGACAGTCTCTTCTTGGCCTCGTGGCCGTCTTGCTTGTCCGGTAGCGCTCCTCGTTGTGTCAGCAGCGCCTTCAAGTGTGCCTCAGGAGAGCCCGCCGGTAGAAGAGAGAGGCCAGCAGCGGCGTACACCTCTAGCATGCGATGCGACAGGTCATCTTGCGGGACAGCGGGCAACGCCATTGCGACGATGTGGGAGCCGTGCACCGTTCAACCTTGCGACGATGATGGGAGGGAAGGAACAAAATGTCCCCAGAATCTCTGGGGGCCCAGTCTCGACGTTCTCCCTTCCCCCACGGTAACTATCGCCAGAAGCATACAAGATGTGGAGGGACATACGCTGTGATCCCTTGTTCGACAACGATTACAAGCCTCCCCGCGTCACGTAAGCAGCGAATTCCCATCTTCCCTCACTTCTTGTGATACTTGTTGTGATGCCAATGCAACCATTTTTGTCAGGAATGAGTACGCGCAGCTTCAAAACCCAATGTCAGGATCTCCCAGGAAGCAAGCACAACTCAAGTCAGTGGAGACCCCTCCTCTGAGTCATGGAGTGGCTCCCTCTGCACTTCATGGCGGGATCGCCGCCCTCCGACAGCGGATGCGCGAGTTTGAGCGGGGCTTCTCTGCAACCACTATTGAGCAATGCAGAGGTGAGCACACACGCGTGTCACACATGCATTGTCTGTTGAATGCTGCATCTGTCTGTGCACAGGCGTGGCCCTTGGTTTCTCGCTCTCATTGATGGAGGGACAGCTGCGGCGGCAGGCCAAGCAGCTCGTCACAGAGTCGTACGACCAGATCTGTCGCCAGGCAAGAGCGACCATCCGTGAGAGGACAAGCTTTGAGGACAAAGGGCTTGACCAACGCGAGATCGATGAGATCTGGAGGGAGGCCATCGAAGAGGTTTGCCCGTCCGCCGAAGGGCCCCTGCACTGGGATGCCCTGGGATTTCGCGACGGTGGTGGTCATCCAGGAAGCAATGGTCCAGGAAGCAATGGGAGGGGGCAGAGCGGCAAAGAGACGGCCCACGACTTGCAGGACTTCGTGGAAGGCCACACCATCATCATCCCGACCGATGACGGCGAGATGCACTTTGCGTACCTTGCTCGCGTCGTCCCCACACAGGACTACTGCCGCATCCGCGTGTTCCTCAACCAGCGTGTCCTCTACGCCCACCTGAGCGATCCTGCCGTCAACCCATACTTCAGCCCACCCTGGGTGGACCTCACCACCCGGCTCGCACAGACCTGGAGCCGCCTGCGGGACCTCTACAGCGCCCCCACGCCGTGGGGAGGGTGGGAGACGGCCACACAGGAAGAGATTGAGGAGATAAGGGAGGTGCGCTCGCTAAGGAACGCCAACAAGTGGAGCCGACTGGCGTCGCCGCCCCACCCCAAGCACATGCCGCGCCAGAGGGGCCCGAACCAGGCGAGACAGGCCTTCTGGAACAGGCGTCTGCTGAGGGGAAGTGACAAGGTGGAGGTGTATCCGCTGCCGCTGCCGTCCTCCCTCCTAGATGGTGGCGGCGAGACCTATGTGGAGCTGGAGTTGTGTCTGTCGCAGTTCATCCAGCTGTGCCACAACGGATTCAAGTATGAGGAGCTTGCAGACACAGATATGGAAAAGGCAGGCGGACAGCACGGCGGGGAGGGCGGGGAGGGCGAGGAGGGAGAGGGAGAGGGAGAGGGGGCTGGGCATCAGAAGAGACAAGAGGACGATCAGATGTTGGCGAGGCGGAGTGAGCTGGCGAGCCTCTGGGACCTGGTGCGTTTGTGCGTTGCCAACCACCACCCATCGGTCTTCTTCGAGAAATGGGAGGTACGTAACAGAGAGCTGCCATCAGTATTCCCCCTTGCACTGCACACACGCATCTGCTCTCAACAATTGCACCACAGGCGCAAGACTTCCATAACTTGTGCGACGTTCTCACTCATCTGGCCGACACTCCTGGCGAGCGGGATGCAGCAAGGTAAGAAACCTCCTGCAGGTCGCAGTCATGGCTCTTTCTCCTTCTCGTCGTGTGTGCCAGGGGTGTGTTTGAGAAGGCCTGGCGTGTGTGGCTCAACTACCGTGATGTGCCGCTCGAGCAGTTTCGGAACGCCATGCTCGCCATCCTCCATCTGTCGACACAGCTGGAGAGTACGCCGAGCAGTATGCTCACGCACCACCGACACTACCCCTCTCTGTCTTTCCCTCTTTCAGCTCTCTTGCCCACACCGAAGGAGGATGAAATGGACCTGACCGACGACGCCCCCAAGCGCGCCAACAACATGGCCCCCACAATGGTCAGCCTCCGCACAACCCTCCGCACGCCCACCGCCAGCAGCACGCAACAGCAGCAGACACCGCACCCCCTTAAGAGGGGCACAGCCATCACGGAAACGACCAGCACGACCGCCCAAGTACTCAGCCTGCCCATCCCACACACGGAGAGGTCCGAGGAGAGGACGGCCAAAGTGCTGGGCGAGTCGGTGATCGAGAGGGATCTTAAGGAGGTGAAAGCGGCCCATGGGAAGAAAAAGGCCAAGCCGAGGGGCGCCAAGGACGCCAAGCCGCCGTGCAGGACATACCGCGCCACGCGGGCACCCGCTAAGCGTCCCCAGACCAACCTCGACGCGCCCGCATTCAGTGCGTGTCTTAAAAGGGGAGGGGCGACACACACACTAATAGGTCAGGGCAGGGAGCGACACAGATGACTGTAACTATTTTGTGCAGCTTTGGAGGGGTATCTCCGCCGGGCTTTGAATTCCCCTGATTGGGTGGCGTCAGAGGTCCTCAACCAACCGATTAACCAGGACAAATACCTGCAAATGATCAAAGTAAGGGAGACAATGAAACACACACACCGACAAAGAGACATTTCACCATCATTGCCTTTCTCAGTTGAGTTTCAGGCTGGAGGTGCTCCGGACAGAGTTTGCCAGGTGGCACCAGGCAGTGGACGAGGAGCCAACAGACACCTCATCACCACCACCCCAACCCATGGAGGCCACACAGACGACAGCCGACCACGACGCAGCCCCCTCTGTGTCGCCGTCTGACGCCACCGGCTCCCCTCGGCCTCCGGTGCGCGGCCAGTATGAGGCAGCATCACCCAGCCCCCAAGCAGCGCCCCAGCTGATGCCAGCATTGCCGCGGCCGCAGTGGTGGCAGCCATGCAGCAGCATCACCGAGTACAGAAGGGCACCGTTTCCCAGCACCACCGATCAGACATATCAAAAGGTGAGGATGGACATACACTCACACACAATACAGCGAATTGGATCCATACATGTGTCTCTGCGGGTGTGTGTCATCCATCAGGTGGTGTGGGACATCACGACGTGTCCTTTGCCGCCGTGTTGGGAAAATATTGGGGACATTGTGCGGGTCATTCGGGTGCTGCTGCTGAGGTTCGGCCTCAACCACTTCTGTGTCGAGAGCTTCCAGCGCGATCGCGTGTTGTCGAAGCGCAAGATGCTGGTACAGCCGATGCAGTCGCTGCACGGGGATGCGGCCGTACTGCACGATGTGCGCTTCTGTGTCCATGTGTGCAGGTGGTTTACAATTCGTTCAAGGCCGACCTTCCAGTACCGGTAAACACACACACACACACACCCCAAAGGAGACGTGACTGTGTCTCTGCGTCTGTATCCACCGTAGTTGCGTAAGGCTCTTCGCTACGGTGGATGTGAGGTTATGGACGTCAAGACCTTCAAGCTGGGCGAAGAGCAGGAGATGATATTCACCGAATTCCTCCCGCTCATCGCCACCGTCAAGGTCAGGCGGTCGACAGCGGCCACCGATCCGATCCGCCCCGCGAGACACGCAATTATGCAATCTCTTGTGCGTGTGTGTGTGTGCAGAGTTGGCGGACGAGGGCTGTACTGATCAGTGGCGATCCCTTCTTGCTGCAGCAGGTCGCCACGGTGGTGGGCCCTCGCGTGTTGGAGCTCATACTCATTCACAACCTGTCGAGTGAGCGAGAAGCAGACAAGCATCCATCCGTGTGCACACGTGTTCTGTTGTGTGTCTGTCTGTCTGTCTGCCTGATTGTGTGTCTGTCAGAGCCCCCCGTCCCGAAGAATGCGTGGCAGGTCCACTCGCATGACTTCATCCAGGTCAGAAATGCCGCCGCACTAGCTCAATGCATTCAATGCCGCGTGTGTGCGTCTTTTGCTTGCACTTGTGTCCCATGCAGTTTGTGGGAGAGTGTCTGGGTCAGACACACCGGTTACGCCAGGTCTCACCCGGGCCACAGCGGCCCAAAACACCACGCACATCGCACACAAGAGTCAGGAGCGGCTACCTTACGGCGAGATAAACATGTGTAATTGACCTACTGGTCGCTGTGTGTTTCGTGTATTCCTCTCGCTTGCTCTGTTGATCATTGCGTGTCAGTGCATGCAGTCGCAATACGTATCGCTGTTTCGCAGCCTCCTTGCTTGCAAACGGACACGCATTCTATGTGCAACGTAAATCCATGTAGTCTGCCCATTGCCCCATCCCTTTGACAACACAAAAACTTCGAATTCTCTTTCCTTTCATCCACATGTATTGATCACGCTTCTAGTGCCCGCCGCATCGCCTTCACCGCTGGCTTCTCTCCGTACTGACGGTCCCACGGCAGTGGACAATCCTCTGTAGACACGCGCACACACAGACACACATGGGACACATGCCGCTAGGACACATGCATCTCTCTATACGCAGTACCTGGCAGCCACGTGTATTTGTCGGTGAATCCCCAGCTCAGGAAGGCCTTGACGTTCGGCTCTTCCACACAGATCTTGAGGAGCTCGCCGTATATGTCCGCTTGAGTCGCCCTGTCGGCGTCCGTCCACTTGTCCGCTGGCAGTGGATGAAACTTGCCGTGATCCCACTGGCCACCTGCACACACACCACACACGTGGGCAATCGGTCACAACCACAGATGTTTGCCACCATTGACGCTCACCTGGCACGTCGACTTCCGTCATGTGCACCACAATGCCGAGGTCAGCATAGCGCCTCACATTCTCGCGGATGCCGTCCATCAGCATTGACGTGTTGGCGTGAGTGTTGGTGTGCAGCTGGAAGCCCACCTGACACACACACAGATTAAGCAGAGAGCAGACACATAGATAGATGTGCCTGTGCACCACTCGTCTGTTTGCTGCCTACTGACCCCGTGTATGGGCACGCCCCTTTCGAGCATGCCCCTGACAAGATGCAACATGGCGTCTGCCTTAGGCTTGGACCATCCCCTGCAGGAGGCGACGTTGTAGTCGTTGTAGAAAAGCTGTGTGGAGGGCGGGGCGGCCTCGTGGGCGCGGCGGAAGGCCAAGTCGATAAAGTCGGGGATGTCTGACCATATGGACTTACGGAGGGCGGGGCACGACGGGGCCGGCTGCTGATCTTCAAGCGCTGGCCACACGCAAGCAGTGAAAGACGACAGATGGATGTGCACATGGTCGGTGCTGATGCCACGACTGGCCCAATCACCTTCGTTGACGACGTCCCAAGCGAAGATCTTGCCGCCAAAGTGCCTCACCACAGTGCCGATGTGCTCCTCGAGTAGGGCCTGCTTCTCCTGAGCACTGCCGTGGAAGCGATTGAGCCACTCCGGGTTGCCATTCCAGTTGTGCCACACCCTGCACACCACACACACACACACAGGCAAGATGGTGTGCAGTGCAGTGCAGATCTGCACTGACCAAACAAACACGCCAGCTCACAGGCAGTGTCCCCGGAACTTCTGCTTGTTGTCCTCCGCCAGCTGCTGGATCCTGTCTGCATCGGTGAAGTCGAATACCGACCTCGACGGCCGAAGAGATCCCCACTTGCAGGCATTCTCAGCTACCACCACGTTGAACTGTTTTTGCAGAATCTGCTGATAAGGAGCGTCGCCGCTGCGCAGGGCCCAGTCATTGACAGCAGTGCCAATCAGCAGGCCTTTCCTGTCCGCCAGGCAGCGCAAGTATGGCACGTCATCCCTCTCCTCCTCTGCAAAGGATTTCTTCATTTCAGTCACTCACGTCGCTTCGTGCAGCTGTGGCTTGACGGAATGGACGTACAAGCGAGGAGATGCTCACCGAAACAACGATGCGAGCTGCGAGGCCTGCGAGCTAAGCTCTCCCCAGCGAGCTTTTGCGGAGGATCTCAACATCAGGTTTTTCTCGCGTCCGCGGCGCTGTGAGTGTGAGAGAGTGACTCGAGTGCTGCCCGGTGGTCAAGATCTGCGCCATGGCGCATCATCAATCCGAGAAGAGCAGCCAGGGGATGCTGGGCTTTTCCCCGGGCAACCACGAGGTCGACATCCTCCCGTCCGAGGTGAGCGTCGTGACGACAGACGAGGAACGCCGAGCGACACGAGAGACATCTCGCATGCGTCATCGAGTGTGACTGTGTCTTTCTGGTGCCAGGCGTCCGAGAATGGTGAGGTGGACTGGTCGTCGAAGATGTTTTCGTTCGAGGTGACCCCGTTTGGTATCGGCTTCTTGAAGATCCGCTGCAATCCCGTCATCACGATAGCCGCGTGCATCCTCCTCTGGGGGTTCGTCGCGTGGGCCATGATCACCTGCCAGGACCCTGACTCGGAGACCTGCGCACGTATCCACCTCGAGTCGGCCAAGCTGTGGATCACCAGCACCTGGACGTGGCTGTATATGGGCACCCAGGCAGTGTGAGCGAAGTGGACACGGGAGGGAAGGCAAGGGAATAGCCTCTTCGTCGGCTGTGATTCCTTGAGGTCGTCTGTCTGTCTGTCTGCATCAACCAACCAGGTGGACGGTGTTTCTGCTGTGGCTGTATTTGTCCAAGTATGGCGACATTAAGATGGGCAAGGATGACGAAGATCCCGAATTCTCACTCGGTGGGTGGAAGGGTGGGTGGACCAGGGCATTGAGTTGAGAGACATGCATGGACATCATCAGGCTCCTGGTTTGCCATGCTGTTTGCGTGCGGCGTTGGTATCGGTTTGTTCTACTTCGGTGTGGCTGAGGTAAGTTAGTGGGGAGGATCGGGGATACATGACGGCCACGCTGGCGCACGGTGCTCATATGTTCATTCTCACACGTGTTTGTTGGTGTCGATCGGTTCAGCCAATATGGCACTATGAGCCGTGCTATGGCAGTCCCTTCGCCGGTGCTCGCCGGTTTAACGAGGACGGGAGCCCGGTCCCTGGCACGGGCGAGTGCCACGGGGCGCGGTGGTCCGAGATGGAAGACAACGAACGCGCACAGTGGTACGTACGTGCGGGAGCGGATCAGGCAGACAGACAGAGATATGGGGGCACAATCCTTCCTCCTCCTGACGTCCTGGCCTGGTTTCCCGTCTGGCAGGAGCATGCTGATAACGTATTTCCACTGGGGCTTCCACGCCTGGGTGGTGTATGCGATTCTTGGCATGCTGCTGGGCCTTTTGTGTTACCGATCCAACCTTCCTATGAACATGAAGAGCACATTCTACCCACTGCTCGGCGACCGTGTGTTCGGGCCACTGGGCGACGTCATCGATGTCATCTCGATCGTCGCCACGGTGGCCGGCGTGTGCACGTCTTTGGGCCTTGGGGCGATGCAACTCAACGCAGGCCTAAACAGGTGAGTGTGTGGGAGGACGATGGGCTTGGACGTGTAATTGTCACGTGGTATGTGATGTGGTTCTGGCTGTTTGTGAAGGTATTTCCCGGGTTTTGAGGTGAGCGAGAACTCTCAGGTGCTGCTCATCTGGGTCATCACCGCCATCGCCACACTGTCGGTCGTCAGCGGTGAGCATTGGAGGGAACGTGTCAGTCACCGAGCGGCTGAGCGCATGGATATGTGTTTGTGTATGGCTGGCTGCCCGTCGTTCATGTGTTGTTCAGGGCTGAAGGTCGGGGTGAAGATACTGAGTGAGATCTGCTTCATGGTGGGCAACGTCCTGATGCTGCTGACCATCTTCGCTGACGACACATGGTGAGTCAATCAAAGGCGAGCAGCCACTGATGGGGACGTCTCAGTGTGGCGGGGTCTGTGCTGCACTGTCTGTGTGTGTCCTCTTGTCAGGTATCTGCTGAACCTCTACACGCAAAACCTCGGTGTTTACTTCCAGTGGATCCTCAAACTGCAGACGTGTACGTCATGTGCCTTACCACCTACCTGCACATACACACACATCCATCCATCCATCAATCCATTCCTTCGTCTACGTGTGTCTATCCACTGTACTGCATTGCAGGGACGGACGCCTTCGAGCAACTCAACGGCGGTGGATCGCCCGACGCCACAGGCGCTCCCGCGGGATGGATGGACGAGTGGTACACACACATTCATTCATCCACATGTGAACACACAGTTTCGACCTGTCTGTGTCGGTGTGTGCGATCAATCAGGACGATTTTCTACTGGGGCTGGTGGATCTCCTGGGCGCCCTTCTGCGGCATCTTCATCGCCAAGATCTCCCGCGGCCGCACCATCCGCCAGTTCATCATGGGCGTCATGACGGCCCCCTGTGTCTACACCTTCCTCTGGCTCACCATCTTCGGCGGCAGCGCGCTGCGGGTCGAGCGCGAGGCGGCCCTAGAAGGCATCACGTGCGATTCCATGAAAGACCTCAAGGTGCGTGTGTGCGTGCGCGGCCGAACAGATGGACGGACGGATGGATGGGGTGAAAGGCCACTTACTGCGTTTGTGTCGTGTGTGTGAAGGTGCCGGACCCAGGTCAGAAGCTGCGGTTGTCGTGCCGCGGGACCAATGACATGTGGTTTGACCTGATGGACCAGTACGAGGGCATCGGGCCGCTTCTCACTTTCCTCTCGCTCATCGGCATCACTCTCTACTTTGTCACGTCGTCGGACTCGGGTACGTACGCAATACTGTACAATCACAATCACACACAGACACCATCCATCGACGATATGCGGCCTTCGTGTGTGTGTTGCAGGGTCGCTTGTGGTTGATTCTCTGGCAGACAACGGGACGCAGGAGCCGACGATCGTCACTCGTGTGTTCTGGGCCTTCACTGAGGGCGCCACGGCCACGGCGCTGCTCATGTCGGGCGGCGACCATGCTCTCAAATCCCTGCAGACAGCATCGATCATTACTGGGTGGGTCAATGAGGGAGGGAGGGAGGGAGGGAGGCGCGCTAAGCTTATGTGTGTGTGTGGCTGAGATCGGTCTGTCAGGTTGATATACACGGTGGTCATGTGCTACATGATGATGTCGCTCTACAAGTATGTGGCCAAGGAGAAGGGCGTCCTCAAGCACTATGGATGGGAGCAGTGGAAGCTGCCCCTCATCCAGGTAGGTAATCCATCGGACAGCGCACACCCCAACCCACCCCAACACCCACCCTCCCTCTCCCTGTCTGCACATGACCTGACACCATCAGATGTTCCACCGCCCCGACTTTGCGGCCGTCCCGGCACACCTGCTGTACCTCGTCTGCCCGTCGCTGGGCTTCGGCCCCGTCGCACGCAAGGCCCACGGCAAGGGCAAGGGCGGCTGGACAACCGCCCTGATGATGGGAGTCTTCTTCTACGGCGCATGGGCGCTGCTGATCATCCAGGCCATCACCAGGGCGGTTGATGCGCCAGTGCACAATCTGCACTGTGTGGCCTGGGCGTGCCTCACTGTGTTCGCCGTCATGGGTACGCGAGACAGACCAACAGAACACACACACACACACACGGCGAGAGATGTTCATATTGTTGGTTGTTTATGTGTGTGCATGTCTCAGGTGCGTTGCTGCGGTGCAAGGTGCGCAGTATCTACGGCATCGAGGGCGATCTCATCGGCGACTTCTTCGCCATGTCGATCTGGCCGTCGGTGATATTCCAGCTCAGGGAGCAGCTGGAGCAGCCAGTGCCCGTCAACAAGGAGACCGACAGCGACTCCACCACTCCCCCAACACACGCACACACCGGCACACACACTGGCAAGGTCTCCGTCAAGGAGGTGTGACGACTGGGGGCTGGAGAAATCGGCGATCGATTTTGTTTCGTGGGTAGTCGGTTGGATGCTTGGATGGTTGGATGTGTCAATCGGTGTTAGGTCGATACACGCAGTTCCTAGAGGGGTGAGCAGCCGTGTGGCCATGTACATGTATCTATCGATGGATGATGTCCATGTGCTGCCGTGGACGGACGGACGGACGAGTGGGTGCAGTGCACGTCGGTTTTATTCATTCATCGGTCCTTCCTTCCTCTGTGTCGGTTGGCATGCTGATCGTGTGCATTGCATACATACATACATGTGCCTATTTGGATTGGCCGGGGGGGGAGGGGGAGGGGGACACCACGGTGTCGGTCGGCCACGGCAATGGGTATTCATACACCACGCAAGATGGCTCACACACACACACACACCACTGGGCTCGACTCGCTCCACTGTCGACGATGAATGGGGTGCTGTGGTCTGGCACTTTTTATCTCCGTACGTGTGTGTGGTGTGGTCGGGGGTGGCTGCCTGCCCTTTTTAGAGCCGGCTGGCCGGCGGACCGACCGGATTGCCTGCCTACGCAGGCAGCTGCCAGGCATATATGTGTGTATACATGTGTGTATGTATGTGTGTATGTGTGTATGTATGTATGTGTATCGCACTCGGTCTTCTCAGCACACATCCATCTTAATCTATGAGGCATTCATTGTATTGAGGGAGGGCGGGGAGGGGCGACAGCTGTGGGCGAGGTAAACAGTGCAGTTACAATGGTGCATGAGCTGGCACATCGATCCATCCATCCATCCATTGTGTCCCATCCTTTATATCGTACCCATCCATCGATCGTATGTTTCAGTGAGTGAATGTGTGTCTGTGGGTAGGTAGGCGTCAGCCGGGCTCTGTCTGCGTTCCTTCTTCCTTTTTGAGCTGGATCCGCCAGGGAGGCGCCTGATCGATGCGATGCATGACGTGTCAGCGATGACAATTTTTCTGGCGGGTGGGTGGCTTACCGCCCCGTGTATGTTTTTGTGTGTGCTGTGCGGTCGGCCGCCGCCAATGCTCAACGAAGAGGGAGGGGAAAGCTGTCTGTATTGTCTGCCCATGTCTGTCCATGTATGTCAGTCACATGTGTCGACTATCTACCGCTGAAGAAGGAAGAAAGTTTTATCTATCGACTGATTGATGACGGCCGTCATGTGCTTCCTGTCTGTCTGTATCTCTGTATCTCTGTCTGTCTGTCCACACGTCTGTGCCTATGTATGTGTGTATCGAGTCGCTCGGGCTCTAGATATCTCCCTATGGACCTCTTGACAACGACCGTGTCCACCTGGTCTCTCACCCTGTCAGTGTTGGCCCATCCATCCATCCATCCGTCGGTCTCGGTCGGTCGGTCGATGGTATCGTGCCGGCGTCGTGTCGTCGATGCGGTGTGCCGACGAAATCTTGAAAAGTGGAACACGGAGTGAGGCAAATCAGAGAGGCAAAGAACAGTTGGTTCCTTTGGTGTGTGTTGCGTTGGATTGCGTGGCATTCCCGTGTGTCCGAGCCGATCTCACCTGCGCGGCGTCGCTGGCGACCGCGCGTACACGTCGGGTGCCAGGGATACACCACGGGTGTGGTCGGCTCGGACGAGCAGGAACTGCGCATGTATGGCCTGGCTGGCTGGCTGCTGGGGTTCTATCTATCCGTGTGTTCGTCTGTGTTGTGCTGTGGTTGGAGGGAGGGGAGGTGGCTCTGCGTTTATAGAGAGAGAGAGGTGGGTCGGTTGGCCGGGAAGTTACGCGTCGACTCGACTCGACTCGACTTGTCTGTGGCTGCTGCTGCTCGACGAACCGATGCTCGTTCACTCTTTCGCTACAAATGTCAGTCAGAACGGACAGACGCATGAATGAGTCAATCAGATCTGTCCACACACAGCACCATCAATGGCTATTCACCCCACCCACACACACACCACGCAATACATCAATACATCCACCCACCGTAGCTCGCTAAATGTCTCTCCTTGGACCAGTAGCAATGCACTTCTCTCAACTCCTGCTCCTGCTGCTGCTGCTGCTGCTGTGCCTGCCTCTCGTCTAGGTGTGCCTCTCTCTACCTCGCTCTCGCTCTCTGTCTAATCGCCACACACGAGGGAAAAATCAAGCGGTCAACACGCACGCTGACCAATTCGGTCGGACACACAGGCATCTAGCTAGGCAGGCAGGCAGGTAGGCAACCATCAAATCACTCACTCCTCTCCAACAGCTCTCATTTGCTCTCTCAGATATTGACAAATCAGCTCTCTTTGTGTCTCTCTCATTTGCTCTCTCAGATATTGACAAATCAGCTCTCTTTGTGTCTCTCTGTGCGACACGCTACGGCACGAATCTCCACCACCCCACCGCACCTCATCCACCGTCACTTGCTACTCCGCCCCCGCTCCAGTATTGTCCTCCTGCTCCAGGCCCACCCGGCCCTCCCGATGCAGCACCGCCTCCGCGCACAACAGCGCCGTCAGCCCGCCATCATCACCACCGCCCAGCAAGTCATCCTTGCGGCTCCGCGTGCGGGCCCTCTTGCGGGCCGACTCGCAGGGCCCCGGGATGCGCTCGCACGGCGGGCGGCGGTCCTTCTGCTGCCGCTTCTGCTGCCGGCTGCGTGCCGGCTGCAGGGGGGGTGACTCGTGTGAGTCGATGGCTGACGAGGTGGGCGACTTGGAGCACTCGCGGGGATGGAGGCCGTTGGCCGGAGGGGCACCGACACTGCTAGTGTTGTTGTTGAGGGCAGGGTGGGCAGGGTGGGAGAATCCATACCCACCTGATGCAACCAACACAACACAACACACCAGCCGAGACACATCCATTACGCAACAAAGACGTCTCATCTCTTCGTTCTCTGACCCACCTGGATCGTCATCGACGGGCTCTGTCTTGATATGAGCCATGTAGTTCCGCTCCCCATCCCTGGTCACGCTGCCACCCATGGTCTCGTTGAGCAGCTGCGCTATCCGGGGGTCGTCCGCATGACCACCCACACCTCCCACAGGACCCTCAGACGCAGGATGCTGCCCGAAGCCACCACCAGCAGCAGCACCAGCACCAGCACCGGCACCGCCACTGTTCTCGTGCTGGGATGTGGGTGAGGCATCGTTGGCCACCTGTGCCTGGGCCTGCTGAATGGCTGCCTGCTCGGTGGCATTCTTGTGTGCGCGGATGCGGCGCGAGAGTTTGAGCCAGCAGGCGTTGCAGAGCCGCAGCTGGCCCGAGTACCGCCACTGGGGGGTCTCGCGCGACTGCACAACACATCCATCCATCCATCCATCCACGACACAACCAACGGGCGACACATACGTGTGTTTGTGTGGTGAGGGTGCGGTGTGCATTGACTGACTGACATACATGGCATAGTCCGCAGAAGTAGGTGCTCTTGTCCTGTGAGGGGCGCCCGCGTCTCGTTTCAGGCTCACTGCAGAACACGCAACACGACACAACATACCACAGGTGGTGGATACGCGTGGGAGTAGACGCCTCCCTCCCTCCCTCCCTCACCCAGTCAATGGAGATATCCTTCTGCCGCCTCTCGCGGCCGTGGCGGGCGGCACATTGTGGCCCCCGCGGCCCGGCACAGCAGGTGCAGGCAGCACCGGGGCGGGCGGCATCGGCTGCTGGTGCTGCAAGGGGGGAGGACCCTTGTTGTCGAACAGGGCCTGCATCTCCTCAGTCCACTGCTGAAGCGTCCAGTGCGCTGACCACACACACACACGCGCGGAGAGAGAGAGAGAGAGAGATGAAGGTCATGCAGCCATTGTGGGTCAGGCATCAGAGGGCAGGCTCGAGACTTCCCTGTCTGCCCCTGACAGCTGGTGCATGCCCCTCTCATCTGTCTGTCTGGCACACTCTACCATACCCCCGGACCCACTCGAGGTGTTTGAGCCGAGCTCGGCCGGTGTGCGTGCTGCCTGCCTCCCTCCATTCCTGGCTGGCTGCCTGCCTAGACCTCTCTCTGCACCTCCCTGTCTCCCCCCCGCTGTTAGTCTCACTCACCTGCTTTAGCGGGGTCGATGTGGTCCTTGGCCGCCAGCTGCTCAGCGATCTGCTGCAAATCGATCATCTGGCCCTGCCCTTCACCGCCACCCCCACCGCCTCCCCCACTCCCGGCCTTCATGAAGTGCATCATCAGATTCTCCACCAGCCCCCCATCACCGGCTCCCCCGTCGCCCCCAATGCCGCCCACCGGCCCGTTGTCCTCACCGGCCGAACTGCCACTCATTCCGACGGGCGGCGACAGCTGTGGCGGCACGGGCATCCCGCCCATGAATGGGAAGCCAGGGTGCGGGGGCGGGAGCGGGGGCAGATGGGGGTGGGGAAGGGGGAAGGACGAGGCAGAGGCGCTCTCGCTGGCCGGCTGGTCGGGTAGCGGTGGGAGTGGCGGGAAGGCCGATGGCGGCATGCCGCCCAGCATCGACAGATTCATTGCCGAAGTGAGAGTGTCCATGTCCATGGCGCCCAGCCCCAGCAGCGACTGAGAAGAGGAGCCGGGGAAGGGCGGTGGCAGGGCGGACAGCGGCGGCAGGCCAGCCATCGGAGGCATGGGCTGGCCACCGAACCCGAGCGACGCTTCCAGCAGAGACGGGAAGGGGAGATTCATCGACGCAGGAATGGTCGTGGTGGCCGTGTTGGTCTGGGGCAGACCACTAGTGAGAGGGTTGGCCACTGTGGCGAAGCAAGACGGCTGCTCAGAGTGCGGCATCGCTACGTAGCCGTTCTGACTCATAGATGGATCACCTGACACAGTCACCGACATGGAAACACACACACACAGCGCAGAATGTGCTGCAGACCGTCTCGCAGCGCTGAGACTCCCATGTGTGTGCCCCTCTCTCACCGGTGTGCCTGTCGGTGTTGAGCGCCTCCCCGCCGCCAGAAGCCATTTCAGATGGCTCCGCCGCACTCCTCATGCCATGGACAGCCGCTTGGAGGCCTTGAATGAGGGTCTGCTAGCCACAGCCACCCGAGAAAGCCTTGTTGCAAGGCTCTTCTTACAAGGCTACAGAGTCGATAGCGGGAAGCATACCGGCGGCATGAGCAGGGCTGGCCAGGGGAGTATCCACCTCCTCCTGTTCGAGAAATCTCAGCTCGCAAGTGGAAGTGGCTAAGCTCGCAGAGGTGCCAGAGGAGAGAGAACGCATCGCCAGGGGAACGCGCAGGCTGCAAAAGGTTGGATCGTGAAGATTGAGGCTTCCTGAGTGCGGCATCCGGCAAGATCCGATCAGCAAACGATGCGGCGTTCCTGCGTGCGCCTGTTCGCAGCGAGCAGAGGCGGCCGGGGCCCACCACTGCGCGTGCTGCATCTGCACCATCGAGCCCTCTCGAGCACGAGCCATCTGTTCATCTTTCGCGCCGGCCCGATGCATCAAGTGCGGCACTTTGCTGGGAGCTACAAGGCGCGGTTTGAGTCATTGCAGCAGCAGAAGGAGGAGGGCGAGTCGAGGAGTGAGAGGCGGGAGGGCGGCGGCAAGACGCCGGCGCCCATATGGGTGCCTGTGGCCATGGCGCTGATCGGCGCGGCGACCGGCATGTTCATCTATGACTACGTGGCTTCGTATCTCTTTCCCAAGGAGGAAAGGGTGACTGACACTGACAGGGAGGGAGGGATGGAGGGTGGCATGGCGGGCAGGGCAGCCAGGCTGTCCGATTGATGATTGGTTTATTAATGGTTCTTTATCTTCTGAGCGCTCATGACGCATGAGCGCTGCTGAGAGCCTTTACCGGCGAACTGACGGGACGATTATTTAGATGCGTCACACTGCCCTGCCCTGCACTGCCATGGATGCTGCACTCGCTCTTCCTGCACTCATGTCTGTTGTCCCTCTTTGTGTATATGTGTGTGCCTGCTTCAGTTCCCTTCATGGGACTTCGACTGGGATCTAGATTGGCACCCGGCGCCCCACCCCGTCCCCCCCACCGACATACGGCCGATGGACCCCTCTAAGCCAAAGCCACGCAGGGCCATACGGGAGATCATCCTCATCAGACACGGTGCGTCCGTCAGTGACTCAGTGGGTTACCATGGATGTCTTCAGCTAGAGCAGAGAGGATGTATGTGTGTGTGTGTGTGTGCGCGCGCGCGCGTGTGTGTGTGTGTGTGTGTGTGTTAGGTCAGTATGACAACGTCGAGGTGGAGGATGACGAGAAGCACGGCCTCACTGACATCGGCAAGGAACAGGCGGAGCTCACAGGTGGGCCGATGAGAGGGTAAAGGAAGGACGCTTGGATGTGCTGTGCTGTCTGAGTGTGCGTATGTGCATGCGTATCGGCAGGTCAGCGGCTAAAGGAGCTGCTGAAGGGCAAGATCGTCATGTCCATCTGCCACTCAAACATGAAGGTGACGTGACACCACAACACAATACACCACAACGAACGCAGCCATGATGCCACGTCCCCCACGTAACACCTCTCCTGTATTCTTTCAATCATCAGAGGGCCCGCGAGAGCGCCGCCATCATAGCCGTGAGCGACGCACAGCACGTGCATGCATTTCCGTCAACACGTGCCTGCATCTGCCATGTATTGATTCGTTCATCCGTCAGAAGTATTTCCCGAAGGTCGAGGTGATCGAGGACCCCGATCTGGCCGAGGGCGTGCCGGCCATCCCCGACCCGCCATCCAGAAACTGGTCACCGTCGCCAGAAGACGAAGCCAAGTGAGGGACACATGACGACCCGTGCTCTGCTCACACATGCACACGTCTGTCAACATGTGTGTGTGTGTGTGCATCAGAGACCCTCCCCGTATCGAGCGCGCCTTCCAGAAGTACTTTTGGCGGCCCCTACTCAACCCCCCACCCCCAGGGCCGAACCTGGGCAAGGAAAAGAAGGACCAAATCCAATACGAGATATTCGTCATACACGGTATGTAGGCATCGGCGGAAGTCGGACATGGTTGGCTGTGCGTCATCGTGTGTGTGTGTGTGTGTGCAGGCAACGTGATTCGTTATTTCTTCGCCCGGGCGCTGCAGTTCAACCCCAATGGGTGGCTGAGGCTCGCGTGTTTCAACTGTGGCATCACCAGGCTATCACTCGACAACAATGTACGCAGTACAAAGAAAATGCTGCTGTGTTGTGTGTTTGTTGCGTGAATTGTTCTGTGTTTTGCAGGGCTACGTGTCTGCCCGCGAATTCGGCAATGTGGGCCACTTGCCGCCCGACAAGATCACATACCACTGACTGACTCACTGACTTGCTGCCCTGCCCTGCCCTAGCAATATGGATGAATGGATTCATGCGCTGCAGCCAGCCAGCCAGCCAGCCAGACATACAGGGAGGCTGGCTTCGGCATGCTGCTCTGTACACTATAGCTGCCTGTTGGCCTTCATATGGCATAACGTGAATGTGCCATGCGGTGTGGCTGTCGTGTGTGTCTGTCTGACTGACTCCATCCATCCACTCGTCCAGCTTCCCATTAATGTGAATTCAATGGTCATCCATCCAGCCGTCACGTCATGTCACCAGTGTCTCTTGCATCAGCAGGCAGGCAGGCACAGTCGTCACATCACGAGTACTTGATGGCCTCCTGCATCTCCCTCCCCCCCAGCACCACGCTGCCAAGCGACACACGCGACAAGGACCACACGAGGGTGTCCAGCAGGCTGGACAGCGTGAAGACGCCCCCGATGATGGCTGTCGCCGACGTCAAGAAGTGCACCAGCGGCACGCGACGCTCCACCTTGTTGACCATGAAGGGAGACAGATCATACACCAGAAAGACGCCGGGCAGCCCCGTCAGCCGATCGTTGAGCTCCAGCACATTCTTGTACGACATCGACACGGCGTACTGCACTCAACACAGGGAGACACGCACATTCCGACGGCCAACCGTCGGCCTGAATGAACCAAGTATACCTGGTTTGTGTAGAGAGGCTGCCCGCCGCGGCTTGGGAAGTACTGTGTGGGTACCAGGTTGATGTAGTAGTGGAACATGCCTGCCCCGTGATGGACTGTGCGTGAGGTGCCCTCGAGGGGCGAACTCACGCCGGGCACTCTCGCACCGAACCGCAGACTGCGTGCATCGATGAAGGACAAGAAGACAGACCGGCCATCCGCCCACTTGTGTGTCGGGCGGGGCGGGGTGCTTACGTGTGTATGGTGTGGGACGTGTTGAAGCCATCAGTGAGGTCCTGAACGTTGAACTGAACAAAGGAGACGATGAATGCACCATTGGTGTGGCCCTGCCTGCCTGTCTCCTCTGACCTCATGTACGTGTTTTCCATTCTTGACAGTGGACCTGCCGAGGGCCACGTGGATGTTGCCTGCGACTTTATTGACGGCCACCTCGCCATACACACCGCACCCGATGGCTTCCTGGCACTGCGGGGCGATATTGACAACGTCAAAGTAGGAGAGACCCTCCTGCAGACAAACATCAAGGGGGACAAGGACAAAATAGGCCTTCGGCGTCGACAGTATGATGGTGGGCGTCATGGCACGTGCTCACTTCAGCGTATGCTTCCTTGAGGCTTTGACAGGTATTGCAACACCTGCACAAGGCATCAAACATGGCAAGAATTGAGAGCAGACCCCGCGTGTTCTGTCCCGCCTCCGTCTCGCGTACTTCCTTCTGGCGTTTGTCGCGGCAAAGCACGAGAGACACTCGCCGGGAGACGGCACGTGGTCTGGGAGAAAATGGCACGTCATATCATGCGATCGTGAGAAAAGGCATACATGACGTGTGTCTGGCTCACCATATGCCTTGGCAGTGTCTCCATGGTGTCGAGGGGCACCTTCATCAATGTTCCTGCAGACACATGGAAGCGCAAGATCATGGGAGACATGTGCGTGCATACGTGTGTTGGACCGACCATTGATATCGACTTGGTTCTCCTCCAGCACATCGACAGTGTCAACAGAGATCTCTGCAATGACACATGCATACATCCATCCCATCCTCTCCTCAGGCTGCCTGTCTGCCTGTCTGTGGGTCTGTCTCTCTCTGTGTCACCCACACATCGCAGGCTGGGAAAAGTGATGTTGAGCTGAATATGGAGCTTCTGCTCCATCAGGCGATCTGCAAAAGGATGATCTCCGCCGTCTCTGGGTGCCGCTGGGCCAGCAGGCCTGCCTACCGACAACGATGTGGTCCTCGATATCGACTCTGAGGAAGCTTCGCAGCTCGCCCAGAAAGAGAGCCGCGATGGTCAGCCAGCACAGACATGCAATGACACCGCCACTCTGGGTCTTCACCCGGCAGTCCACCGGCACTTTGCTGCACAGTGTCACATCCAACACAACTTCATTGCAATGTCAGCAGCAGCTGGCTTGGCTCGGCTCACCGATAAATGTCGAAGCTTTTGAGGGCCCTCATCACTCGTGCTGTCCTGTCGGCGCCTTCACCTTCCCCCGACCCTCCCCTCCTCCGCCTCAGCTCATTTGCACCCTCAAATGAGCTGCGCAATCCCAGCACTTCCGCCACTGATCCGTCAGATGAAGCGGCATTGCCCGGAAGGGCGGCCATCTGGGTCGTTGGAGAGAGAGGCCCTGGGCTGCGAGCTCGCGTCGAGAATCACTTCTCACAGAGACGGGACTGTTCCCCCCCCGTCTCTGCTCATCATTTCGAATGAGAACCGCTTTTCTGAAGACCTTGCATCGTCCATCACCAGCACAACATGGCAGCGATGGACATCGTCGAGCAGGTCCAGCAGCCTGAAGACCCTGAGCTTCTGGTTCCGCCCAGTCAGTTCCCGCACCCTGGCTATGTTGTTGTTCTCGATGATGCCCGCCGCAGGCCGACGGCAAAGTGGACAAGGTGCGCATGCTCCTCGGTCACGGTCAGAGGCTGCTGGCGGTCGAAGACCCGCCAGCTCTTCTGGTCTTCTCTGTGTGCCGAAAGAAATCCCAGCTATCCCGCTGGTCGTCTACTGCGTTGAATTGGTGCATGATTTGCAGACCAAGATGCCAGGAAGGCGGCTCGGCGATGTCGAGAGAGAGCATGCAGCGCTGCGGCACCAACTCGACGACAAAAACCGAGAACTCGAGGAGCGGGAGAGGGAGCTTGAGGAGGAGAGGCAGCGCACCGAGCAGCTCGAAGCTGCCATGGCTGCCCAGGCGATGGAGAGGGAAGAAGAGAGGCGGCGGGCGCTCTTTGTCAGGGAGATGGGGCGATGGTGGACCAGGATTTTTTCGCCGCCATCGGGGCCAAGAAGAAGGGCGTCGACCTGCCTGCAATGGAGGACCTCTGCGGCAACATAATCATTCAGGTGGGTCGTTGGGTGCGTGGGACCGGGCCAATGCAGTGAGAACTGCCGTGTGTCTTTGGCGTGGGTTTCGTGTCTGCCAGCTGGACTCGCACGCCTTCAAATTCGACGCCCTCAATGCCATGCTTGAAGAATAGATACAGGCTGAGCGGGAAAGACTCGTACCCGGAGATTTGGTGGGGCTTAATGCACCCGTTCTTCGACCGGCCGGGTTTCAAGGCGGTCAGCAAGCGCACAGCCATCAGCCCATCCATTCATCCACCCACGGTGTGAATCTTGTTGCTTTGACGTGTTGTGTGTGGTCTGTGTGTGTGCAGATTGGAGTCATGGACCGCACCCCGAAACCCGCCACCGTACGGCTCCTGGCTGACGGGGTGCGGGAGTTCCTCTGGTCGCAGCGGCCCAAGAAGTTCACCCACTACTATCAACTCGCCGATGTACCCAAATACACACTATGCCATGCACACATGCAGACACCGTCCAAACACACACACACACACACATTGCGCCTCTTGTGTTGTGTTGTGTGTGTGTGCAGTGGATAGACAAGCACGAGAAGGGCGACAAGGTGCGTGTGCTGTTTGCGGGCGGCGACTCGGCACTGGAGTGCGTGTCTAAAGCACTGAGGGCGGGCCTGGAGCTGGGCGAGGGCGCCGTGAGCCCAATTCTCATCTGCGCGTGCGACGGCTGGATCATAATCATCATGTGAGCGATGACACAGACACCACAAACACCACACCCGATTGATGATATGTAATCAATGCGTGTGTGTGTGTCCTTGTTGTGTTTCTGTGTGGTGCTGTTGTGTGTGCAGCTGCATCCTCATCTTCATACTCAACAAGAAGAAGAAGAAGAACGGGCAATGGTGGCTGTGGCTGGTTGGTGTCATCGTCTACAGGATCATTGTCAGTACCGCACCACACCCACACCCACACCACAGACAGACAGGAGAAGGCATCTGTCCTGTTTGTGTGTGTGCGGTTGTTGCTCACTTAGATTGCCATCCAGCCCGCCGACGGCCTGGGGGATGTGGTTAAGCCGCTGCACGTGTGTGAGTACATCCTCCAGCACTACCCCGGCCTGTCGATCGGTACACACTGACACACCGACACACCGCACACACATACACAGGCACACTACACCAAATGGGCGCGTGTTCAGGAGGCTTCTGCACCGCGGCGCTGCTCAACGGCGGCGCCAACTGCCCCCGACTGGTGCCCAGCCTCCCCGCCGCACTGGAGCTGGTCGAGCGCCACCAGAACAACCTCGTCAAGGTCAGACGAACCAACCAACCAGCACACCAACTAATCCACCCTCTCTCTGTGTGTGTGTGTGTGTGTGTGTGTGCAGGTTGTGGAGGAGTTGACGCCCAGCCCCAAGATGCCCAAGGACCCGATCAACTTCTTGATCGACGAGACGCTGGCCACCCTCTACGGGCCCGTGCTGTCCGATCACAGTGACGAGGTACACACGCACACACACGAGGGGGCCTGGCTGGCGTGGGTATGCTCACCTGTTATGGATCAAATGTGTTTGTTTGTGTTTGTACGTCAGCACATCGCCCCGCTGCTGCCCATCAACAAAGACTTTGTGGTCAAGTCCCTCGGCCAGCAGTACTGGGACCGCCTCGTCTCCGGTGCTGCTCGCCTGGGTGAGTGAGTGAGTGACCATCCCACCCTCCTTCCCTCTCCGCCCTCCCAACCGATGCAATGCGTCACTCTCTCTCTCTCTGTGTGTGTGTGTGTGTGTGTTTGTGCAGGGGTGGGCGTGACCGACACTCGCGGGAGGGTGACGGCGTATGGCGAGGGCCGGCTGCGCGCCCCTCTCTCCAGGTCGCGTTCCGCACTCCAAGATGCGCATGGCTGAAATGCGCGAGTTGCGGGGCGCCGCAGCTGTGCCACGACCTCGCCAAGAGAGAGGGGAACAAGGCGTCGTAACAGAGGGTCAGATGGATGGATGGATGGTTGGGGCGGGAGCGGTGGTGTACATGCCATACAGTAGGTAGCAGCTAGCGCCCTTCTGGTGGCGATGATGCGAGTGCGTAGATGCAGTGAGAGGGGGTCTGTGGGGTGGCTCGTTCCTGCCTGTGCCTGCCGGCCTGCCGGCCTGCCTTGGCTGGGCACGTCCTATCCTATCCTATCCTCGCCAACGGGTTGCTGTGTGCAGCTCGCCTGTGTGTCAAGGTTGTCTGTCTGTGTCGGTGCCATGTGTCGGTGCCTGCATTTTATATGTGTTGGGCATGTACGATGGATTCACATGTATATCCGACGGTCGGTCGACCGGCAACGTGAGGAGACATAAGTGAACGATCGTTGAAGGCGTGTTTGGGCATCATGCCACCGACAACCCCCTGCTTTAAGTGATGCATCGAAACGAGCTGTGCTCTGACGGTCGCTTGCCTCAGCGAAGTCCCCGGCAACGCAATGCCCAACACACAAAAAGACACACAAGATACACTAGTTGTCCTCCTACATGGACCAAAATGTCTCACACTCTACGGTCTCTCAAATACCCGCACACAGACAAATCTGTGTGCGAGCGTCTGCACAGCCACTCAGCGATGCGTTCCGTCAGGGAGGCTTCTCACACATAGACAGCATCGAGAATTGACCTACTGCTTGTATCTCTCCATGATCTCTCTGATCTCCGGCTTGTCCACCGCCTTGTCCCACGGCCTCTCGCCCTGTTGCCATGAGATGCGATGAGCAAAAACCACTCGAACCATCGATGGTGGGAATCTCTGTGTGCACTCACTTTGTTGTTTTTGATGTCGAGCAGTGCAGCGCCGCCCCACTCGAGCCTTTGAGAATGACACAGAGGAGAGAGTGTGTGGATGAGATGTTCGCGTCAGTCAGCCATCTGTGCTTCTCACAGCGCAGACACAGCTGCAGAGTCGCCTTGAGATGCAGCCCAATGGAGTACCGTCGAGCCCATCTGTGTGTGCCATGCACACAGAGAAAGGCAATCAAACAGATGGAGGCGGCTGGCGATATGTGTCTTCTCTGAGGCCTCACATGGTCGGTCTGTGTGAGCACCTTCCTGACTTCCAAAGGCTTCCCTTCGGCTGCCCACTTGGAGACCACTTTTATGACTCTGCGATCAAACTTCACGTCAATCCCGAGGGCCTTGCCTGCCAGCGGACAGACAGACACAGAGACAGACACATTCCCCACAGTGTGTGCGTGCGCGCAGATGAACGGCATCTCACTTACCCTTGGTGGCACACAGCCTGACGAGACCGAAATCTGTCGCAGAATGGACAACATCAGAGACGCTTGCTACTCGATGTGTGTGTCCGTCTGTGACGCTGTGTGTTGTGTGCACTGACGGAACTAGCCACATAGGACTGTTTCGCAATCTGCATGATGTCGTAGATTATTCTCACACGCTGCACTTCAGGGTCGTCTGGGCTGCGCACACACACACACACACACACACACACACACAGAGAGAGAGAGAGAGAGAGACTCACACACGCATGACGCACACGCCTGCGTGTGTGTGCGTGTGTGGATGTGTCCTGTACTTTCTGTCCCGCAGCGCTTCAACCTTCTTCGACCATACGGGCTCGTATTTCTCGACTTCGAGGATCTCCGACTCAAACCTGTCCCTCAGCTCCGTAAGCTTCCGGACCTGCGGGACGGACAGTCGGTCAATTGACCGAACCAGCGAACACCACGTGCGTCCTGTATGAGTCGCTCACCACTTGGGCCTCGACGTCCATGCAAGGCAAGGCAGCGAGCGCTGCCACCGCATCAAGCCGCTCCGCGTCGTCCTGAGCAGCACAAAATGAATGAATCAATGCGCATCAGAGAATCAATGCGGTGTGCTCTCTTGGCTTACAGTCGCATAGAGGCGGCTAGTCTGGCGATGTGTGGGTCGCATCTTGACGGTCAGGCGCTGCTCTGGCCTGCTGGATTTGGCGCCTGTGCGGGTGAGGAACGAGCAAGGCCGTGTGGCAGAGGCAGCTGCCAGGATGGTGAGGGCAAGCAGAGTCCTCATCCTCCACGCTCACTGACACCTCCCCGTTTCGACAGCATAGGTGAAGGCATCACGTGGATCTAAGAGAAATGCAGACAAACAGACAGACAGATGCACCGTGAGGAGATGTGCTGGCATTTTGGAAGGAGTTCGGGTCGCGTGAAACAACCTCGAACTACAATAACAGAGTCTCCCGCTGGCTGCACGCGCCGCATGCAGTTGTTTGTTGTTGTTGTGCACAATTCCAGGAGCGCGAATAATCCCTTCAATCAGTCAGTGGTCTGCAGTTGTCTCTGTGTCCTCCGCCACGTACGAACATGTTCGACAACCAAATGCATCGACCCAGGCCAGTGTGTGATGCATCCATTCCATGATGCCGATCTACTCAGTCAACCAGTCACCCAGTCAGTCACTCCAGCCTATGCTCCCCCCCACACACACTCTCACACCCCAAGGACACACACACGCACAAAGCACGTATGTGAAGTCAGACAAGCCGCACGGACAGACAGATAGACAGACAGACAGTCGGTTGGTGGGTATCAGATGGGTGTGACGACGAGAAAGGACAACAAACACACGAGAAGCGACAAATGGCGGATGAGTCAGTATGGGCCAGAACAATATGTGACAGAAACAGGCGAGACACTACACAGGCATGTCTTCACTCACTCAACAGAAAAACTACGCCGTGTCGGCATCCATCCATCCATTGGCTGATTGATTGACTGACTGACTGCTGGATCCCGTCCCTCAGATAAGAGCCACCCAAACACCCATCCATCCAGGCAGCCCAGCTTCCTCACGCAACGCACAAAAGTCAAGCCGCCATCCCCATTGTGCGAGTTTGTGCGTAGGTGTCAGTCAAAAATACACGGTGTTTGCCCGTTTGCCTGATTGCGGGCTTCCGAGTCTCGGCCTGCATATCCGGTTCACGACAATGGGCTGCTTGCTCACGTCCTTGGGCACCAATCTGCACACACACACGCGGCGACAACACACATGACATTCTGTTCGTCCCCCTCGGTCTCTCTGCTCCCGTACCTGTATTGGAGTCTGAGTATCCTGCCGTAGCCGTACTGCTTGTCGGCGAAGACTCGGCGGCATTCGGTGACCTCCCCCACCTTGCTCGTGCGGATGCTCTGCAGACACCTCTCGCCCTCACCGCAGCCCCAGGCGTGAGGGGCGCTCCCAGCCCGGCAGATCCCCCGCCAATAGCCGCAGTCGGGGTCCGAGACGTCGTATGGGTCGCCGTCCAGGTGCAGCGGCAGCGTGCGGGGGCCAGTCGGGAAGAACGCCGTGCAGTGCAGATGCAGTGGGTCCTGTGAAAGGGAAGAAGGAGTGATGGAATGGATATCGAGGTGCTGTGCTCTTCTGTCTGTCTGTCTGTCTGTCTGTCTGTCAGTTCGTGCGTCGCTGCTTGCTTGCCTGAAGTTTGTTGGAGATGGACATGGCCAGCCGGCCGACATAGCGTCGCTTCCACCACACAACGCCCATGGCTGCAGAAGCACAGACAAAAGACACGCCAGCAAATGCAGTAGGACCACAGCCTAGGAGAGAAGACTGTATGTGTGTTCCCTCTCACTCACCCTTGAGAAACGTCTCGAGCGACTCACTCAGCTGCGGGACGACCTCCCACTCGCCCACCAACTCATTGGCCAGCTCCTGCATCTCACGCGTCTCGGCGTCATCAACCTCCTCCTTGTCAGCCGCATCCACCCCATTCTCCTCCCCAATGGCCGCACCAGCACCAGCCCGGGTGACGATGGCCTTGTTGCCGTCGTCTAGGTCGTTTTCGTTGTCCTCTTCTGGCAGCGGCTCCAGCGTCACGAATGACGCACTCCCGCTGCGGAACGACGGCCGAACGGCATCAGATGGGTACTCACAACACACGGTGCCTGACACACAGGCGAGCCGAGCAAGCATGAGTGTCGGTGTCTGTGTGATTGTGTTTCTGCCCTGTCTGCTCACCTCCAGTGTTGCCAGGTTGTGCATTGACCGTGAGGACGTTAGTGCTTCCATCGACATACTCGAGGACGGGTCCGCAGTCGAGACTGGCCGTGCGGGAGAGCTTGAAGGCCTCCCTCTTCCTCATGTCGAGCTCCAGCGTCCCGCACCGCGATATCAGCGGCGACGCACCGTCAGCCTCAGACACTCCCTCGCCGCCACCTGTTGTGACGGAATCGACGGTCTCGCCTCGCCGACAAGAAGGCTCGCCTTTCGACGGCTTCTCGAAGGCCCGGAGTTCTGAATGAGGAATGCACACCGCGACAGACAACCAGCGAGAGAGAGAGCGCAAGCGATTTCAAAAGAGGCCGCGAGTGAAGTGAATGCAGGATGCTGTTTCGAATCGTCTTTCGTCTTTCCAAGGTTGCTACCTTTGGCGAATCCATTTTCCTTTTCGTGGAGCTCCAATGCGACCTCTTCATACAGCCGAGTGCGGTCATCACGCAGCACAGCCATTGCTGCCATGCTCCGACTGTTCTACTTTGTGTGTGACTGTTGAGTAGAGAGAGGCACGAGCCGAACAGTCGGCGTGAGCTCTCCAAATCAAGGAGCAAATCTCTCAACTTCTCGGTTTCTTTTTCCGGTGCGAGCTAGGCCCGAAAGACAGCAGCTCCTTGGGCGCCTCTTGGGGAGGACCAGCACACGAGAGTGTCAAGGCAGAGCAGGCCAGAAGTGTGGCATATATCTGCTTGGCCCAACCGTGTGTATCCAGCATCAGGCATCCATCATTCCGTTAAGCAGCGGGGAGAGCATCTGATCTGAGGGAGGAGGGCTGACGGGTCGGCAACACGACAAGTGGCCAACAACGCCGCGTCCGCCGTCGGGGAGCGAGACATCTGAGCAACAGGGGAGGGAGGGAGGGATCTATCTGCTGATCAGCTGACGAAGAAACGTTCGTCACTTCATCCGTGTGTGGCGGCTTCCGGACATCACGCGGGCCAGCCACATCAGCAACATCAACCGCCGCGGCATCTTGGAGGTTTGCAGTTGAAGGGCTGCAGTCCGCCGGTGGGAGCAGTGCACACCTTGCCGTCCGACGGCCAGCAATCAAGGCCGAGCGACCGAGGGAGCATCGGGACTCTAGTGGCGTTGCTCTTGCGTGGACCGACCAAGAGGGTGCCGTGCTGACTGATTGTGGAGCTGTCTATCAGTCTGTCTATCTAGTGAGTGTTGTGCGGGGTGGGTTGGTTGATTCCCGTGGTGGGTGCGAGTCGAGTTCATCCGGTTCATCGTCGTTAACGAATGGGTTCTGACAGGTCGAATTCCGACGACCTGTCTGCGGGCGGGATGGTGGGCAGTGGCGGGAGCGGTGCGGGGGGGTCAGACGGCCAGGGCGTCACGCCAAGAGACCAGGGGAATGCCAACTCGCCACCTAAGGTTGGTGCACACTAACCTGACTGAATGTGCTGTGCGTGTGTCGAAGGTAAGGTGGACAAATATGGTTGGCTGGCCTCTGTCTGTTGTGTCAGAGCTCCGACTTCGATCGCGCCATCACGCCCCCTCCCCGTTCGCCGTTGAAGGACGACTCGATCCCGTCTCTGCACGTGCCGCCGGCCACCCCCCTGGCCACCGACACTTCGTACATCCCCAACATACCATCGCAGATAAGCCCCTCCACCCAGACGCTGCCCGTCGAGACCGCATCCATCCGGTCTACCGACCACCTGCGGGTGACGGGCAGCACCGTGCAGGCCACGGCCAGCAGCAACAGCATCGGGGGGGACGACTGGGGCGTGAGTGGCCTGGCGCGTCCGGCGGCCTTCACGTCGAGTTTCTTTCACGTGCCCCCTGGAATGGGCGGAATGGGCGACAGGGACAGAAACGACGACACCACACTTGAACGGGACACGGCCAACAATGCGGTAGGTACGGTAGGTCATCAAGGCAGGCAGACAGACAGACAGAATGAACAGGCGAAAGGACTGACGCGTGTGCATATGTCCGTTCTTCGTTGATTCATTCAGCTGCCACAGTCCACCCACGCCACCCCCCCGTCGTCGAATCGTCCAGAGGACCTGCTGGCGTGGCTCAACGGGTCCCTATCGCTGGACGAAGACACGCCAGTGCCCCACGGGTCGCCCCAGTCTGACAACAGGGCAGCGAGCACCGACTGGTCGCCCGTGGCTCATGGTGGCGGCGGGGCGAGCGACCCATCCCTGGGATTTTTTGTCGATGGGAGTTTCGTCTCCCACTCTCAGACCGGCAGCTCGCACCAGGACAAAGACAGCTCCCCACCTACACACAGCTCGCGCCATGACTTGGCCGTGGCCGGCCAGGTGGCAGAGGAGGACAGAGCCGCGGAGGCCGCTGTGGGTGTGGGCGGGGGGGGCAGTGAGGTGGACGGACACACATCGTATGCCCTGCTGATGGCGGCCGTGCTGACGGGCGACCTCGAGGGCGCCAGGAGGATACTCACTCAGAAGATTGACCTCAATCTGCAACACGAGGTGCGGGAGGGAGGGACTTGACACGCGAGACCGGGCGGACCGGACAGGCGAGCACGTGTGGTCTGTATATGTGTGCGTGTCTGTGCGTGTGTGTGGTTGTCATGTCTGTCAGCGTGATGGGCGGACAGTACTCCATTGGGCTGCCGAGAGCGGGTCTCTGTCACTGGTGACTTTGCTGCTGGACCACGGTGCGGAGAAGAACATCATTGACCACGCCGGCAGGACGCCCCTCCACCTCGCAATCGCCAAGGAACGACAGCACGTCGTGGCAGAACTCGTCCAGAGAGGAGCCGACATATTCCTGCCTGAAAAGGTAGATGGGCACACTGACACAGCACAGACACTCATGGATGGTGAGACACATGGTTGTCTCTCTCTGGTATGTGCTGTGGTGTGGCGTGCAGAAGGTTGACGAGTTGAGCCACCTGATCGCGCCCCTCACACAGGGGGCGTCGGCGTCGGCACCCGGCGGGAGCACCCACGACCCATCCAGGCTCCTGCACAACGTCCTGTCGACGGTCAAGGACACGACCTCACCACATGAGAGCGGCAGCAACCCCCCTCCGCCCGACTACGACGAGCCAGAGGGAGGAGGCTGGCCGCCCCCGCCACCGTCTCACGCCAATGCTCATGCCGCTGCCGCTGCCGCCCAGTGGTCATCCTCTGGCAGTGCGTTGGCTCGGCAGCAACGTGCGGCGTTTTACGGTGCGTATGGGCCGTCAGCTGACGCGGCGAGTGCCCCTGTGGGTGTGGGGTACCGTCGGGTGACTGACGGTGAGGGCGTCGAGAAGGAGTGGATCGAGGAGGTGCAGCAGAAGCCTGAGACGTCCTACAGCAGCATGATCGACCCCACACGATGGAAACATCGCATACACCACGTAAATAAGACAGCACAGCGAGCTGCCACCCACCCGCCCCACCCAGGACCACCACCTGCTCTCCTCCCCTCCCTCCCTTGTGTGTTGTCTGTCTCTGTTGGTAGGAGTATGCAATGACGGGTCAGAAGGTGGAGGTCATCAATGTGGCCATCCTGCAGTCCCCCAAGGTGGCCCCCGACGCGGCAACCGCCACACCGGCATCCACATCGACCACGGGCGACGACAGCAGCCACGTGGCCTTGTCGCAGGTGCAGAACAGTCTGGAGCCGACGAGCAGCGAGCGAGAGGTGGTGGTCATGGCGCTGATAGTGCAGCAGCTGGGCGACAAGGAGAGCACCATCCCGCCTGTCCTCTTCCAGCAGGTCATCCATATCAAGGTTGAGGACAACAGAGAAGTCGTCACCATGGGACACAAACACCAAGCTGGTATGCACGCAACGCAACGAACGCCAACACACTGCTTGCCATGCCACCCAGCCCAGCGACCCATTTTTTCTTCCATTCACTCGGTCTGTCAGACCTTGATCGCCGTGAGCTCATCGCCCTGGCCGGAGTGATCCGCGAGCGTCTTCCACGCAACTACCAGGGCGTGCCGATCAACGTGGGGTCCATCGGTCACCTGAACCCCGAGGAGGGCACCTGCCCCAACAAGCGGTGCTACTGGCACCACCAGAAGGTGTGCAGGTGGGGCACCCTCTGCGGCCACTGCCACATCTGCATCCCTCCACGACGAGCATTCCGCCCCTCCAAGTGGCAGCGGGAGGCGCAGAAGAGGGCCGAGCTCGTGGGCGGCTACGGCGACAACATGTCGGTGCGGGGAGACGAGCAGGAGGTGCCTTTCGCGTCGCCACAGGCGGGTCTGGGTGACTTCGAGGCGCTGAGGCAGGCCGTGGTGGAGCTGGGTCTGCTGCCGAGTGAGGTCACGGGGATGCTCGGGAGCGAGCTGCTGCGAAGCCTGGCCATCCACGAGCTCGGCAAGCAGCTGCACCGGCCGCCGACTGACTTCCAGGCACTCGGCGACAGAGATGTGGCCAACCTATGCAGAGGTGGGCCAGCTGGACAAACTACACATGCCATGCGCAACCACATGTGCCGTCAATCGTCTGTCTGTGTTGTGTGTGCAGGCATCAGCGCCACGTCATGGTCGTCGATGACATCGCCATTCCTGGCCCGCAGCAAGACTCCCGGGTTGCCGCAGTCCCAGTTCCCCGGCGCCGGCAGGGGGCTGACGACCCTGACCAACCATGGGCAGCCCCCTCCGCCCCCACCCATCCTCTCGCGCACCGCCAACCCAGGCGGCCGCCCCCTGCCCCTGCCTCCCGCTCCCGGTGGACACACACCAGCCATGCCCCTGCAGACCTTCCCGCCGCCACAGAGATCCCCCTATAGGGCGCCCACTGTCATCCCGCCACCTGCTGCGGCGCACCCACAGCCAATCCAACAACAGCAGCAGCAAATCCAGCAAATCCAGCAGCAAATCCACCAGCAGCAGCAGCAGCAGCAACAGGCCAGGGGAACAACAGCTCAGCTGCTGACGCCGGCAAGGGGCGCCAACAGTGCGCCGGTTGTGAACTTGCCGCCCCCGGCGGCCCGGCAGGCAGGGGCAGGAGAGGCCAAGGATGTGGCCGGCCAGCTGGTGGGGCAGCATCAGCAGCCCCACCAGGCGCACCTGCCACAGCCACAGCAGTTGCAGCAGCAGCAGCAGGGCGGCGGCTCTGTCTCTCCTGGGAGCCAAACGCCCGGCAGCCACTCCGTGGCACAGTCACCTGCACTGCCGCCAAAGGACCGACCGGCCGAAGTGGTACGTGAGACAGACCAGACCAGACCACATCACATCAGTCGGGACGACTTTGATTGATCTTGTGTCTGTTGTTTTGATTTTCCAGGCAGCGTTTGATCGCTTGGTGGACTCGATGATCTACGCGCTGGACGATCGCACGACGCAGCTGGAGGGCTGCCTGCGGCTGGCCGAGCTTTTTTCGCGCAGCCGTCTGCTCCAGAAGGGCAGCAACGAAGTCCTCGACGTCAGCAGGGGTCTCGGCGCCATCGTCAGCGCCATCAACCGGTTCCCTAACGACGTCTTCCTCCAGACCAAAGGTCAGTCACATCTCACACCCGAGAGCCGGTCTCAATGATGATGTGGGCGTGTGAGTGCAGGATGCGCGGCGATGTGGAGCATCTGCAAGTACAACACGCAGCGGATCGAGCAGGCGGGGCAGCTGGGTGCCGTCGAGGCCGTCACGCGGGCGCTGCTCAAGCACGCCGACAGGGAGGACCTGCAGTGGATCGGGTGCGGCGCCCTGTTCAGCCTCTGCTTCCAGGTGGCCCCCAACAAGACGCGGGCACGCGAGGCGTCGTCCATCAAGGCCGTCCTCAATGCCATCCAACACAACCCCAACAACCTGCAGATACAAATATGGGGTGGGTCAGTGAGGAGGCACCGCACACACCGATCAGCCAGCCACACACAGACATGACCATGTCTGTCTGTCATGTGTGTGTGTGTGTGTGTCCGTCGTCTGGTGTGTCATGTGCTGTGGTGTGGTGTGCAGGTTGTGGGGCGTTGTTCTCGATGACGCGTCACTGTCTGCCCAACCAGCTGCAGGCGGGGCAGCACGGCGCCCTGCGCATCCTCACTCAGTCGCTCAGGATGTGGCCCGACGACCCACATGTCCAGTGGCACGGTAAGGACGGGCGGGGCGGTGGTGGGCCACACCCAGGACAGACACAGACAGACACACGTTGCTTACATCGACCGATCGGTATTCCTCCCGCTTCGCTCCCCTTTGATATGCTAATTAATGACTGCAGGCTACGGGGCCATCTGGTGTATGTGTTTCAGCGACGAGACGCGTCGCGCCAAGGAGGAGGGCCGGCTGGAGGGCACCCTGCAGACGGTGGTGACCAACCTGCAGAAGCTGCAGCTCCACCCCGACGTCCAGCTGTGGGGATGCGCCGCCGTCTGGAGCCTCTGCAGGCACAACGCCGGCAACAGCGTCGCAGCGGGCAAGGCCGGCGCCGTCGAGGCCATCCTGGGGGCCATGCGCACCCACACCAAGAAGGCAGAGCTCCACTGGAAGGCCTGCGGCGCCCTCTTCGCCCTTTTCGCCGAGCCCTCCAACCGGCAGCGTGCCTTGGCAGGCAACGGCGTGTCCGGGTTGGCGGATGCGCTGCAGTCTTACCCGCAAGACTTGGAGCTGCAGATATGGGGCTGCGGGGCGCTGTGGCGGCTGTGCACTGAGGACGGCCGCGCGCTGGAGGCCGCCTGGCAGGCGGGGGCGGTGAGTGCGGTGCTCCGAGCGCTCAAGCAGTGGCCCAATGCCAACTGGCTCCACATATTCGGTACGTGACATGAGAGACACCTTAGGTTGCATCAAACCTTCGAGACATTCGTTCGACACATGTGTTGTGTGTTGTTGTGGCTTATCTGTCTGCAGCCTGTGGGCTGATCGCAACACTGTGCCAGAGTGAGAAGGTTCCGGGTGCTGGGGGCAGCACAGCATTCTCTCTGCAGGAGTACAAGCGGCGTGCTGGCGAGGAGGGCGCCGTCGAGGTGCTGCTGGGGATACTCACCAAACACCTCGACGACATCAAACTCCAGGAACAAGGTACGTCAGTTAGTCTCCCTTTGTGTGTGTCCTCTGTGTGCCATCCTTTTATGCGTCCGTCCATTTCTTTCTCAGCGTTTGCCGCCCTGTGGCTGCTGTGCCGCGACGTGTCCGCCAACCACGAGCGGCTCACTGCCTGCCTGTCCGACGCCGCCACCCGTCAGGTGTTCCGTCAGGTGTCTGGCAAGCTGGTGTCGCTCGACAGCACAAACCCGCAGGGGACCCCGGTGCTGGCGTCGGCACTCAAGACGCCCAACCTGGAGAGATATGGCGAACCGGAGGTGCAGCCGTGAGTGAGACATACATGGGGAGGGGTCGGGGAGAGAGAGAGAGAGAGAGAGGGGGAGGGAGGGAGGGGGAGAGGCGAGAGGGCCGTTGGTGGTGTGACTTACTGACTGACTACTTCTCAGCATTATTCTAATTACAGCTGCTAGCAGCTACTTCTTCTTCTTCTGATGATGAACCAACCGGCTGTTGTTTGTTTGTACGTGAGTGGGTGAGTGCCTGTGAGTGGGTGAGTGCCTGTGAGTGCCTGTGAGCGTGTGAGCGTGTGTGCGTGCGAGTTTCCCCCTCCCCTTCCCCTCTGGCGTGTGTCCGTGCCTGGTGTGTGCGTACCGTACCTATCGGTGTCTGTGTGCCCTTGACTGACTCGCTGATTCATTCGTGTGTGCCCTCGTGCTGTGGTCTCCTCGTGGCCTTCCTTGTCGATGGACCGACGGACGGGTGGATGATGGTTTGTTTGGTGTAGGTAGGCAGACAGGGAGGGAGGGGAAGGGAGGGGAGGGGAAGGTAGCTGTCTTTTTCTCGAACGATCGGATCAAGCAACCTGTACGCTCGTGTACCTTTCTTTCTGTTGATTGACTGACTGACTGATGGACCTGTCTTTCTGTCTGTCTGTCTGTCTGTCTGTCGCATGTGCTTGTGCGTGAGCGTCGTGTCCATCCACCAGAGGAAGAAAGTGAGAGTCATGCTCATGCATGCAGTCAGTGAGTGCAGCGGTAACTGGCGACCCAGTTGTGTGCTATTTTTGGAGTAGCTGGGCGGTCGTCGGTCGGTCTGTTGGTCAGTCTGTCTGTCTGTCTGTCAGTCTGTCAGCCGGCAAATGATACGAGACGAGAGAGGCAAGGAGGAAAGCCATTCGCGGAATGGGATGACGCACGCACGTGTAGACAGACAGACGTACAGTAGGAGGGGGGCCGGATCGGACCGGATTAGGGGCTTTTGTGGCCCCCAGCCAGCCAGCCAGTTTAAAGGAACCAACCGACCGACGGTCGTCCCGTCCCCTACTGTGTGCATCTGTCCGTCTGGTGCTTTGTTTGAGTAAGAGAAAAAGCAAAAGACCGACCGACAGACACCGATCGATTTCGTATTGGGAGGGGTGGGTGGGCTGTGGTGGGCGTCGGGTGGGGGGGTTGGCTGTGGTGCTGTGGTGGGCGAGAAAAAGTGTCGCGTTTCACTCATTCATGCATGGTCTGTCGGGAGCTCTGTCTGCACCCATCTGCAGTGAGTGCAGCGGCTGAGCCAGCTCAGCAGCAATCGGTCAGTTAGTATGTAAGTGCGTGTGTACCTACCGTAACTTTCATTTTGCTTTTCATTCGATTGATGCGATGCCGTCTCTCTCTCCTCTTTCTCGTCTCCCCTCTCTCCTCTCTCTCGTGCGTCATGCCACCGTACACACCATCCATAAGTGCAGCACAAGCAGTGCCCGGCACCAACCAACGGCCGGTCGACACTTACTTTCCTACTCGCTTACACACACACTTATCTAATCTAATCTATCTCTCTGTACGTGCCAACAGGGTATGTGAGTGGAGTGAGTGTGTCGGAGCTGACCGAGAGGGACAGCCCCCGACCTACACACACACACACACACACACAGACACGTTGCGTACCGTACGTGCCCTCTTCATAATGCTCTATGTAGCTTCTTGTGGTCGTCGTGTGCGCTGTCTATCCGTCCGTCCGTCCGTCCGGCTGTGTCTGTTGTTCTGTGAGGCTAGCTGGTCGGTTGGCTGCCCACGCAATCTCCTGCCTGTCTGCCTGTCTGCCTGGTTTTGTGTGACGGCCCATATATATCCTGGAATCTGAGATGAGAGAGATGAGAGAGAGAGGAGGGAGAGAGAGGAGAGGGGAATCTATTTGCCGTACGTGAGAGTTTGAATGCTCACAATGCATGACACCACTCACTCGTTGGTCCTGTCTGTCTGTCTCTCTGACCCCAGCCAGCCGCCCACTGACTACTCACTTCACCCGACCGACCCGCCTGTGCTGTTTAAGGTCCCATCCGGCCAGCTGTTGTATGCCCCGTCCACCCACCACTCTGGTAGGTAGGTACCCGTCCACCCACTACTCCAGCTGAGTGTTTTGATCAACGGATGGACGACGGACGGACGGCGGTCTCACGTGAGTGACATCAGTTCCATCCATCTATCTGTGCACCTGTTTGTCCATGTAATGTATGGGCCCTGAGGGATATCAACACGTGTGTCCCTCTCCGCCCGACCGACTTACTGACTGACTTACTGACTGGCTGACCTTGCCCCATTCGACGCCACACCACACCACACCGCACGGACGCGCGCACCACATCCATCAATCATTGCTGTTTTTCAACCAGATGATGCGGCGTCGTGCGCACATCTCAGTCAGCTTACACACATACGACGGACTTTCTGCGATTTTTCGGCTCTTACTCTTACAGTACATACCAAAGGAGACGTCGCTGGCGCTGTGCGAGAGTTTTTTGCCAGACAGCGAGCGAGCGGGCGAGTGGATGGCGCGGTGTGACGTATTTGGTTGGTTGGCTGGCTGGGTGGCGTGATGGGTGGGTGTGTTTGTAGACGTCCTCCTTGCAGGCCTTCACACATACACACCTCCACACAGCCCATACAGACAGACAGGCAGACAGGGGGGAACAATCTGTCTCTTTCGTTTAGAGACAATGACTGACTGCCAAGCCAGCCCGGCCCACCCACTCACTGAGGCGTGGATGGATGCATTTATGTGATTCTGAGTGGTTACGGTAAGTATGTAAGTAATTGTAATTGTAAGGGAGGGAGAGCAGAGAGAGCCAACCAAGGTTGGAGAGCAGCCAGCCCAGCCATGCCAGGCATGCTTCGCGAGCTGGCTTGCGTGTTACGTACGCCGAGTGAGTGAGTGCTGTGTCATCTCATGCATATGGAATGGATGTGTCCGGCCCGTGTGTCCAGTGCCATTGATGGATGGATGGATGGAACCGAACCGACCGAACTGATGGAATTCGGAATGAGTGCGTGTGGCTGGGTGGTTTAGTATTTCCCTGTCCCCCTCTGGGCGGTGTGCTGTGGATGCGATGCGCGTGTGATAGTAGCTGGATGGATGGATCAATGCCACATACCGAGCGAAGCTCGCCTTGGCAGGCACCATGCTACGCGACTGACACACACAGCCACACAGACAGACAGGGGAGGAATTATTATTATTACAAACGAGAGGAAGAGAAGGAGAGAGAGAGAGACGAGCATTCCTATGAGCTCCCGTGAGTGAGTGCGATGAATGGATGGACGGACGGACGGGCGGGTAGGCGGGCGTGGTGTAGTGTATCTGTGCGTGTCTGTCTGTCTGTATCTGTGGGCGTGTGTGGGTGGGTGTGCACTTTCTCTGTGGTGGGTGGGATGGGGTGGGGCGGGTCTATCTGTGTATCTTTCTATCTGCGTGGCAGTCAACAACCTGAGTGCTGCCTTTCCTCCTAACCTCTTTCTTGTGGTGCGGTGTTTCCTCCCCCCGTCCCTCCCTCCCTCCCTGGTTTCTCGCTGCTCACATGGGCGGCATGGCTACGCTCTGTTCGGAGGTGTTTATCACCTCCGACGTGACTGCCTGCCTGCCTGCTGGCCTTGTCTCTATCCGGAGCTTCTACTAACACAGAGGAAGACTGACTGACTGACTGGCTGACAACTGAGTGAATGAATTCATTCGTGTGGGCTCTGTGTGTGAGAGAGTGAGAGAGGGTGTGGCGTAATCCATGCGTGTGCGTGTGTGTGGACGTGTGCATCCAGCCGTCCGTCGGTAGGTAAAGGTGATATGCCTCTCGTCGGTGGTGAGCATGCCGATGTGTCGAGCCACGCGGGCGGACTTGCCGCGGCCGTCCGGCAATGTGTGTGTGGCCGGCGGCGGCGGCGGTAAGGACGCGATAATCAGACCATGCAACTGCACAAACAGAGAGCCCGCCTGCCTGTCCAGCGAAGAGAGTGACTGAGACTGACTGACTGACGCGAATAGCGCATACCCTTGTGCCGTGCCAGCTGCTGACAGCCCCCGAACATACTTGATCCATACTTACGTGTGAGAAGAGTGGATGGATGGATGGATGACACTTTCTGCATTCATTGACATGATTGAATGATAAGTGATGCATGTCACTCGGTCACGTCTGTCACGTCTGGTACCCCCACTCCCTGTCCCTGTCCACCCTCCTCCCCGCCCCCCTAATGTACTCATCCCACCCAATCTGCTGCCGCACATCTCTGTACGCCACCTCCAACGCACCCCTCAGCTCACACATCTCCCTGCTACCCCGCTGCTCGCGGCTGCCATACACGTGGTACACCGGCACGCCCCCCATCTGTCTCTCCGTCTCGGTGCGCATGACGCTGCTGCACCCCACGAAGAGCTCAGGGACCAGTGATGGGGGGAAGAAGGGCGCGAAGTAGGGGAGCACGCTGAGGAGCTCGTCGATGTAGCGCACGTCGCACTTGCCGCGGCCGCTCTGCGTCCGTGTGCCGTACCGGAGCGCGTCGATGATGCGCCACTTGAGGCGGTGCCACTTGTCGTCGGGAATGCGGATGGTCCGCAGACGCGTGTTGATATCAAAACCCAAATACGTCTGTGTGACCACACACACAAACATCCGAACAATGAAGCCCCGCCTGTCTCTCCCGCTCTCCCTCTCTCCACCCACCAGCTCTTGTGTCGGCTCGACGACCTTGTGCACCGGCCACCCAAGGTCCTCCGTCAGCTCCCGGAACTCGCCGAAGTTCTCCGCCACCCGCCGCTCGTCAAACACCGCCTCCCGTCCCTCTGCAGCCTTTTCTCCCCCAATGAGCCAGTCGTCGACATAGCAGTAGGTGGCGAATGGCATGAAGGCCTGCATGGCCGCCGTGTGGCGCAGCAGGAGGGAGGGGCCTGTCTTGAGACCGAATGGCAGGACGCGCCACGAGAGGAAGTCGGAAGTGGACGACATGTGGAAGGACAGGAAGGGCCGATCGTCGGGGTGCACCGGCAACTGCTTGTAGGCTTTCTGGAAGTCCGCCTTGGCCAGGAAGCCACCTGCGTCAGACAGGGAGAGAGGAATGACCATACTGCTTGTAGATGTGTCGCCCGGCTCACCCGGCGGTATCTCTGCGAGTATGTTTGGCAGCCTGGGCAGGGTGTACGGTTTTGGATCCTTCAAACATTCGTTCAACTGCACACAGAACACACGCAACAGACAGATAAGAACTTTTTGCAGAGAAGGAGAGGGCCTGCAATGTGCATTGGGGTCACCCCGCTCATGGTGAAGTTCCAGACGAGTCTCCTAGGCTTGAGGGGGTTATCGTCCGTCCATGAAGCCGGCGACGTCCACTGAGGCGCCGCTTCCCACTCTATGTGGCCCTGCACACGCATAAGAGAGAGAAGAATGGATGGATGGATGGATGGGGGTGTGTGTGTGTGTGTGTGTGTGTGTGTGTGTGGTCGCACCTTTGCCATCTCGCCATAGATCTCCGTGCTCATCCCCCCACAAGGCTCCTTCCATGCTCTCACGTAGTTGCAGGTGCGGGCCCTCTCGTACAGCCCGATGCGGCAGCCCACAGCGATGTCATGCACCAACAACGGCGCCAGCCCGCGCCTCAAATACCCGCTTACGCTCGGCATCGATAATACCCCCAAAAGGCTCAAGCTCGCCAAAACGATCCTACGAAGCGGAGGAAAAGAGGCCAGATCTGGCCATATTGGACACACCAGCACGTCACTGGACAGCCTGGCTGCGCCAGTGAGGGCAGTCAGCCCATCACCCAACCCCCCGCCCTTTAGTCCGGCCTCCCTGCCGCTGTGATGGATTCCCATCTGGCGGCGCTCGCCAACGGGCTGGGCACGGCCCATCTGCGGGCATCGATGAGCCACATGGCGACGATGGCCTTCGTGCCGCACAATCTGACGCTGCACCCGGTGTCCAACATGACCCTCACGGCGCAGGATGTCGGGGGAGGTGCTGGTAGCGTAGCTGCAGCTGAGCCGGGGTGCCCGGAGTACTCTGCCTTCGTCAGGAACTTCGGCGTGTGGCTGTGGGTGCTCCTCATACTCTACATCTTCTACTCGCTGGCCGTCGTGTAAGCACCACACACAGACGGAGGGAGGGAGGGAGGGAGGGAGGGAGCAGTATGAAGCATGTTTTGTGTCCGTGCAGGTGCGACGAGTACTTCGTAAGCCCGACCAAGCCATGGTCCATTAACCCCCTGTTGTCATGGATACGGACGTGTGTGCACAGGTGCCGGCTCTGCAGATTATGTGTGACAAGCTCAAGATCCCCGACGACGTCGCCGGGGCGACCTTCATGGCCATCGGTGCCAGCTCGCCTGAAATGTACCCACAACGACAGACACCATACCAGCCCACACGCTCAGGGAGATCCAGGGCATGAACTGCATTCCACCGACCCATCTGAGTGTGTGTGTATCTGTGTGCAGGTTCACCAACTTCATAGCCATCTTCATCGAGCACTCGGCCGTCGGCTCGGGAACAATCGTCGGCTCCGAGATATTCAACATGGTATATATACTCCTCCCACTGGCCTCCCATGTTTGCATGTGTGCGCCATGTGTGTGTGTGTGTGGTCAGCTGATGATATGCGGCTTCAGCGCCCTCCTGGCGCAGCACGGTGTCCTGCGGCTCGATTGGCGCCCCTTCGGTCAGTGAGCGAACCAACGACACACACTGACGACACACTCACGTGTTGCTTTTGTTTGTCCGTCCGGGTGGGTGTGGCTGTGGGTGTGGGTGTGTGCAGCGCGTGATGTGTTTTTCTACGGCTTGTCGATCGGCATGCTGTACTGGACGCTGGCCGACGGGGTGGTGTCGAAATGGGAGTCGCTCGCACTGGTCCTGTGCTACCTCACTTACGCGCTCGTGTGCAGCCTCTTCTCGGTCCGCCTGAGAGGGAGGGACACCACCACCACCGACCCAGTACATGTGTGTGTTGTGATGACGATGATGCTGGTGGTCATCGTTCCTTCAGAAAATAGTGGCGTGCACGTGTCCGATGCGCGGCAAGAAGAGTGTCGTCACGATAGGGGTCCACGAGCTCGAGAAACCACTGTTTGAAGCGGACGAGGTGACCCACAACAGAAAGACAGACACACACACATGCAGCATAGCGCGTCAGCAGCACACACGAGGATGTCGCTGCTTTGTGCAGTGGGAGAATGTGGACCAGATCGCCCAGGACGACAAACAGCACTTCATCGTTGGAACCGACAAACCGTCAGGTATATCCCAACAAACAGCAGCACATCCCGATCTGCTGGTTCATTGGTTTCTTCCTCCTTCAGATTTTTACCCCCGGTCTGCGAGTGAGCTGCCCCTGGACCTCATCAATCGCAATATCAAGAACAAGGAGGGCTGGCTGCTGCAGAGGGACAGGTCGGCCACACACACACACACACAAACACACACACACACACACACACAAAGACAAACACACACGTAGCCACGACACACATGACACACATGGCACACATGGGCACACACACCATGGACGTGCACACACGCATTGATGCATGTAGCTCGTTTCGGCTGGCTGCTGGTCCGTCTGTCTGTCTCTCCCCCCTCTCTGTCTGGCTGTCTGTCTGTCTGTCTGTCTGGCTCTATGGTGGGTATTTAGAGCTGACTTAGAGAAGGAAGGCCACGAGCACATGGACGACTTCGACCTCGGCGACGTCGTCTGGCACAACATCTCCCGCTTCAACATCATGCGCCGCCAGTCGTCAGCAGCAGTCACACAGCCAAACACCCCCTGGCTGCGTCCTGCCACTGCCAACACCCCCGCGCCACCCACCGAGGACCGAAGCCACCTCAGCCCACTCCAGCAGCACGACTCGCATGACAGTGGCGAGGATCGCCGTGAGCGTGAGCATGAGAATGAGGCGAGCCTGACTCCCCCGCCAGCGGACATTCCTGGAGTGCGGGCCCGGTCTCGTGGCGGGCGTAGCAATAGGAGTGGGCGTAGTGGGGGCTCCAGGGGCCACACTGTCGGGGACGTGCGTGCTGCTCAGCACGAGAGCTACAACTATGAGCCCACTCTGCAGGAGCTCCTCATCGATAGGTGATCGATCTCTCTGTCTGTCTGCGTATCTCGTTGTGGGGAGTAGTGCACGCGTGTATGCATGGTGTATTCTATCACTGGACTGGGGGTGGGGTAGCTCGGCTGTAGAACAACACACACAGGGCAGCCAGGCGCCACGGTCCCATTGCATGTGCATGCATCCACACGCATCAGGGCATCCCTCATTCTCTCCCTCTCTCTCTCTCTCTCTGTGTGTGTGTGTGTGTGTGTGTTTCGGTGTTCAGGTTCCAGAGCCGCATGTCGATCGCCACACACGGGTGGTGCCGACTCTGGTAGCACCCCCAACACACACAAAGGCCGGGTCATTCCCTCCTGTCTGCACAAACTGGGGCATTTGTGTATCCCTCAGGTTCTGTTTGGTTGGCGGCGAGCTTCAGTACGCCCTGGCCCCCTGCCACAAAGTCACGGTGCACGGACTGCGGCCGGGCACCTCCTCCGAACAGGCAAGCTCGCCGCCCCTTCTCCTGCCCCCAAATGCAGTCAGTGATTGGTCTGTATGTATCCTCTTCCCATCAATCAGGTTCAACACTTCGAGACGGTCCGGCGCTTCTCCGCCGTTGTGCAGCACAACTTCTACGACCCCATGCACGAGGAGGAGCCCCAGAAGCACGTATGTGGCGACACACAAACACACAAACACATCCGCCGTTTCTCCATCTGTCTGTCTTCCTGTCGGTGTCAATGTGTGTGGATGGACGGATGGATGGATGGGCGCGAGTAGATCCTGGGAACGGTCAAGTTGTCTGGTGGGTGTGAGTGCATCGACAAGGAGGGGGTCGACTTCGAGCTCAAGATGCCCTCCGGACGCACTCTCACATTCAGAGCTATGGAGTGAGTGAGTGAGCCACCCACCTCACAACCACCCCCTCACACACACACACACACACACAGACGTATGTGTCCATTCTTCCCTCTCTGTGTGTCCATCCATTGTGATAAGTCCTGCGACCAAGAACAGCTGGGTGGCTGCGCTGTCACTGGCCATCCAGGAGCTCGGCCCCGCCGCAACCACCGTCACTCCCAGTGTGACTGAGGACATACTCACTGGAGAGGAGGAAGCCGCACACGACGACCTCAGCCCATTCAGAGTGCCGCTCACACCGGTGCGTATTGTGGGTGGGTGATGAGTGGGTGCGGATGCATCACACGCCCACGCCATGGTGTGTGTGTGTGTGCACATTAGTTGGGCAAGGTGGAGTGGGTGTTGAGTTTGCCGCTGAAGGTGACTCTGTGGGCCACGACGCCAAACGTGAGGGCGCCCGGCAAGGAGGGCCACTGGATGAGCTGCTTCGCGATCGCCATGGTGGGTACTCTAAACCCCAACCCACACACACGCGTCACGTGACCCCATGTGTGGCTTCTGCCGTGTCTGTATAGGTCTGGTTGGCGATCTTCTCGTACGTCATGTGTTTCTCGGCCGACACAATCGCCTGCATATGGTGGGCAAAGCCGTCAAGCACACATGACATGCACCGGCGGAAATGTGTTACCCTCGCTCGTGCAGGGGCATTCCTGCGGCCGTGATGGGTCTCACTCTCGCCGCTGCCGGCACGTCGTTCCCCAACCTGGTCTCGTCAGTGCTAGTCGCCCAACA